TCTGTAACCCCAGGAGAGCCAGCCAGAGGGGACAGCAGGTACGAAGGCCTTGGGATGCCATTAGCTGGTTTCATTGCAACAAATCTGGTATAGCAGGAAGAAAACTGGGATTTGACTGATAGAAAATGAGACCGAAAGGGGGTGCTGAGCAATAGTGTAGCAGGAGGGTGTTTGCTTTACACACAGCTAACCCAGATTTGATCCCTGGCATCCAATATTGTCCCCTGGAACATTACCATGAGTGATCCCTGAGTGCAGAGCCCAGGAGTAGTCCCTGAGCATTGGCAGGCATGGACCTCCAAAGAGTAAAGTAAGTAAAGTAAAGGCCCTCCCGTTATTCATCGATTTTGCTCGAGCGGGCCCAGTAACGTCTCCATTGGAGACTTTGTTGTTACTGTGTTTGGCATATCGAATACATCACGGGGAGCTTGCCAGGATCTGCTGTGCCGGCGAGATACTCTCGGTAGCTTGCCAGGCTCTCCGAGAGGGGCAGAGGAATCGAACTCGGGTCGGCCATGTTGGCTGCGTGCAAGGCAAACGCCCTACCGCTGTGCTATCGCTCCAGCCCACCTCCAAAGAAGATTTTAAAAATAAAGAAAAGAAAAGAAAGGAGACTGAAGGGATTGGCAGGAACCATGCTCACAAGCAACTCCTTCTCAGGGAGGGACAGTGGCAGGACTTGGGGAGGGGAGGGTCTGGGTTCTGGGGAGGAGACCCCACGGGGCCGGGAAAGAAGGGCCTGGGTCTCAGAGGGAGAGAGTCTGCTCTTGTCTGAGTGTCAAGGCAAAGGCTGGGGCCAGGGCAGGATGGGGTAGAGCGGGCTGGGCCCCCTGTGGTGGTGCACCCCAGGCATGACCCCACTGTCCTGCTCTCCCACCTCCACTGCAGCTGGAGAAGGGGAACCTTCGGATGAAGCAGCTGAAGCGGCAGGTGGAAGAAGCTGAGGAGGAGGCGTCCCGGGCCCAGGCCGGCCGCAGGCGGCTGCAGCGGGAGCTGGAGGACGTCACGGAGTCCGCAGAGTCGATGAACCGAGAGGTGGTCACCCTGAGGAATCGGCTCCGGTATGCACTGGGGACGTGGGGGGGTACTGCGGGAGCATGGGGACAGGGAGGCAATGGCCCCACGGACAGGGAGCCTTTCTCCACCCGTTTCTCCGGGTGTCTTGTCTCAGCAGCCCCCCTGGTCCTTTGCCCCTGTCTGTCCCATCCTCCACACGTCCCTCCTCCTCTCCCCATCTTGTTCTCTCCCCGGCAGCCGCGGACCTCTCACCTTTACTACCCGCACGGTTCGGGAAGTCTTCCACCTGGAGGAGGGCGTGGCGTCAGACGAGGAAGCTGAAGGGGTGGAACCAGGGTCCAGGCCAGCGCCTCAGGAGTCTGAGGGGTCCCCAGCTGCCCAGCCGCAGTGACCACACCCTGTGCCTGCTCCACCTGGCTGCCCTCTCGCACTTTGGAAATGGGGCTGCTCTTTGGCCACCACAGCACTTATACCCCCAGGGCAGCAGGGCACTGGACAGCCCCTGTGTGTTCCTCATCATACAGAGGGGCTGGCACCAAGGCAAGGCCTGGGGCTCTTCGTGTGGGAGGAAATGTGGGTATGATGCAGGCTGAGACTTCCCATCACCTTCAGTGGTTACTGAATGATCAGGAGGGGTCCATAGATCCCCTCCCCCCCAGCAGGACTCCCCTTCCCCTCTGCCCTCTCTCCCCTCTGGCTATCTCTCTGCACTTAGCCACTTAATCCTACACTCTGGGCGGCAGTTGTCTGCACCCCAACCCTCCTCCCCCTGCTCTGTACCCGCTGCTGATGGAACGTTCTCATGTGATCTCAGCTCTGCTGGAGATTCCCACAGAGCTGGAATCTGGGGTCCCCGCAGCCTCCCAGGCTCTGGCAGAAATAAATTCCAGCTCAAGGCCCATCCTGTGTCTGTCTGTGTTATGGGCAGGGCGGGGGGTTCTGACAGAACTGGAATCCGGGCCGAGAGAATCTGGCAGAGAGGGGAGAAGGCATTCCCCCCCTCCACCTCCCGCAGGGGGTGACCGAAGCCACATCCAAGGCTCTGGGTCAGGGATGACAGCCTGGAGCTGGCACTCAAGGGCCTGCAAGCCGAGAGCTTCCCAGGGTGGAAGGGCCCTTCATTCCCACATTAGAGGATTCACCAGGCTGCCTGCACCCACCCTTTTATTTAATTGCCACATCTAGTGGTGCTCAGGACTAACTCCTGGCTCTATGCTCAGGGATCACTCCTGGCCGGGCTCAAGGGACCATATAGGGTATCAGGATGGAACCCAGTACCCTAGTTGCTGTAATATGTCTGGCCAGCTCCCACCCTTTTAGACGGGAGGAAGCAGGTTCAGAGAGGTGGAGAGACTTGCTTAAGAACAAACTCAGGGGGCTGGAGCAATAGCACAGTGGGTAGGGTGTTTGCCTTGCACGCAACCGACCCGGGTTCAATTCCCAGCATCCCATATGCTCCCCTGAGCATTGCCAGGAGTAACTCCCGAGTGCGGAGCCAGGAGTAACCCCTGTGTATCGCCAGGTGTGACCCAAAAAGCAAAATAGATAAATAAATAACACTCCCAGGAGCTGAAACCACACCAACCCAGTCTGATTGGGTCAGGAATAGGGGTCTCAGGTGCCGAGCTCACTGGGATCCTGTCAGCCTGGCTCCGCAGAAGCTTGTAGCACCCAGGTGCCAAACTTACCAGTTCTTTTCTTCTAAGTCTGAACAAGCTCTTACTGATTTCATCAGGAAAACTGAGGCAGGGGGCACTCACCCCCCCCCACACACACACATACATAGCTCTGTGAGAGCCCCTTCCAGGGCAGATGCACATCAACGTGCATTCCCTTTCCCCCCTTCATAGTTCCCCCCACCCTTGAAGACTCCCTCCTGTGCCCCCAACCTTCACCCCCCAGCACGAACCAGCCGATTGATGGGTGGAAACTTTTAAATGAAAAGGAAACTTTTATTTTGGTGGGAGTGAGGGTGGTGGGAAGGGGGGGCATGACACTTTTTCTTTGGGGGGGTGACATGCGGCAGCTTCTGCATTGGGCGGTTCATGCACCCTGGGTGGGCGTAGGGGAGGCCTGGGGGAGGCACCATAGCGACCCTTCTTCCCGGCCCTGGGGGTGGGCTGGGAAGACCCGCCATTAGCACCAGAATTGGACGTTTTTACAGACCTCCCCTCCCCCACACGGACTCCGGACCCCCGCCCCATCCCTGAGAGTACCCCCTCACTGCCATCACCGCCCCCCAACACCACTGGCCAGGCCCGCCCCACCCACGTTTGAGTGAGAGAAACTTATTGCTGTGTGTGTGTATGTGTGTGTGTGTGTGTGTGTGCGCGCGCGCGCGCGTGCGTGTCAGGGAGAAGCCGCCGAGCGCGGGAAGCCCCCTCCCCCCGCCATCCCGTCCCCCAGCCGCGCCCCCGGCCCGTGTCCGTGCTCCCGGGCGCAGGGGGCGCGACATGCGTGCGGGGGGCGCGTCATGCAGCGCATGCGTGTGCGTGCGGCACCCCGGCGGGGGGAGCGGGGCTACTCCCCGCCGCTCGCCTCCCCGACCCCACGCATGTTGTTGGCGGGGGGTTGCTGGGGCGCGGGAATCTCGTTTTTCTCGTTTCTAATGACCGTGGTGTTTCAAGCTGAACTAAAAAGCGGGCTTCGGTGTCGGGGATCGGCTAGGTCAGGAGACTGGAAAAGACTCTCCCCACCCGCATCGGGCTCCTGAGGGTCAGGGGCGGGGGGTGTGGGGGGAGTTGGCTTTTGATTTCGGGGTGTTTGTAAAGAAGTTAAACCCTTTGGCAATAGAATCGTCCCCGCCCCCCAAACCCTGGTGACGCAGCCCCTAGCCCTTTGCCCCGCCCCACCCCCACCGAAACCCGCCCCGCCCCGCCCCCCTGATTCGCCAGGGTTTAGGGGCCAGGGGAAGGAGGGGGACTGGAAATGCCCCTTGCATAGGAATCATTGCATCAAGAATCGTGCTCAGTGACACTCCCCACCAGCCTTCGGGTGTCTGGGGGAGAGGGGAAGGTCCTGAGGTCCTGGAGCGGAGGGAGAGGAGCGGCTAATTCTGGGGACCCCCAACTCCAAAACGGGGGACGTCCTCTAAGAAAATGGGGGGCCCGGAACGATGTCTGGGCGTGGGGGAGGTAGCGAGTCCTTGAGCCAGGATGGGGTGTGAGATGATTTCCCACCCGCCGTTATGGAGGGGGCGGTGGGCGGGTGACCCCCTGACCCCTGAGTCAGCGCCCCTACCATCCGCGCAGCCTAGGGCGGGGCGGGGCTCCCACTGCCCCAGGGACCGCTGAGCAGCGTCAGCCTTGGTACTTGGCTCAGCCCCCAAACCCCGACACTGGTCCCCTTCGGACTCCGGAAAGACAGGGTGACCCGGATGGACTCCTCTGACCCCTTAAGGGAAGGAGATCTGGGAGGCAGGGTCAGCCCTGGGAAGGTCTGGGTCCCCAGTCCTGCTTCCAGGGCAAGCGCATGTGGCGCGGGCCACAGGGGACCTGAGGTGAATGTCTGAGATTTGGGGCAACGGAGAAGGGTAGGGACGGCCTGAGGTTCTGGGGGTGTCTCCAGGGAATGTCCGATTTGTAGGAAGGATCTGGCGCATCCCAGAGGCTGAAAGTGAGCTGAAAGGAGGAAGGGGGTCTAGTCTTGGAGAGTTTGGAGGGGCTAGGAGGCGGGGCGCAGTGGAGGGGAGGCATCCCATGCGCAGTGGCTGTCCCCGGAGCCTGTGGGGGTCAGGGGAAGCAGGGCGCCAGGCTCAGTGTTGGGGGTTCTGGGTGCGGGTCTCTGGCAAAGGGGAGAAACTTAGTATGCAAGAGCCGATCATCCAGGGGGCTGGAGGGTGCTCGGAGTCCATGCAGAGGGAGGCTGCGAGCACGTGCAGGACCCCTGAGTCCCACCCCCATCTGACTCTGCCATTTTGGGGGACTGAGTGACTGAGCCCTCTTCCCCCACAGTGTTATTCCCTCCCCCCCCCCGGCCCCCCCCCCCCCCCCCCCCCCGTGATCAGTACTTGCTGGGTTGCCCTCCAGGGGTGAAAACTGGAGGCCGGGGACCCTCTGGCTAAATGGTCAGCCTGACCCCCTGGAGGGTCCCGCCCCTGCCCAGCGCCCATCCCTGGAAGGCGGCATGCAGTCCGAGGCTTATTGCTGAGGGGGGCGTCCAGGCCGGGGCAGACATGCAGAGCAAGGAGGGGAGCCCCGAGATGTTGGTCACGTGGTTCTGACGCTTCTGCACGAGGTGCCGGGGACAGGGTTCCTATGGCTCTCGGAGACCTGAGCAGCTTTATTTCTGGGGGAGGGGAGCTAGGGGGCAGGGCTGGACTTTGGCTCCTTCCCCCCATCTTGGGGGGCCGGTGGGGGGGAGGGGCCCAGGGGTGTCTGCTGGCGTCTCTCGGTTGCATATTGTTGACTTTTTTTTTCTTAAAAGTAAAAACCCTATTCCCACCCCCCCACCCGCAGCTCCTTTGACCTTCTTCCCTGTCACCCCCGAGACCCCCCACAGGGGGGTAGGGGAGCGCTAGAGGATGGACGGCAGGGTGGGGGGAGCACGGCGGGTGGTCCTGGGAGAGCTGGGAGAGCCAGGGGGAGTGGTAAGGGGTGCGAGGCGCAGGGACACCCCACTCAGGCCAGCGATGCTGCTTAGACTGCGGGATTTCTCGTAACCTGGGGGCAGAAATATGGGGTGGGGGAGCATGGGGGTGCAGAGACCCCGAGACAGAAAGAAAGGCAGTAAAGAGACACAGAGAGGAGAGACAGATGGACGAAGAGAGACAGACAACCAAGACAGACGGACAGACAGACAGCAGGAGGCGGAGAGGGGACAGGCCGAGGAGGTGGGGAGAGAGGTGACAAAGGGCACAGTCAGTTGGCATCAGAACAAGGTCAGACAGGGGTGGGGAGGGAGACGGGGGTTAGGGGGCGCGGTGGCTCCCACCAGCCCCCGCCCCATCCATCCCCACCGAGCCCACACCCCCCCCTGGTCCCCTCATCTGAGGCAAAAGGTGGGGGCAGCGAGGCAGATGGGCAGCAGGGCATGGGGAGCTCGGTGGAATGCACGTGGGGAGCAGCCAGTGGAGGGAACCTGGGTGGGAATGGGGGGCTGCAGGGGTGCTGGCCAAGGTGTACGAAAAGGTGGAATGGTAGTGGGGGCTCGAGCGGGTGTATGCTCCTGGTCTGTTTTTTTGGGGGGTATGGTGTACCCAGTGGTGCTCAGGGCTCACTCCTGGTGGGGCTTGGGGCCCCTAGGGCATGCCAGGATGGAACCAGAGTAGTGTGCATGGGAAGGGCCCCCCATCCGTGTTGTCGCCATGGATCGGGTGTCTTTAAGGGGCTCAAGGGCCCAGATGTGGCCTAGTGTTTTGCGCAGAGCTTCTGTTCAGGGACAGGAGGGCTGTGGGGAGGGGCGGGGGGGGGGGCATGGATCTGATGCTGAGGAGCTGTTGTGAGGTTTGTGGAAATCTTTGGGGTATCTCCGAAGCGATGTCTAGGGGAGTTCCAGGCACCTTGAGGCACTGTGGGGAGTCTCCTGCCCAGAGGCGAGAAGGCCCAGGGGGGTTCGGGACCCCAGTGTGGGGAAAGCCCCCCTCCCAGCCATTCCCGTTGCTAACCTGGGGGGGAGGGGCGGGGGGGACCGAGGGTCTTGCGCGGTCTCAGGCGGTGACAAGAGCTGGGGACAGAAATATACATAGTCACAGCAGGGAGAGGGCGGTCAGGGGGGACCCCCCAACACAGCTTCACTGTTGGGGGGATGGAGAAACGCCGGAATCTCTTCCTCCTCTCTGGTGTTTTCCGGGGGAGGGAAGCAGTGAGATGGGGTGGTGGACTTCAAATGTGGAAGGAGCTTCCGGGGTGACTGAGGCAGGGAGGGAAGGGGAGGAAGGGGCACCTGCACATCAGGAGGGGGGTCAGGTGGCTTGTAGGGAAGGGGAAGAAGGGAGGGGTTGTGGGGTGCTGGGAAGGGTGTGGAGGTGCAACAGTGGAGGGGAGGACGGAGTGAGGAAGAAGGGGTGTGGGACGAGGGTTCAGTCAACCCCATCGGCTCTGGCCATCATTTGAGTTCGAATGAATGGATTTCGGCATCAGAGGCAGAGAAGCAAAGACCCTCCCCAGCACCTCCTCCTCCCACGCCCACGTCCCCAAAACCCTCCCTACTCCCACACTCCAAACTCCAGGGGCCCATCCAGACCTAGAGGGGTGAGAGACAAAGGGTAGGAACAGGACTGGGTGCAAGCACGGTGGGGATAAGGGTGCGGGGGACGGGCTGGGGGTGAGATGGAAATGGAGAATGGTGGGTGGGGGTTCAAGGAGGGGGGCACAGGGGGACAAGATAGTCTGCGGCAACTCATCTCTGTCTGTGGTGCTGTGGGGGGCCGACAGGTCATTTCAGGAGGCTCCCCCAGTTTGGCTCCATAAGATCACAGGCCCATATGTAAGGAGAGGGATGTCCTTTGAGTGACCTGCAGATGGTCTGTCACTGCAAAGCTGAAGTCTGTCTTCCGGTGGGCTCGCCCCAAGGTCCGTCTGGTGCCTGCTATCTGCCCTCTGGCGCCTGCTCCTCATCCCTGCAGGGCTGGAGGCCCCTCCTCACTGAAGATTGTGCTCAGGACTCATTTCTGGCTCTGAACTCAGGGCTTGGGGGACCTGTGCAGTGTCAGCAATCGAACCCGGGCCAGCCGTGTGCACAGTGAGTGCTCTCCGCCATGAGCAAGCTATGTCCCTGTCCTTGAAGGGCAGTAGGCTCAAGAACAGGCCAACCCCGCCACAGTGGCACCAACAGAGCAGCCATGTGGGGCAGGGGCTCCCTCAGTGACAGGCACCAGGGCTGATGTCGCCTGAGGACGAGTTCCTGTGTCCCTGTCACTTGGGGGCATGTGACATTGCTCTCTGCTGCCTCCCAGCAGGACCGGCACCCGCTTCCTGTCAGGAGCCAGAGAGGGACTATTTTCAGTCCCCCTAGGCCACCTGGTTTGTGTCTCGGCTGGGATGTGACGATGGCTGTGTTCCAATAAAGTTTTATTTGCAAACCGGATAGTAGTCACCCAGGCCTCAGGATGGTCAACCCTGCGGCCACATCCGGCCAGCGCTCAGCCTAGCGCCGTGCCTGGGGGAGTCCGTGGGGGAAGTGAGGGTGACTCGGGGGATGGAGTACAGAATGGAAGTCTGTTCTTTTTGCTGAATGAGTCCTCTGCAAACTGTCCACTCACTGCCCCTTGCTACCCCCAGACCCCCCCAGGCCCCAACTCCCCGCCTCTTCCTTCGTCTCCATCTCCACAGCCCTGACAAAGATGCTCCTCTCCAGCCTGCCCCTCCCACCTGCCTGGCCTCCTGCCGTTCATCCATCTGTGTGTCCCCGTGTCCCTCTCTGTCCAAGGGGCCCTGGAGCTGGGCTGCCCCAGCGGGCCCCGCACCAGGCCCTGCTTTCCTGCTGCTCTGCCAGTCCCAGTCCCTGGTGTGCCCCTTTGGGTCCCCTCCTCAGTGAAGGTCATGGTCAGAGTCACAGCAGAATGGAGATTCTGGCCCCGGTGGAAGTCCCTCTGCTCCCCCCACAGTAGATCCCCTTCCTGCCGTGTCACTCCAAGGTTAGCTTTCTAACTCTGCCTCTCAAAAGCAAATGGGGGTCCAGGGTGGCCCCTGTCTCTGTTCACTGCTGCCCTCCCTGTCCCCTCAGACTCCAGTGCAGTCCATGAGAGGTCAGGAGTGGGGGGCTGAGTCTCTCTCCCCACCGGGCACCTAGAGGAGCAGCCTGGGTGTGCACCCCCTTTTCTAGACTGATCCACAAAGCAAGGTGAGGGGGTAGGTGCAGGGAGATGAGGGGCATGGGGGGTCAGTTGTGGAGCTGAGACGTGCGGTGGAGGGTGGGGGTTAGTTCTCGGGATGAGTGAGGGGCAGAGCAGGCCCTGGGAGCAGCGGACAGGGTCAGTGTCGGGGTGGGGGCACTCTTCACAGAGGGGGACAGGAGTCTCGGTCAGTGGGGGTGCATGTTCTCGGGGGTGTTAGTCAGAGGGAGAGGGTGGGAGGCGGGGGTACTTACCCCGGGGGGAGGGGGCCGTCCGCTAGGGGGATATCCAGGCCGCAGCGTTGGCGTTGAGGTCGGGCAAGAAGCTTGGGGGGCCTGGCTTATGCCAGTCTTGGGGGGGCAGTGGGGGAGCACCAGTGGCTGGGGGTGGGGGAAGAGGCCAGAGGTCCAGGGGGAGGTGGGGGGGATGGAGATGGAATAAAGACAGGTGAAGGCTCAGTGGAGAGGAAACTGGGGCTGGGGCAGGGGCTGGGAGGGAGGAGGGGGCCGTGGAATGAGGGAGGGGAAGTGGGCACCTCCCCCCATGCCCCTCTCCCTGCCTCCCCAGGGAGGAGAGGGGGAGTGAGGGTGCCCCGGGGGTGGGGAAGGTGCCTCACCTTTTCGGATGGAGCCATCAGGGGAAGGGGCATAGTCCGTGAGGAGGAAGCAGGCTCGGTCACGGCTGTAGCGGCCCCGGCTCCCGGGGGTGATGGGGCTCTTGTCTTCGGGGGACAGTGCTGGCTGGTCGATGGCTGGACAGTCCTCATGGGCCAGTGCCGCCGCCGCCGGGTCACCGTTGGGGCGGGGATCTGTGCCCCCGGAGGGGTCAGAGACAGAGGAGAGAGTGAGGCTTGGGGCTGGGAGTCAAGAAGGGGGAACAAAAGCCTGTGTCCTGGGGGAGCTGCACAGTGGGGCAGAGTGGGGAGTCTGGGTCCTCAAACAAGGTGGGGGGCTTGCCTGCATTGTGGGGCATGGGGGCAGGCGTGAGGGAGATAGGGGCTGGGCTGGGACACGGGGTGATGGGGTGAGGTGGGGGTCCGGCAAGGGTGCCAGACACGGCAAAGTGCGTGCTGGAGAAGGGTTGAGGTGACAGCTGAGGGAGGGGGGCTGGGGGTCCCCAGGCTCTGACTGCAGCTATTTTTAATTGGTGAGAAACTGGGTCAGCAGCTGAGGGAGCGAAATGGGGGCCGGGCGGCCCAGCTCCTTTTCTTGACCTACTTAAAGCATGGGGGTGGGAGGCCCCCAGCCTCTCCTGCCTGGACACCCCAGGAGGCACGGGCACCGCCACACTCTGGCCCCGGCCCTGCTCCTCTGCCTGAGCCCAGCGGAGCCTGGGACCTGGGCACCAGTTTGCCCACGTGGCCATCTTAGGCCTCCCTGACCTTGAACTCCTAGACCCCAATGTCCAAACTCAGCACCCCCAGCAGTAACAGTCACCTGGCAGTGGCTCCATCCACTGCCTTGCTGTCTCAGGGTGGCCTCAGCTGGCCCTGGTCCCTCTGGGCCACAGCCCTCTGGAACGCTCCTGAGCCCCATCTGCCCTCCGTGCCCAGCCGCTGGTCCCGGGAACCCTCAAAGTGGTCACTGTCACAAAAACCCCGCGTTCTCTCACAGCCCCTTTCCCAGCTGCTTCTTGCACCCCCAGGCCTCCCCACCTCCTCCTTCCAAATGCTCCCTGCTCACCTGCCTGGTTGATCTCAGTCACTTCTTCCTGAGCCAAAGGGCAGGGCTCACCTGGGGCCGGCAGCGGGGGCAGCCCCATGATCCCCAGCCCGCCCGCTCCCCCCCTGAGCAGCCCGGGGTGCGTGTGGGGCCCAGGAGGGTAGGCCCCGGACACTGTCACCCCCATGGAGGGCGGGGTGATGGGCGGGGGCGGGCTGATGCCCCCACTGCCACCATGGTGCGGGTGGGGAGGCGGGGGTGGGGGAGGGGGCTCAGGCTTGCAGTAATTGGGGGAGCCAGGCTGGGGTGGCCGGGGGATGTGTTTGTTCTTCTTCTTGGGCAACTTCTGCTTGGCCATGGCCAGCGAATAGTACATGCCAAAGTTGTTGACGATGACGGGCACGGGCATGGCGATGGTCAGCACCCCGGCCAAGGCACACAGCGCCCCGACCAGCATCCCTGACCACGTCTTGGGGTACATGTCTCCATAGCCCAGTGTGGTCATGGTGACCACAGCCCACCAGAAGCCGATGGGGATGTTCTTGAAGTAGGTGTGGTTGGAGCCCAGGATGTCATCCGGGTCGGCGCCAATGCGCTCGGCGTAGTAGATCATGGTGGCAAAGATGAGCACCCCCAAGGCCAGGAAGATGATGAGCAGCAGGAACTCGTTGGTGCTGGCGCGGAGGGTGTGGCCCAGCACCCGCAGCCCCACGAAGTGGCGCGTGAGCTTGAAGATGCGCAGGATGCGGACGAAGCGGACGACACGCAGGAAGCCCAGCACGTCCTTGGCCGCCTTGGAGCTGAGCCCTGACAGGCCCACCTCCAGGTAGAAGGGCAGGATGGCCACGCAGTCGATGATATTGAGGCTGCTCTTAAGGAACTCCACCTTGTCCGGGCAGAAGGTGATGCGCATGAGGAACTCAAAGGTGAACCACACCACACACACGCCCTCCACGTAGGTCAGGAAGGGCTCCGTCTCCACCTCCACGTTGGTGATGTTCTCGGGGGGCGCCCCCGGGATAGGTGAGGCTTGCGTCACTGTCTTGTTGCTGATGTGGATGAAGCCCTCGTGCGTCTCCAGGCAGAAGGTGGTGATGGAGATGAGGATGAAGAAGAGGGAGGCAAAGGCCACATACTGTGGGCGGGGTGGGAGAGAGAGGGCAAAAGGTGACCCAGGCATCTGGTCGACCAGCTGTCCCCAAAACCCTCCTGAGTAACCTCTTCCCAGTGCCAACCTCTAGGGAGATTCGGGTGGCCCAAACCCGTAGTGGCTCCATCACTTCCTAGATCTTGCCACTGCCTACCCCACCCCCAAATGCTTTGAGAAAAGGAGGGAAAGTAGGGGCAACAAGAACCCCTCAGTGGTGGGGCAAGGACCTGGCTGCACACAGCTGGATGGCTTCTTGGGAGCCACTGCCCAGCCTCTGGGGCCCCACACCAGGTCTCAGATGTTTAGGGGTTGCAGCCACGCAGGGAGAGGGGACACAGGACAGAAGAGGTGGGACCCAGAGGTGAAAAGTAAGGAAGCAGGGCTGGAGCCATAGCACAGCGGGGAGGGTGCTTTTTGCATTTGGCACTGCAGGGTTCAATCCTTGACAGCCCATAGAGTCTCATGAGCCCAGCCAGGAGTAACCCCTGAGCATCGACAGGTGTGGCCAACCCTCCCCTGCCAAAAAAGAGTACAAAAGCATGCATTCTGAGGGCTCAAGCCCCTTGCTCCAAATTCGGATAAGGTGATCTCAGTTTTTTCAAGTCTCTAGATTTACAGGGTTATTGTAAGGACTAACTTAAACTGCCTTAAGAGCTTGGTTTCAAAAACAGGGCTTGGGGTTCTCAAGGGTTCATCAGAATATTGGGGAGATGCCCAAGAGCAAGGGCTAAGAAAGGGGCCTTAAAGTGCCGATGTACAACTCCCACACCCGCAAAGGGAGCTGCTGGCTCCAGGCCTGGCCGTGGCTCAGAGGGAGAGGGGTAAGGCACAGGCTCCGGAAGGGCAGGGGCTGGCGGTGAGGTCAGGAGGGGCAGTCTGGACATGGGGGGAAGGACCATGGGGGAACAGGCTTAGGCCAAAGAGAGCTGAGGGGACCTCGGTCAGAGTACAGGGAGTTGGGAGGCAGCTGGCCGGCTTTCTGCAGAACGAAGTAAGAGAACCAAAGTCCTGCCCACAAGAGTGAGTGTTCAAAGTCTCAGGAGCGACAGGCACAGGGGGCCTGGGCCTGTGGGCGAGCTTTGCCAGAGGGGCACAAAGTGGGGAGTCAGGCTCAGGCTGCACACAGACCCTGGCCCCGGGGGCGGGCAGCAGGTCGCCCCCGGCTCGGCCCGGCCCCCTCCTCCTTTCTCCGCAGTGGGTCGAGAGGCCCGAGGCCGCCGCAGAGCGCATGCCCCAGCCGGGAGCGCGGCGGAGGCTGCGGCACCGCAGTGGGGGCGGGCCGGGGGCGGGGCGCAGCGGCCAGCACCGCGGTGGCCAGTACCGCGGACAGCTCCCCCGCCGCAGTGCGCAGCCGCGGGCGCCGGTCCCTGCGCAGCCGCAGCGCCGCCGCGGGCCCCGAGCCCGCTTAACCCCCGCGCCGCCGGCGCAGCCGAGGGGCGGGGGACGCCCGCCGCAGTGCGCCCGGGAGAGGCCGGAAAGCGCCCCGGGCCCAGAGGGGGCTCAAAAGTCCAAAGGGGTAGCAACTAGCATGGGGTCCCGCTGTAGGAAGCAAAGGAGAGATTACGGGCCGGGGAGGGGAAAGAGGGGAGCCGGCACACGACCCCTCTCCACTCTGTGCGGCTCCCAACTCTCTCCAGCTCTTCTCGCTTGGACCATGCAAAGTGCTTTGGAGACCCCCAAAAAAGAAGGAAAAAATGTAGAGTAAACGAGTGACCCTCTCAAACCGTCCCGGACCCCAAGACTCAACCCCAGCACTTTTCAAAGGGGTCAGACTGAGGAAACGCGACCCAGGCCGTGGGGGGAGGGTCCCCCACCCCCAGCTCAGAGGCCAGAGGGGGCATCTAGGGCCGCGTCCTTTCCGCACCTCCTCCTCCCCACCTCCCCCCACCCCACCCCAAATCTCGCCAACTCAGCGCTTCCCGGGGACCAAACTTTATGCGGTGCCTCCGGGGTCCCCTCCCCCTCCCTCCCCAGGCGCGAATGCGGCACTGCGGCTCCGCGTCCTTCCCGGCCCAGGACGCGGCACGGTGGGGGGAGGGGGCCCCGAGACCCAGGAGCCTAGAGCCCCCCCCCAGGCGCGCCTCTTTCTCGCTCTTTCGAATTCCCCCCCATTTCCAACCATCTCCTCTTCCAACACCTGGAAGAAGTTAGGCAGAGGAAGTGGGTCCGGGGGAGAATCAAGTTGGGGGGCGGAAACCTATTTCACCCGGGATCTTATGGGGAGCGACAGGGCTGGGGAGCGGGTTCTATGGCTCACTTGGCGGGGGAAGCCCAGTCTTGGGCTTTGAACTAGGGGTGGGGGCGTTGAGTAAGGGCAGGAGACGCGCGGAAGTGCAGGGCTCAGAGAAGGGATCGGGAGCTGTTCGCGAGGAAGTTACGGGGACTGAGAACGTGGGGGGTGCGCCCAAGTTCTGGAGCAGGAATTCTTTCTTGGTTTGACTGAAGAAAGTGACGGGGAAGCCTTGGGGAAAGGAATAGCAGATGGAACGGGCTGTGCGGGTACAGGAGGGGAGAAGGTGGGTACGAAGGAGGTGATGCTGGAGGGCAGAGGAGAGGAGAGGCGGTCCGGGCTCTGGGAGAGACTGGGAAAGTCCTTGGGAAGCCGGAATGGCAGGGAGGATCCGGGAAGGGACATAAACACAGAGGGGCTACAGGACCGGAGATGCCCCCCAGACCCAGGAACGTACAGGGGTCAGTGGGAGGGGGGCGGAGCGGAGCAAGTGGGCGGGGGTCACAGAGGGGTTCAGGAGGCTGGGAAGAGGACAGATCTGAGACGCTAAGCGTAGAAGAAACGGGACACGTCAAAAACGGGAGACAAACTTGGAGAGAGGAAGGGGGTGGGAGGGGAAGGCTGGAGTGGGACTTGCTAAGGGGGGAGCACGGGACAGCGTAGGAAGGTTTGTTCCCTGAGGGTTTAGGGGCAGGGATGTCTCTGAGGGTCTGAGGGGTGACCAAGAGAGGTCAAAATGGTTTACAGGGTTTATAGGGGCTCAGGAGACAGGGCTGAGGATGGTCTTGGGAGGGCGGTATGGAGTAGTTTGGAGAGCCCTGGAGATCCGTGATGGGGAAGGAATTAAGGCTCTAAAGAGACAGGGAGGGGTGTGGGGCTCTTGAAGGTTGGAGAAACGTCTGAAGGTGCGGGGTTAGTCGGGAGAGGGGGGTGTGTTCGAGTCTGGGAGCGCGGGGTCGGGGAAGTTCGGAGGGGCAGGGCCAGCCCACGGGGTTCCGAGGGTCAGGGAGCGCCAAGCAAGCCAGGGGAGGCGGGGGTGGGGTCCCGAGAGCACGCTCACCCTGGCGGCCCGCGACGAGTAGGGGTCCTCGAAGAGCGCCCACACGCGAGGCTGCCAGCGACGCCACCACGTGCCGCCCGCGCCGCCCGCGCCCCCTGGCGGCCCCCCGGCGCCGCCGCCCGCGTCCTGGAAGCAGAGACGCTTGAGCTCGCCGCCCGCACCGTCCAGGCCGCCGCCGCCCGCTCCCGCCTCGTCGTCCAGGCCCGCGTCGTGCGCGCCCCCCGCGTTGGCAGCGTTGGCGGCGGCCGAGGAGTCAGGCGCCTCGAAGGAGTCGAGCGCTTCCTCGGCGTCGCGGTGCTGCCGGTAGGTCATCCAGCAGCAGGCCTCCACGTCGGTCTCGTCGATGCCCCAGAAGCCGAGCTCCTCCTCGAAGAGCGGCCCGCACACGTCGGACGGGCAGTGCAGCTTGCCGGTGCGGTAGTAGTTGAGCACGTAGGCGAAGACGCCCGGGTGCCGGTCGAAGAAGAACTCGTCTGAGCCGGGGTCGTAGTCGAAGCGCGCCGCCGCTTCGGGCTCCGTCAGGCCGGCCAGCCGCGTCCCCGGCAGGGTGCGCAGCGTCGAGCGGTACGTCTCATGGCGCACGCCGCCCACGTTGATCACGATCTTGCCGCTGTCGCCACCGCCGCCGTGCCGCCCCATGGCCGCCGCCGGCAGCCCGGGGCATGGCTCGGCGCGCCGGCCCCCGGGCCCGCGGGGTGCCGGGGAACCCGCCGGGGACGCGGCGGGGTCGGGCTCCGCAGACTGCTGCTGCTGCTCCTGTAGCGGCGGCGGCGGCGGCGGCGGGGGCAGCGGCGGCGGGGACTCGGGTGGCTGCGGCGCCGGCGCCGGCTGCTGCTTGCTGGCCCCCTGGCGCCCGCGGAAAGACGAGACGCAGACTGAGCTCAGCATTGGACGGGGGGCGGGGCTGAAGGGGCGGGGACCGAGGGGCGGGGCCTCGGAGAGAGAGACAGGTGTAATTGGACGGGAGGAAGAGATGGGCGGGGGCAGGGGGCACAGTGGGCGTGAAGAAGGATGCGATTGGTCCAGAGAAATTGGGGGCGGGGTTGAGGCTGGGAGGTGCACTAGGTTTCTAACGGTTCCAAACCGGAGGGGGCGGGGCCACAGGGGAAAGAAGCGGAGAGGCAGAGCAAGGTGTTAAAGGAGGCGGGGCGAGAGGCTTACGGAGGGGCAGAAACGCACTAGGAGAGCGGAAGGGCGGGGCATGATAGGAGGAAGACCTCTGATTGGGCCCGAGAGGCAATGGGGTGGAGCACGGGAAAGAGAACTAGTGCAAGCTATTTAAAGAAGCCTGACCATGACGGTGGAGGTTGTAATGGGGACACGAGGGGTGGGAAACAATCCTGATTGTTCAGAGAAGGGCTTCCTGGCCCGAGCAGAAAGCGGAGCAAACAAAGGTTCCGGTGCGGAGAGACTGCTGAGACCGCCGATTCGGATTCCAAAGTTTCACCGATGAGGGCGGCTCCTAGGAGGCGGGGCCGAAAGAGAGAGAAATTGTCCTGATTGGGTTGGACGGGCGAACGGGGCGGGCTGAAGGAGCAGCGGGAACTGGAAAACAGGGGAGAGGAGTGTAGTTAGACTTAGCTCAGAAAGGCTAGGGGGGCAGAGGCTGGGACCCAGTGAGAAGGGGTGGGGATGAGAGAGATCGGGAAATAGGAGAGTAGGTGTGAACAGGACTAAGGGAAGGGCGAGATCAGAATTGCTGGGACCAAAGCTGCAAATTCGCCGTGCTTGGGGTTGGTTGATAGAATGAGTGCACGGGTGGACGGGGAGGGACTGAAGAAGGTAGAGTTTAGAATTGTCAGAAAACAGCCTGACTAAAGTAGGAGCCGGATTTTAAGGGGCTTATATGCCACCAGGCCAGGCGGGGTCGGGGCAGGATTAAAGAGACAGAGGAACGAGAAATGGGTGCGATGAAAGAAATGAAATGCCTGCAGAGTACAGAGCTGCCGGGCTGGGCAAAGGTGTGGGGTCTGGGACCGCGGAGGGTTTTGGGGACCAAAGTGCCTGGGAGAGATTCTTAAGGGTCCACTGGGGAGGGTGGGAAGTTCCAGTTGGTGAGGGAACAACGGGGACGAGGCGTAGTGTTCACGTCGGACTGCAGAGAGAAACACCAAGGCATGGATGAGGCGCTTGCCTTGCACGCGGCCGACCCGGCTTCGATCCCCGGCATCCCACAGGGTCCCCCAGTTTCTCTCAGGAGTGACCCCTGAGCGCAGAACCAGGAGGAAGCCTTGAGCACCGTCGGGTGTGACCCCCAATAAATAAAGTGGAGGGGAGAAATCTAAGCGTCCAGCCGGCACGCACTTCCTGGTTGGCTCAGTTGGTGCGACCCAAAGGAGAAGAGGCGGGGTCAGGTGCCCGAGAGGCCAGGGGCAAAGCATTAGGAGGGCCAGTGGGAAGAATTAGCAGAACCAGAATTAAGCAGCCGGGCGGGGAGGGGTCCGGCCCCGCCCCCTGGGCTGGCTGAGCCGCCGGGAGTCAGGGCGCAGGCGCAGGCGCAGGGGCTGGGGCGGGACTGAAGGCTGCGGCGGGGGCTGCGGCGGGAGGAGGCGGTGCCTGCGGGCGCTAAGGGGGCGGGTCAGGGGCTGCGGGCGTCCTGGCGTTGCAAGGTCCCTGGCCCGCAGCCTTCCTGTGCAGGTGCTGCGGCTGGTTAGTATCGCCTCCCCACCTACCCCCGTCGCCTTTCTGTGTCTCTTTCCCTCTCCCTCTGGGTGTTTGTCTGCGACCCTTCCCTCGGTTCTGACCCCTCTTTGCAAAGTCTCTGCCATCCTTTGATTTTTTTTTTGTGGGCGCTGGGGTGGGGGTGTCCAATTATTCTCTGAATCTGTCCTCTTACGTGTGCGCTTTTGCCCCTCTTTTCTCTTCCCCGCTATATATATATATATATATATATATATATATATATCCTTCCTCCACACACACACCACTCCGGATCTCTCTGTCTCTGTCTCCTGTTTCTCTGTGTCTCTGTCTCTGTGTCTCTGTCTCTGTCTCTCTGTCGTCTCTGTATCCCTCTGCCTGGGTTTCTGTACCCTACAGGATCTTCCCTGCATTCCCCACCCCCCGGGGGCTATTTCCCTCTCTGGCCTGTCCGTCCGTCCGTCCGTCTCTAAAACGTCCTCCCTTCCCATGTTTTTCCCACTTCTATCTGACCTTTATCCTTCTCCAACACACACACACACACACACACACACACACACACACACACACACACACACCACCCTCCGTGTCTCTCTTGTTCCTTCTGAATCCCTGTGACCCTCTTCTTTTCTGAGTGTTCCCCTTTTCTTTGGGATTCTGTCCCATTGTCCTTCATCTGTACCTCTCTGAGACTGTATTCCTTTGCTCCTGCCCCTTCCCCCCCACCCCCATCAACCCCTCTAACCCTCATCCTGGCCAGGACTGTGCCTGCGTCACTGCAGAGTTGCAGAAGTGGGTTCTATCCTGCAGCACAGGGAGGTCGCTTCCCCCAGGTGCTGGCTCCTCCACTGCCCCACAGCACCTGACAGAACCCAGAGGGCAGAGAGGGGTCCTCTCGGTTTCCTGCTCTCTGCCAAAATCTTGCGGGAATGTTTAAATAGGGGAGGGGGCTGGAGTTGAGTGAGTGAGATGCAGGGCAAGTGCAATGGAGTGGGGCTGCGGGGCTTGGGGAGGGGGGTGTCCTAGGTGCTGGGAGTGAGAGCTAGGCGCAAGAATCGGGCTCTGTCCGATTCCCTTCCACCCTCCACCCCTACCCCACCTCTACTCTTTCTCTGCTGCATTTGACAGCTGCCAGGCAGGGGATCAAGTTACCAAGTCAGCGACTTTGCAGCGGTCAGATGGTATGAGAGAAGGTGGAGTGCAGGGAAGAGAATAGGGGAGAATTTGGAGACTCCTGGGGATCTGAAATCTTGGGAGGAGAAGGACAGGACAAGGAGTGACAGAACTGTCCAGACACCATGAAGCCAAAGGGAATTTGGTCTTTCTTTTTGTTTCATTTTTGCTTGGGGGCCCCGCCCGATGGTGTTTAAGGCTTCCTCCTGGGTCTGTGATCCTCAGGGATCACTCCAGGCAGGCTTGGGAGACCATCTGGGGTGCCAGGGGACTGAACCCATGGCAGTCGAGTACAAGGCAAGCACCCTCCCCGATGTGCTATCACTTGGATCCCACCAAAGGATATTTGGGCAGGGTCATCCTTTATGAATATATGGGGGAATCACTGAACCCAAATTTTCGCCTCAGGAGCAGGGGTGGGGGAGGGGGGCCTGTGCAACCTGACCTGGACCGGGGTTAACCGCCATCCTCACTGCCAGCAGAGGAGGTAAGTGAACTTGATTTTCAGAGAGGCCAGATGAGAGGTGGAAGGAGGCCTCTGCTCCCACCCCTCTTCCTCCCCCAGATCCTCAAGACAGAATTCCTGACAGCTTCGAACTCCTCCCTCCGGTGACCTCAGTGCTTCCAACTCCCCCTTCCGTGCACTCCCCCCTTCCTCCTCCACTCCCAAGACCTAGAATTGGGGAAGGGTCTTTCCTGTTTTTCTGACTTCTAAAGAGCCCCCCTCCTTGTCCCTTCGCCCCCATTCCCATCGGTTCCAAATCCGGGAAAGGGGGCCTCCCCGACACGGATCCGAAAACACGGGACTCTGCCTGCCTTCATCATTGGTGCTCCCCCGCAACACCGAGCCCCCTCTTCCCCCACCAAAGCTCCCGATGGAGGGGCAGCTCTCCGCTGTCATCTTTCGGTCGCCCGTCACCCGGGCCCCTCGCCTCCAAAGCTGGCATTTGGGCTCGCTTGCCGCCCCTGAACCCCGGCCTTCTTCCCCTCGCCTGTACTCACCCCAAGTCGAGGCGGGGCGAGGCTGGGGGAATCCGGGGCTGGCGATGGGGGGGAGGGGTGACCCAGCCCCGGCAGCTCTGGGCAGCAAGAGGCTGCGAAGGGGGGGTGGGGAGTGACATCATTGCCGGAGGAGGGGCACCACAGCTCCCCCCAACCCAGGGGCTTCAAGCCCCGCCTTGATGGCGGACCCAGGGGTCCGAGAATTCCGAGGGACGAGAGGAGCAGCGGGTGATGCGGTCTGTGAGAACGGTATCCTCTGCCGTGACAGCAAGGGTTGGAAAACCCTTTACGATTCCAACCACCGCCCGCTGCCACCTGTCGCTGCCGTCGCGACCTGTCGCCTCCCACTCATGTTGTGGCTGCGCCCGCCCCCGGCCCGTGGGAAACACTCCTTGGACTACAATGCCCGTGATGCTCTGCGGTGCCGACGCCTCCACGACAGCCGCTCGCGGGCGAAAGGCTTCGTGGGACTCGTAGTGCCTGGCCGACCGCGCACGTGTGAGCCGGGGAGAAAAGAGGTTACGCCCGTCTCCTCCCTCTTTGCAACCGGACAAATCCGGACACGGAATTCCCTCTCCAGAAAGCACTGGCGAGTGAGACCGCTTAGAGGGCTACTGAACATACTGTGCATGCGTGGGGGGTGAGGGGGGGTCTGGGGGGGTCTGGTTCGATGTCTGGAACCTGCTCGGTCCTAGAAACGTCTCGGGGAGCGACCCCCCCAAGCACCGACTCCTCCGAGCACCGCAGGGTGTGACTCCAGGCAAGCAAACAGAAGAAGCGACCTGGGTAGGTCCGGGAGGAGGGTATAAGTGTATTCGTAGTGAGTGGCGGGCCCCCGGCTAAGCGTCACCCGTCGTGCAGGCGCCTAAGCGGAGCGCCCACCCGAGAAACGCCCCTGCGCCGGGCCACCCTGCTGCCCCCCGACCCCGCGGGGACGAGCGCGTGCCAGTCCCACCCTGGCCCCGTCTTTCTGGTTCCCGCGGTCGAAGACGGCTACGTAGGTGCCCAAGAAGACATCGCCAAGGATCCAAAGGGGCCCTGCTGGTGGCGGCAAGTCCAGAGCCTGGAAGCCGGACAGGCAGAAGCTGACGCCGCCCCGAGTGATCTGTAAGGTGACCAGACGGGAGGGGTGGGTGAGAGGGGGGTCACGCCTCTTACCTGGAGCCCAGGTTTCCCACTACCCCAGGCTCTGGAAATGATTGGCAGTCCCTGGCTCCACCCTTCCCAGCCTAGCCGCTGACGTGGTGGGGACAGCCACTCACCTGGATCACGTACTCCTCCGCCGTGAGGTTGAACCACACTCCACCCAGGAGGAAGGAGACTGGAGGGAGAGCTGGGACTTTGGAGCACTGGATGAGGTACTGAGGGGGAGGAGGAGTTACCCCCGCTTATTAAGAGACTTCGCAGCGGGCTGCTAGGTTTTCAGGATCTTCCGACCCCCTCTTTCCCCTCCCCCCCTGCCTCCTCCAGCCTAACTTCCATCACCCCATTATAATTGAACCCCCAAATCAAATTTCCTTTAACTTTACAGCATGGGGAGCCAGAGCGATAGCTCAGCGGGTAGGGCGTTTGCCTTGCACACGGTGACCTGGGTTCGATTCCCAGCATCCTGTATGGACCCCCAAGCACAGCCAAGAGTAATTCCTGAGGGCAGAGCCAGGAGTAAACCCTGTGCATCGCCGGTGTGACTCAAAAAGCAAAAAAAAAAAAAAAATTTAATTTTAAAAATTGGTGGCTTGGGGCCAGAGCTATAGTACAACAGGTAGGGCACTGCCTTGCATGAGGCCTGTCCTGAGTTGGATTGTTGGCACCCCATTTAGTACTCCGAGCCTCATTAGGAGTGATCACTGAGTGCAGAGCCAGGAATAAATTCTGAGCACTGCTGGGTGTAACCAAAAAGTAAGAATAACAACAACAAAAAATCACTGTCAAAAATCGGGGGTTAGGGGCTGGAGAAATAGCACAGCGGGTAGGGCGTTTGATTCCCAGTATCCCATATGGTCCCCTGAGCACTGCCAGGAGTAACTCCTGAGTGCAGAGCCAGGAGTAACTCCTGTGCATTGCCAGATGTGACCCAAAAAGCAAAAAAAAAAAAAATCGGAGGTTAGGGGGCTGGAGCGATAGCACAGCAGGTAAGGCATTGCCTTGCATACTGCCAACCCAGGTTCGATTCCCAGTATCCCATATGGTCCCCCAAGCACCGCCAGGAGTAATTCCTGAGCGCATGAGTCAGGAGTAACCTCTGTGCATCGCCGGGTGTGACCCAAAAAGAAAAAAAAAAAATCAGGGGCTGGAGTGATAGTACATCTGGGAGGGTACTTGGCTTGCATGCAGCTGACCTGGGTTCTATCCCCAGCACCACATAGGGTCCCTTGAGCACTGCCAGGAGTGATTGTTGAGCACAACAGGGTGTGGCATAATAACAAACAGACAAAAATTGGTGACCCCTGGTGTATTTCATTTGTCTTACCCTATATCATTTGTCTTATACTTTTTGTTGGGGGGGCACACCTGGCGATGTTTAGGGGTTACTCCTGGCTCTGCACTCAGGAATCACTCAGGGGACCATATGTATGCCAGAGGTCAAACCCATCTTGGTCACGTGCAAGGCAAACACCCTATCCTCTGTACTATATCTCCAATTCCTGACTTACACTTTTTATACTTAAAAAGCTAGTGACCAGGAGCCAGAGAGATAATACAGTGGATAAGGCACTTGCCGTGTATGCAGCCCACCTGGGTTCAATCCCTGGCATTCCATATGGTCTCCTGAGTCTGCCAGGAGTGGAGAGCCAGGAATAACCCCTGAGCACCACCCAGTGTGGTCCCCAAACCAAAAGCAAACCAAATCTAGTGACCGTCGGAGGACAAGAAAAAGCACTCAGCTGGCTGATGGGCAGGCTTTGCCTGCAGGTGGCCTGATTTGATCATAGGCACTACCAGGTCCCTCTGAGCAGTCAAGGGTGTGGACAAGAGTTTAACCTAAAGGGGCCAGCATCTTTCCCACCTCTCATCTTCAGAGCCTGTCCAACCTGCACACACGCCCCTTTCAGGCAACGGGTCCTCACCTGCCCAGTCATCAGGGGGGAGCCCCCAATGGCCTCATTCAGGGCCTGGATCTCCTCGGTGGGTCCGGTAATGAGAGAAGTGCCCGTGTCCAGGATGGCAGCACAGCCCTTGGCACAAACAGTCAGACCTATGCCTAGCATCACCCTGCCGGGGAAGGAGGCAGTCAGCATACCAGCCCCCTCAGGCCCCGGAACCCAAGCCCAGTCCTCCGCTCAGACCCAGGAGTTCATTCCCAGCCTTCACCCTCACACCCAAGGTTTTTCCCTCGGCTTTCCCTATCAATACAGGGGTCACCCCGCCCCACTGCCTCCATCAGACCCAGGGTCTAGCCCCCAGCACTCTCCATCAAACCCAGGAACACAGCCACCAGTCTCATCCATCTGATGCAGGGTCTGACCCCTTAATTCTCCATCACCTAGAATTTGGGGTCCCCAGTCCCCCTTCTCCAGGACCCTGGAGAGCAGGCCCCAGCACCCATCTCTGAAGTTGAGGCCCCCACTCACTGCTCCATGTGAATCTGCCAGTAGGCAGGGATGGTGACTGGCAGGAAGGTGAGGGGTGGGATGTAGTGGTTCGGGTCTGATCCCCCAAGAACTAGCTCTCCTCCATTGGCTGCTTTAGGGTCTCTAGAGAAAGCAGAGTGCCATCAGGGGTGAATCCACAGGGGTTCTCCCCGGAATGACCGCCAGAGAAATATGCTGCTAGGGAGAGGTTTCGGGGTGTGAGATCAGGTACAGGCAGCACCTGGATACTGGGACTTGAAAACAAGGCAGGAGTAAGGAGGAGGGTCTTTCTGGGTAGGACTTGGGATTTCAGGGTGCAGGTGACTTCCTGAAGAGATGATGAGATTTGCTCATTTAACTACAGATGAAAGAATTTGTGTGTGGAGGGTAAATTTAAGTGGGGATTGTGAGTTAGGTCTGGACAGAGTGGGAAGTTGGTAGCTGGTGGATGGTGAGACTTTTTGACGGGGAAAGTGGAGTTGGGCCACACAGGGCCCATATGTGGTACTGGAGATCAAGTGTGGGCTGGCAGGGAGCAAAGGCAAGCACCTAACCCCTCCAGCTACCCTTCCCGCTCTGAGGGCGAGACTCTTTAAAGTGTGTGTCCTGGAATTCACAGGCATTGGTTGAATGAAGGTGATGAGAAGAGGGATGAAGACTTGCTAGTGGTGTGGGAGGGAAAGACTGAGACTAAGGGTGGTGGGATTCCCTGCGTAGGTCAGAGGTCAGCTGGATTAGGACTTTATGCATGGAGAACAGGACCTCCAGGAGGGAAAGGGGAGACTGCCTGATTGGTGGTGACACTCCTGGTTGGTGAGTAGGACTTCCGGATTTGTGGGTAAGACTTCCTGATCAGTGGATAGACTTCCTGGATTGGGTAAGACTTTCTTATTGGTGGGTAAGATTTTCTGATTGGTGGGTAAGACTTCCTGCTTGGTGGTGATACTCCCTTGGATGGTGGGTAAAGCTTCCTGTTTGGTGGAGATGCTCCTGGATAAAAGATTTCCTGGTTGTTCATTGAGACTTAATAGAGCTTCCTGAAAGGTGGGTGGGACTTCCTGAATTTAAAAGGGGAATTCCTGACTTCTAGTGTGTGTTCGCAAATGGAATTAGGCTTTCTCTATGGTCAAGAGAGGAGGCTCCTGCGTTCAGTATTTGATTGAGCAGCCTGTGGCATTCTCTGGGGCAAGAACTCCCTCCTCCTTTGGAGTGTTTCTGTGGTGGTGAGTTTCTTCTGTTTGTCTCAGAGGTGTTGCACAGTGGGTGGGACATCTGCTGAGGGCTGGGGTGTCTGTTTCTTGCCTGGGTCACATTCTGAATGGACCTGCCCGTGTGGGTAGAGTCCCTAGATAGAAAGTGTCCTGGTGACTTCCTGAGTAGAGGCTAAGGCTTCCTATATTAGGAAAAGGACTTCCTCCTTGGGACCAGGGGAGGTGGACCCCACCCCGACCCAAATACCTGTTGAGGTAGAAAGAGAAGACAGGCTTGTCCAGTAGCCCCTGGTCCACCAGTGCATCCAGCGGGGGCCGAACTCCTTCCACCGCCAGAATAGGAAACCCGAGCCCCAATATCCCATCGAAGTGGGCCAAAGTGAAGACCAGGCTGGGCTGCCACAGAGCCTCCCCGAACATCACCGATGCGCCCTTAATACCCCCAATCTAGGGGCAGATTCAAACAAGGGAGATTACTTCTGGAAGGGCATTAGTCCGTCTAGGGCTTTTTGAAAGCTAAGCTTTGCCTCCTCGCTTGAGAGCTCCGCCCTGGCCCCGCCCCACGATTGGGACGCCCTGCCCTCAACAGACGCCTCGCCCCTCTCAAGCCCCGCCCCTTCCCAAAGGCCACACTTTTTTTTTTTTTCCTTTTTGGGTCACACCCGGCGATGCTCAGGGGTTACTTCTGGCTCATGCACTCAGGAATTACTCCTGGCAGTGCTCAGGGGACCATATGGGATGCTGGAAATTGAACCCGGGTTGGCTGTGTGCAAGGTAAACGTCCTACCCGTTGTGCTATTGCTCCAGCCCAAACCAGGTCATCTTTAGACTTTAGGGTGTTCCCAGGGCTCAAGCCCTCCTGGGGTCCAGGATCACTCACAGTCAGCTTGTCCTCGCTCAGGATTCCATCCAGCCTCCCAGTTCCATACTGAATGGCGAACTTGGTGCCATTGGGTCGGAAGGAGCTGGAGGCTTTGGAGTTGAAGCGATGATGCAGCCCTAATCAGAAGGTCAGAGAGGTGTCACAGGCCCCCCGAATGCTTTCTGCCCCCCAACCTTCCCACCTGTGACTGTCAGAATTGATCAGGGCCCCACAGGGGACGTGGCTCAACGCTAAAGCTCTGCCTTGGGCTGGAGCAATAGTACAGTGGGTAGGGTGTTTGCCTTGTGCGTGGCCAATCCGGGTTCGATTCCCAGCATCCCATATGGTCCCCCGAGGACCGCCAGTAGCAGTTTCTGAGTGCACAGCCAAAAGTAACCCCTGTGCATCTCCAGGTGTGACCCAAAAATAAATAAAGAGGGGCTGGAGCAATAGCACAGCGGGTAGGGCGTTTGCCTTGCACGTGGCCAACCCGGGTTCGATTCCCAGCATCCCATATGGTCTCCCGAGCACCGCCAGGAGTAATTCCTGAGTGTAGAGCCAGGAGTAACCCCTGAGCATCACAGGTGTGACCCAAAAACAAAAAATAAATTAATTTAAAAAAGAAAGAAAGAAAGGAAGCTCTGCCTTGCCAGCTTGAGGCTGCAAGTTGGACCCCAGGACCACCCCGCGTGCAACACTGAAATTCCAACAGCACAGCACATTTATGTGCCTGACACCTGACATGCTAAAGCATGTCCCCGGCAGCAGCTATGTATCCCCACCAAGGTGGTAGCTGGGAATAACCAAAAGGACTGGAAGGGAATACTTTCTCCTCCCCTTCCCCTTCATCCCTGTTCAGCCACCTTCTTCCTTCCCTCCCCGATGCCCCTAAAAACTCACAGCAAGGAAGGCTGAAGAAGTAGCATTTCCTGGATGGGACCCAGAGATTGGAGGAGCCGGTGTCGAAAACAACAGAGAAGTTTTGTGGGGGTGTCCCCAGGCCAATCTCCCCAAAATACTGGGCCTGAAAGCAAAACCAGGACAGGATATGAATGTGGACTTAGGAGGCATTTGCGGGGGGGATTGTGGGGAGCAGACTCACGTTCACATAGTTGGAGAGAGGCACGAGGATGGGCTTGTCCCCGGGGGAAGGGATCCCCAACCTGGGTGGCACTGCTGGCGGCCCCCAGCCCCTCAGGTGGTACAGGCTCCCATGTCCAGTGTAGACACGGCGGAGAGGGATCCTGGAGGGAGGAAGTCGCTTTCATCTCAGAAGTGACCGTTGTGGACATGCTTCTAATGGACCTTCCCAGAGAAGATCCATCAAAGTAACACCTGACGCCCCAATAGTCTTGGCCAGAAACCCAGCAATAATCCAAGAGCCCCTCTGGCACCTCAGTGCCAATTTTGTACAAGATTGAACCATTCAAAACAGACCTTCCCTACCACCTTTCCCAGTCGGGTCACGTACGCCAGCCCTCAGGGAACCATGATTCACAAAGGTTTCCAATGATCCTAAGGGCGGGGGGAGGGAGGGATCTAGCCTCTGCAAAAGAGAAAAATCTTGTGTTTTTCAATTCTTGCTGGAGATCATTTCCCCTACCACCTGAGAGGAACATGGAAGCAGCAAATCCCAAATTCACTCTCCACTGTGAAATGCATCCCAGATGTATCAAAGACACTCTAGACTCATGAGGGCAGAAATGGATGGAGGGGTTGGATGGCTCTTGAGAAACTTTAAACATTTCTCTTTTGGGGCTGGAGCGATAGCACAGCGGGTAGGGCGTTTGCCTTGCACGCGGCCAACCCAGGTTTGATTCCCAACATCCCATACAGTCCCCCAGCACTGCCAGGAATAATACCTGAGTACAGAGCCAGGAGTGACCCCTGTGCATTGCCGGGGTATGCCCCCCTCCAAAAATTTTTCTTTTTTTTTCCCCTTTCGTTCTCTTCATTCCCTTCCTTTCCCTCCCTCCCCTTCCCTCCCTCCCTTTCTTCCTTTTATTTTTTGCTGCCACACCCAGCAGTGCTCAGAGCTTCCTCCTGGCTCTCCACTCAACGATCATTCCAGCAGTGCTCAGGGGACCCTCTGTGGTGCCGGGGATCAAGCCCAAGTGGGCTATGTCTCCAGCCACGCTGGAGCCCGAGAATTTGCACCCCTCACATGGTTCTCTCAGTCATTGCTGCTGGTTCTGTGGGAGCCCCCAGAAAATCTCTGCTGTTTGCGTTGGCTTGGGCAATAGTTGAAAAGCCGCTGGGCACGCTGCCTGGGCTGGTCATGTGCCTGCAGTCACCGGCGGCCCCCCTGCAACCCTGGCTCGAGAGGCTCAGAAATGTCAAGTGGGGCAAGTTTCCTGGAAGAGTGCCCCTTCCACCCACAGAGAGATTCTGGAGAGTTCCGGGCAGGAGGAGGAGAGAGGGGAGGAGGGTGATGAGGTGAGAATACAGCAGAGGTCAGATGAGATCATTCGGGTCCCCCAAAACGACATTGGGGGTCTGAGGCCATATCTGGCAGTGCTCAGGGATTTTCCTGCCTGTGCTCAGGAGTGACCCCTGGGTAGTGCTTGGGGGCCATATGAAGTGACTCAGCCTCTCATTGGCTCCACTGCATGCAAGGCAAGTGCCTGGCTTCCTGCACCCCAAACTGGACTTCTGGAGACCGAAAGACAGAATTCAGAGACAATCTTGGTTTGGAACCATTGATCTCTGAGGGCCAGAGCCATAGTACAGTGGGGAGGGCTCTTGCCTTGCACACAATCGACCTGGTTCAAGCCCCAGCAGCCCATATGGTCTCTGAGCCCACCAGGAGTGATCCCTGAGCACAGAGCCAGGAGTAAGCCCTGCCGGGTATGACCCAAACTCTCCCTGCACACCCCATCCCCACCCTGGGGGAAAAGTCTCCGGGCTAAGACTGGAGAGATAGTTCAGGGGTTAAACAATCTCCTTGCGCACAGCGAACCCTGGTCTGATCTTCAGCACAACATACTGTCCCCCAATCCCCTCCAGGAGTGGTCCCTGGGCACAGAGCCAGGACTAAGCCCTGAAGACTGCTGGGTGTAGCCCCAAAACTGAAACAAAAAAAATCCCTTAGAAAAAAAAATCCCTTAGGGTTTGGGGATCTTTGGAAAGATGGGAGAGGGTCTCAGGGGCTCCTCAGGAGGGAGGAGCCCACTCTGCAGAGCCCCTGAGAGCCAGAGAAAGGCATCTGGGGAGCAGATGGGGAGCCACAGGATGAGGAAGCCCCCCCGGACGCAGGGAGTCCATCCCGGGTCTGGGAGGTCCCGATACCGGATCAGCGTGGCCCCAGCAGGGTCCAAGGTGAGCGGAAGCAGCAGCAGCAGCAGCAGCGAGAGCAGGGCCATCTCTGGGCGAGGAGTGGGCACGGGCATGGGGGGGGTGGCTTATTTATCCCCCCGAGACTCCACCCCATCAGCCACCCTCTCCCCAGAGCCAGCCCATGGGACAGGCAGGAGTGGTGGGTGAACAGAAGAGGCAGTGTCATTCTCAGGGTCACTGGGGGCGTTGCCACTTTGTCACTGGCACTCTGCACTCCCCAGTTTGGGAGTGGTGTCAGGGGTGCGCAGCTGGAGTCCCAGGGCCCCCTTTCTTTGGCACCTTCACTTTCACTCCACTTTTCTGGGACTCATTAACCACAAGGATTTCCTGGGGCAAACAGAGGGAGGGGCGGGGAGACTGGGGAGAGTTGAGGTGTGGCGGTCCAGCCCCATCTTCACTCTCACAGGCTGTGGAAAATACTGAAACACAGCACACACCATCCACACTCATGGCACACTCCACTCAAACATATGACATGCACATCACACATGACACAAGCATGACACACATCCGTCACAGACACAGCACTGCATCGCACAGCATTCATAGCACAAATAATGTTCACAGAGCTGGAGTGATAGCACAGCAGGTAGGGCATTTGCCTTATATGCAGCCGAACCGGGTTCAATTCCCAGCATCCCATATGGTCCTCTAAGCACCACCAGGAGTAATTCCTGAGTACATGAGCCAGGAACAACCCCTGTGCATCGCTGGGTGTGACCCAAAAGGCAAAATATATAATAATAATGTTCACACATATATGGTGCCGAACACAAGTCGGGTCAGCTTCGTGCAAGATAAGCACCTTCCACCTGTCACAGTTTCTCTGGCCCCTGCTAACTTATCTGACTCTTTTTGGAGGGTGGAGGCCACACCCAAGAATGATTAGGAATCGCTCCTGCCTCTGCACTCAGGGATAGCTCCTGGCAGGATTCTGGGAACCTTCTGGGTGCCAGGGATTGAGCCCAGCTCAGCCAAGTGCAGAGCCAAGTGCTCTGCCCGCGGGAATGTCACCCCGACCCCACTGCAGTGTTTTTACAGTAGCTAAACTATGGAAGCAGCCAGGTGCCCATTGAGAGCTGATTGGATAAGGAAAATGTAGACCTGATTTCTACCAGCAGTTAAAATATTCCCTCAGTTATTTAAAAGCAAAAGTGAACATTTGACTCAGGAGAATGGAAGGAGCTTGAGGGAATCGTGGAAAGTGAAGTCGGAAGGGAAAAGGCTGGGGCAATGCGAGAGGGAGCAGAGGGACAGAGCCCCAGGAGAAGTACAGGAAATTTCTTTTTAAATGACTTCTTTCAGAGCCATTCGTGTGCCAGGCAAATGTCCTACCTCTATGCTATCACTCCAGACCAATCGCTTGTGGCTGTGTCCCCAGGTCCTGAGAGTGCCTGCCAGCTGGCAGTAGAAAATAGTCCACCTTGCACACCTGTTTATTTATTTATTTATTTTGTTTGTTTGTTTTTTTGGGTCACACCCGGCAATGCAATGCACAGGGGTTACTCTCAGCTCATGCACTCAGGAATTACCCCTGGTGGTGCCCAGGGGACCATATGGGATGCTGGGAATCGAAACCGGGTCGGCCGCGTGCAAGGCAAACGCCCTACCCGCTGTGCTATCACTCCAGCCCCCGTTTTTTTTTTTTATTTTTTAAAATTGTATTCACCATGAGGTACAGTAACAAAAATCTCATGTTTGAACTTCGATCATATGGTCATCAAACACCCGTCAGTGCACATTTTCCACCACGAAAATCCCCAGTATCCCCCCCCATTCCACACCTCCCCCTGCCTATGTAGCAGACAATTTGCAAAATATTCTCTCTCTACCTTTGGTATTTCGAGACCAATCCTACCACCCTTCATACCTGCTGAAAATGCTAGACAATGTGTTTTGTATTGCTTGTTATGAATGTAATATAATGTTGCGCTGCCGCTCTCCTCCCCTGTCCCGCGAGACTTGGGATTTACCATCACCGGGACTCGTATCTGGAGCTTCTTGCTGGCTTCTAGAGAATGGCAACAACTGGAGCTCTTAAAGGTCAGGCAGAGGGACAACACCTGTCCCCGTCTGGAGCAGCCCAGCAGAGAAGGCCTTCGCAAAGTCCTGGGCCATCTCTGCCGCGAGTTGCTCGGTCCGAGATTTGTTTGTGTGTCTCTTCCTCCTCAGTCTCAGGTCTTTTTGGGAGAGGTGGGGGGTCTTTTTGTGTCACACTCTGTGATGCTCAGGGGTTACTCCTGGCTATTACTCCTAGCGGTGTTCGAGGGACAAAAAGGGGTGCAAGACAAACACCCTCGCTGCTTTGTTATCACTTGGGCCCCTAGTCTCAGGTCTTGACCTTTCAGAATTTCTCCCCCAACCTCACCGCCCCCTGAATCGTCTTTCCAGCTTACTCAAGGGAGAGGTCTTGCTTGCAGGTCTTCAGATGACCACAAGGCGGCGATGTGGACTTGTTTCCCCCAGCTCAGGGAGGCGCTTCAAACCCCGATCAGTTTCTATACTCTTTAAAAACGGTCCTGCACCATTGATGCAAACTCAAGCCAGGTCCCTAACAAGTAGAAATGCAAACCTGGGTGACTATTTTCCATCCAGATCTACGGAAACATTTTTTAGTCTGTTTTTGGATCACACCCGGCAATGCTCAGGGGTTGCTTCCGGCTCTGCACTTAGGAATTACTTGTGGGGTGTTCAGGGGACCACATGGGATGCCGGGGATCCAACCCGGACTGGACGCGTACAACGCAAAATAGGTTACCCGTTGTACTATCCCTCTCGCCCTGGGAAACAGTCTGTTTTATAGAATTCTGTGAGTCAGTTGCAGAAATGTTCTGAATGTTTGGGAGGGGTGCCCGGATAAGGAGTTTATAGTGAGAAAGGAAAAGAGCCAGGAAAAATGTGGTGTACAGCCCACACAGATGGGAAAGAAATCAGAAAACTTGCGTCTCGTGGAAAAAATATCCTTTTGTGAAGACATTGCAAAAGTTAGCTGCTCTGGGCATTCACGGGCTGGAGAGAGAATGCTGAGATAAGGCGCTAGCCTGACATACAGCCAGCTGAGGGTTGGAACCCGGACACCACATGATCCCCCAAGCACCTCCAGGAGTGATATCTGAGCACAGGGTCAGCACCACTGAGTGTGGCCCCCAAACAGAAAAAGAAAACAACATCATTCAGTTACTCCCTTAAGCAAACAGCACTGACTCTCTGAGCCATCTCCAGCCCAAACAGGTCCTTAAACATAGGTATGCCCACGCTTAACCCATCTTGGACCATGTCTCTCAGCCATGTACCATTCTGAGAGTTTCATTTTTCTTTTATTTTTGGGGGGGGAGTTTCATTTTCCTGTTGTTGTTGTTGTTTTGACTTTTTGGGTCACACCTGGGATGCTTGGGGGTTACTACTGGCTCTGCATGCAGGAATTACTCCTGGTGGTGCTGGGGACCATATTGGATACCAGGGATTGAACCCCGGGTCGGCTGCATGAAAGACAAATGACATACTCACTGTGCTATTGCCCTGGTGCCCAAGTTTCATATGTTTTTTTTTCCCAAAGAAATTAATGTTCTACAGACAGTAAACATAGCCCAGAATGAGAACAGAGCTGCTGAATACCTGTTGGAGCCCAAGATTGGTTGGAGTAAAGAGAATCCAAGAGAGCGGGCGACTCTTGCCTTGCACATGGCTGATTAAAGTTCAACCCTTGGCATTCCATATGGCCCCTAAGCACTATTAGGTGCAACCCCAAAACAAAAACAAGCAAGAGAAGAGAGAGAATTCAAGAGAGAGAATCTAAAAGAGAGAATCGGTTGAGGGATGAGTGTCTTGTCTGCATGATGTGCTCATTGCAATACATTCGTTAAAAACCCACACCTGGGGCTGGAGAGATAGCACAGAGGGTAGGGCATTTGCCTTGCACGCAACCGACCCGGGTTTGATTCCCAGCATCCCATATGGTCCCCTGAGCACCGCCAGGAGTAACTCCTGAGTGCAGACCCAGGAGTAACCCCTGTGCATCGTCAGATGTGACCCAAAAAGAAAAAAAAAACAAAAACTCCACACCTGCCCGTATGTGACAGTTTACAGTGGCCCTGGGGACCCCAGAAAGAGAATAATCATGGTATGAATCTGGGTAGCATCTTGACTCTGGGAATTCATTTCTCCAAACTCTCCATCTTCTCTGAACTATCATGAATGTTCCACCACTTATCCGTTTCTATACTGAAATAAACGAATCTGTGTAGAAATGGCGCTTCTTCTTCCAGAATTTATCAGACTTCGCCTGAGGGAGCATTCTGTAATAAACTGCCTGTTTCGTGGCTGGGTCCTATGTCTCAAATGTCTACTTGTCTCAAACAAACCTTTTCCTATGACTTTATTTTTCTGCCTGAAGATTGAATTCTATTTTTTCTCTTCCTTTATGGTTTTTGGGCCACATGCAGTAGTGTTAAGGGTTCACTCCTGGTCTCTCTGCCGGCAGTGTTCAGGCAGAACCATATGAGGTGGCAGATTGGTGCTGGCCACATGCACGTGCTTAAGACTGATACTGAACTCCGTTCAGCAACTACTCCTGGCTCTTTGCTCAGTGGTTACTCCTGGCAATGCTTGAGAGACCATATACAGTGCTAGGAATTAACCAGGCATGGCCCAGTGCCAGGTAAGTGCCTGAACTCTGGTGCTATCTCTGATATCTCAAAGTGATCATGTAACTGAGTTTACTGCAACTCAATAAGTAAATAACTGTCCCAAGGCAAATTTGTTTGTTTTGGGTTGTGAACGGGAGACTGAAAGGAAGCAATAAGAAATTTAGGGGTTTTTTTTATAAGTTTTTTTTTTTTTTTTTTTTTTTTTAGATTATTTAGCTGTGTCATTCCTTAAGTACACTGAACTTTCTGCAAGGCATGGAAAGTCTGTCACAGGTTGCAAACAGGACCAATGGGCTGGGGATGTAAAGGCGGTGGCTAAGAGGACCGATTGTCTGCTTCACATACTAGCTTCTTTTTCTCACTTCTGTGCTTCTGTAACAATGTTTGTTTCTTACGCTTGTGTGGACTTACAGGGTGTCAGGATGTGGCCCGGTGAGCTAAACTAATTTTTCAGGTGCTCATGAGAGTGATGGGGAACCATGCTGTGGTTTTTCCTAACAAAATATCAGGGCTTCTGCTGTGAGGCTGCTGCTCTTGCCTAGTAGGACAGCCCGCCTGCTGGTGTCAATAAAGACCCCAAATTCTATTTTTTTTGTCCCCATGGTCTTTTGATCGTGACCCCACAACAGGGTCAAAACTGGCTCTACACTCAGGGATCACTCCTGGCAGTGTTTGAGGGACCACATGGGGTGCCAGGGATCAAATTCGGGTCGGCCATGTGCAAGATGAAAGTGTCCGCTGTAGGATGGCCCTGGCCCCAAGGCTTTTAAAAGCAGTGGGGGCGGGGGGGGGCGGAGCGATACGGTGGGTAGGACGCTTACCTAGCACTTGGCCAACCCGAGTTAGATCCTCGGCACCCCATACCCCACAAGTCTCAGCGCACCATCAGGAGTGATCCCTGAGTGCAGAGCCTGGAGGAAGCTGTGGGCAGCGCGGGTTGTGTGGAGTGCTCCCCTTCCCCCCCAAAAAAAGGTGTATGCGTGATGCTGGAGATCAAACCCAGGGCCTCACACATGCAACGCATGTGGGCTGACTTACACTTCTATACTATAAGTTTTCTTTCTTTCTGTTTTTATTTTTTTTTGGGGGGGGTTCTGGGCTGGAGCCATAGCACAGTGGGTAGGACGTTTGCCTTGCACACGGCAGACCAGACCGGAGTTCGATTCCTCCGCCCTCCTCAGAGAGCACGGCAAGCTACCGAGAGTATCTGGCGCTAGGCAGAGCTGGTAAAGCTCCCAGTGCGGATATGCCAACAAGTCTTACAATCTTACAATGGAGACGTTACTGGACCCGCTCGAGCAAATCGATGAACAACGGGAGGACAAGTGCTACAGTTCTTTGGTTTTGGGGTCACACCCAGTGTTGCACAGAGGTTACTCCTGGCTCTGCACTCAGGGATTACTCTTGGCGGTGCTTGGGAGACCATACGCAATGCTGGGAATCGAACCCACATCAGCCGCGTTCAAGGCTAACGCCCTACCCGCTGTGCTACCGCTCCAGCCCCAATCCTTTAGGTTTTCTTTTAAATTAGTTACTTTGGTTCTAGGGCCACACCCAGCTGCGCTCAGGGCGTCGTCTCTGGAAAATCGGAGGCTGTGAGCTCAGAGAGGCTCGGGGACGAACTAAAGTCACACGACGCCAGGAGGGAAGGCCTGAAGCGTCCAAGTCGCTCGCCGCCCAGCATGCGACCTCCTGATTCCGCACCCTCCGCCAGACCCGCCACAGCGCACGGAGCGCACTTCCGCCGGGCTCCAAGTCTCCGCGCGGAGCAGGCGCCCCGGCCGGATCGGACAGACCGGAACTATGTCACTGCTGAAACCTCGCCCTCTCCCGGAAGTGATGTGCGGTGGGGTTGCCGGAAGAAGTGGCGAAGTTACTTTTGAGGGGACTCGAGCCGCGGTGGCGTGCCAGGGCTTACAGAAGCGGAGGAAAAGAAGCAGAGCGAGGGGACCGAGGCAGGTGCACTGAAATGTGGGGAGATGCGGGGGGGAGCCCTGGGCCCGGGGCTTCCCGGCGTGCCCCGCGTTGCTCCGCTCAGCCGGCCCTTCTCTCCTCCCACCCCTCCCCTCCACAGCTCGCGCCGCCCCCGGCTGTTTCCAGGGCAACGGGATTTGGAGACCCCGAAGAGGCTGCGCCCGGGACCCTCGCACGCAGCCATGAGCCCCGCCCCCCAGTGGTGTTCGGAGAGGGGCGGGACCTGGAGCGAGGTGTGTGGGCGGGGCGGGGCGTGATTGATGGGAGGGAGGAGCGGGGCCAGGACCCGGAACCAGGGGTTTGGGCAGAGCGTGGTGGGCGGGGCCCGGACAGATGGGGCGGGGCTTAGGAGGAGCTGGGGCGGGGCGTGATAAGGGTGGGGCCATGGAAAGAGAGGGGCAGCGGTGTGAGAAGAAGTTGAGCAGTGGAGGGAGAAAGTGAAGGTGGAGGATGAGTTAAGCAGTAGGTGCGGGGCTTGAAATTAAACTGGTGGGTGTCCGGAGGCTGGACCCTCTTCTAGTGGGGTTGAGGGGAAGGCTGTCTGCTGGAATGTGTGTGTGGGAGATGTGAAAGAGAAGTGGCCCAGTCACAGTGATCAGTTCAATTCCCCTGTCTTCTGCAGGCTGCCCCGTGACCCCACCATGTCCACCCCCACCACAGATTCCCCGGAAACTCCCTTGCCTGGTGAGTGACACCCCCCTCCCTACCCCATTCCCACCCAAATCCCACCTGACATCACACGTTCAGGAGAGACTCAACTGTGACTCCCTCTCCCAGGAAATGATCCCCCTCAGCCCAGCACCCCCTCTTCACCTGTGGTAAAGGAGGAGGGGCCTGAACCGTGGCCTGGGGGACCGGACCCTGATGTCCCCAGCACAGATGGAGCCGGCTCAGCCTGCAGCGTGGGTGAGACCCAACCCAGGGCCAGGGGTGAGAGTTCGTATGGGGCTGTGTGGGGGGAGGGAAGACTCAGGGCGGAATCTAGGGAGAAAGATCAGAAATTGGAATGGGGCAGTGGAGGTCCCAGTGTTTGGTGGGTTTTTCTTCAGTTCTTCTCTATACTCCTGGTTTGGTTCATTCTTTGGGGTCCAGTGACTTATGCATCTTTCTGAATCTGTCGGAATCACCCTCCTCCTTACTCCGGCTCCTACCTCTGGGCCTGCCCCTCTGCCTGTGGCTTGTTTGCGGGATGCCCACCCTCACAGCCCCTGTCCACCCATCCCAGTCACCCCAGATCCCACGGAGGAGCCAGAACGCAAGCGGAAGAAGGGCCCGGCCCCAAAGATGCTGGGCCACGAGCTGTGTCGTGTGTGCGGGGACAAGGCTTCGGGCTTCCACTACAACGTGCTCAGCTGTGAGGGCTGCAAGGGCTTCTTCCGGCGCAGTGTGGTCCGCGGCGGGGCAGGGCGCTACGCCTGCCGGGGTGGGGGCACCTGCCAGATGGACGCCTTCATGCGCCGCAAGTGCCAGCAGTGCCGGCTGCGCAAGTGCAAGGAGGCCGGGATGAGGGAGCAGTGTGAGTGCCTGGGGGATGGGGCAGGGCAGCCCGGCCTGCCCAGGACCCGGCTGAGGCTGAGCTGCCTGTCCTGCCCCCAGGTGTCCTCTCCGAAGAACAGATCCGCAAGAAGAAGATCCGAAAGCAGCAGCAGCAGCAGCAGCAGACACAGTCTCCTGGGGGTCCGGGGAGCAGCAGCGGCTCAGCCTCCGCGCCCGGGGCCTCCCCAGGAGGGTCCGAGGGCAGTGCTCAGGGCTCCGGGGAAGGCGAAGGCGTCCAGTTAACAGCTGCCCAGGAACTGATGATCCAGCAGCTGGTAGCCGCTCAGTTGCAGTGTAACAAACGCTCCTTTTCTGACCAGCCCAAAGTCACGGTACTTCTCTCCTCCAGGGACCTTGGCATGAGGGGCCTGGGTGGAAATGTGGCCAGGGTGCCTTGGAGAGTGAAGGCTGGGCCTTTAGATGTCCCCAAGGCCTGGGACGCAAGACGGAGACCTGGGAGTGACCCCGGCCCATTGTGTTCCTAGCCCTGGCCCCTGGGCGCAGACCCCCAGTCCCGTGACGCCCGCCAGCAGCGTTTTGCCCACTTCACGGAGCTGGCCATCATCTCGGTCCAGGAGATTGTGGACTTTGCCAAGCAGGTGCCTGGTTTTCTGCAGCTGGGCCGCGAGGACCAGATTGCTCTCCTGAAGGCATCCACAATTGAGGTAAGGGCCCACTTCAGGGCAGGCAGCGCAGCCCAGGAGCAGAGCCCCTCCCCTGCTCGCTCTGGTAGGGGCGACATTGGCAGGCGACAGTCAGGTTACAAATCCTGCTGCACAGAGCTTCTGGGAGTGGAGACTGGGCAGCACATAGAGAATGTGGGAAAAGCTGTTCTGGGGTTCCTGCCTGGAACCCAGGGTCCAGCAGGCCCATGGCTGGGGCCCTCAGATGGTGGTGCTTGAGCCAAACATGGTCCTTTCCCTTGGCACCCTCCCTCAGCCCTAGGGACGCAGAGTCTGGAGAGGTGGGTAGGCGGGTGGGCTGGTGTGGTCCCTGCGCCCAGACCATGTGTGGATGCATGACCGGCTCCCCCACAGATCATGCTGTTGGAGACGGCCCGCCGCTACAACCACGAGACGGAGTGTATCACCTTCCTGAAGGACTTCACCTACAGCAAGGACGACTTCCACCGCGCAGGTGCAGTCTCCTGCCTGCGCTAGCTGGGCTCTGCTTGCTCCATTCTTCCAGGCCTAGCTGTGTCCACCCCATAGGCCAGCCACGCTCTAGCTGGGCTCTGCTCTCTCCCTCTCTTCCTTTTCTCTCTCTAATGCCTTGGCCTGGAGTTTGGGGCCCCACTACCTACTGGTGCTTGGGGGACCCTGTGTGGTGCTGGGGATGGAACCCCGGCCAGCTGTTTGTGTATGTGTGTGTGTGGGGCGGGGGGTGCCTCCCTCCACCTCTGACCCGTGTTTTGGCCCCACATCTCTACTCTGTATATCTCCAAGGCAGGCTGAAGGGAAACCTGGACAGCACTCAGGGTGCCAGGAAGAAGGAGATGCCCCCCTGCACCCCAGGCCTGTACCCCAGGCCTTTACCCCTTCTAGGGCACCCAGCTTTCCGGCAGGAGTGTCCCTAGCATGGGGTCTTGGGTGGCTCCTGGCCTAGGGAGAAGCCACAGCTCCCGCCTGGGGCTTCTGACTCCTGCTGTCTCCTCCTCTCTCCAGGGGGCTCCTCACTCCAGGCCCTCCCAGCAACACCCACTTCCTTCCCAGGGGGTCATGTGCTTCCCCCATAGTCATTGCTCCCCAATCCTATGCCCCAGAACATTGCAGTGTGTGTGTGTGGGGGGGGGGCACTGCAGTTGTCCTCACTCTGGGCCAACGAATACATCCAGCTCCCTGTCTGCCCTCAGCCCTGCCCTTGCTCCCTCACCCTCCTCCTCTGACCACTGTGACCTCCTTACTCTTGCTGGGTTATGGGAGGGGGGTGCTGCAGGGGTCCACACATCTATCGGTTTGGAGGAGCATCTCCCCAGGGTCCCTGCAGCCTCCGACAGGCGCACTCCTGAGACCCCGCAGGACTCCCACCTCCTCGGGCTGCCATGTTCGCGCACTTGGAAATTCTCACATACTCTTGTCCCTGCTTGCCTCCTGGGGGACTGTCCGCTCAGTGTCCAGGGAGACCGCAGCTTCCCCTGGACCTCTCACTCTCCCACCGACCTGTCTCCATAAACTGTCCCACTGCCTGACAAACCAAAGTTGGGGGCGGCTGGAGCCATTGGGGGACTGGCACTGGGCTTATGAGTGAATGAGGGGTTCACTCTTGAACCTCCGTGTTTGGTTTATCCTTCAGGACAGGGGGCCCTCCTGGGGCTCCGGAAAACAAGGGAAGGGGCGGGCTATCACACCCTCCCAAGTCTGGCAGCGTGGGGCAGGGGCTCAGCCCTAGGGGGTGGGGGGCGGGGTCAGGGCCCTGTCAGGGCAGGAGCTCAGGGCTGCCTCCCACCCCCCAGGTCTGCAGGTGGAGTTCATCAACCCGATCTTCGAGTTCTCACGGGCTATGCGGCGGCTGGGTCTGGATGACGCCGAGTACGCGCTGCTCATCGCCATCAACATCTTCTCAGCCGACCGGCCCAACGTGCAGGAGCCCGGGCGCGTGGAGGAGCTGCAGCAGCCCTACGTGGAGGCGCTGCTGTCCTACACGCGCATCAAGAGGCCGCAGGTGCGCGGCCAGCCGACAGCGCGGGGTGAGGGGGGGGGGCGGCCGGGATGGGTCCGGGGAGCCCACAACGCCTACCGCCCCCGCCCCGCAGGACCAACTGCGCTTCCCGCGCATGCTGATGAAGCTGGTGAGTCTGCGTACGCTGAGCTCCGTGCACTCCGAGCAGGTCTTCGCCCTGAGGCTCCAGGACAAAAAGCTGCCGCCTCTGCTCTCCGAGATCTGGGATGTACACGAGTGAGGGCCGGGCCCCGCCCCACAGCCCTGCACTTCCCACGGTGGACACTGCTGCCCTTTCCTAAGGGGCCGCCGGCCTGGGCTCCCACCGAGATTCGCCTTGGAGCACAAGCTCTGACCCGTCCCGTGGCCATTGTATGAGCCCCAGTTGGGGTCCAGGAGGCCCCCTCTTGCCCACCAAGTCTTCCTGGAGGGGGTGGATGAGTCAGAGGTCATGACCTCTGACCTCCTAGCACTCCAGCTGCCCTCCCCACCCAGCTTACACCTCAAACCTCCGCGCATTGCACCTTGAGCAGAGGGAGGGGCGGGCCCCTGGCTCTCCCTGCAGCCCGAGAGACCACAGGCCCCCCTCCCCTTCTGCTCCTTTTATTTAAAAAAAAAAAAACTTAAATTTTAAAAAATCAGGAAAATAAAATAAGCATAGCAACCGGAGCACTAGTGAATCCATGGGCAGGGAGGGGGACTTTCTGGCATGGAGCAGGCTCCTGTCACCACAGCGGGGAAGGTCAGGAGGATTCGATCTGGAAGTACCAGGGCTTCTAGTGTTGTGGGGTCTGGCCCTGCCTGCCATAGGGCCACCCAGAGCTTTGTGCCAGACCCTGTGGGCCCCAGGGGATCGAACCAATAGGCAGCACTGTAAGGGATGGACCCCAAGGGAGGTTGATCTGGGGCAGGGAGTGCAGAGTGTGCGAGTGAAGAAGGTCGTCCTCCCGCAAGCAAGTGGACCAGAGCAGCTCCGCGAAGTTTACACGTGGGGAAACAGGCCGAGAGAACAAATCCGGCCTGGGCGTTTGCGCAGGAATCAATCAGAAGACCGGATGGTGTCGGGAGGGGCCTCCGCGGACCGCTGCGCGCCGAGGCCAGCAGGGGCGGGGACGGGCGGATGCGTGCGCAGCGCCAGGGCGGGCGAGCTGCGAGGCGGAGCCTCAAGAAAGGGGTGTGGCTTAGAGTCCAACATTAAAGAGGGCGGCTTGTGCTGAGGATTTACCGTATGGGGCGTAGCCACATGCTAGATTGGGGGCGGGGCGCAGGTCCGTATTGGGCGGGGCATTTCCCTATTTGGGTATGCGGGGCGGGGCCCGGCTGGCGCGCGGCTGCTCTGCGCCTGCGCGCGCCGGAGTCAGGGGTCACGGCGGCGGAGGCTGTGGCGGGAAAAGCTGTTTGAAGCAGGTGTGTGAGGGGAACGGGCGCTAGCTGGGGTCACCGCCCGGCAAGAAGGGGGTCTTTAAGGAGCCAGGCACTAGGCTTGAAAGAGGGCGATGAGGGGCTGCGGGGTGCGAGGGGTTCGCGTCCCCCTGGCTGGGGCAAGGGGCCTGGGACGCGTGCGCGGGGCGGCGGCGCGCTTGAAGGGGCTCGGGGTCGGGGGTTCCCCGGCCTGCGCGACCCCCGGGACTTAAAGATGGACTGGATTGGGAGAGTTTGGGGGAGCTTAAGAAATTTGGCGGCCGTCTGCGGGGGAACCGACGCTTCCAGAAGTCTGGCGGGTCCAGGCGGACGGGAAGCGGATTGGATAGCTGGAGTGATGCCGCTTCGCCTCTCTGGGGCACGGCATTGGAGGGAGGTGGGGAGAGCGGCCTCGGGTGCAAGGACCTTAGATGGGATCCGGCTTTCTAGCCTGGACGGGCATCGGGACCCCCGGACAGTGTTGAGAATGTCCTGAACTACTTAGCTTGGCTGGACTGTAGCAGGAGTCAGGCGGAAGGGAAGAGGGGTCGGGGTGCAGGTGGAGAGAACCTCAGGTCAGGTTGTATGGCGGGGGGCGGGGGGGCGGGGGGGAGCTCCCGAAGCCATAGCACAGCGGAGAGGGCTTTAGCCTTGCACGAGGCCACCCCGGTTCGATCTCTGGCATCCCATAGAGATACCTGAGCACCACCACGATTCCTGAGTGCAGAGCCAGGAGTAAACCCTGAGCATGCCACCGGGTGTGCCCTCAAAAAAGCAACAACAAAAAAGTTGTTTCAGGGGGTTGGAGCCCACAGGGTGTAAAGAGTAGGAGAAGGACTTGGATGAGTTAGCTGGAGCTGCAGGCCTCCATGGGCAAGGTCGAAAGAGCAGGTTTGGGAGTGCCATCGTGATGAAGAGTTTGGAGCGAGCAGATGGGGGCTAGAAAAGATGTCTCACTCTGTGGCAAGCAGCCCCTGGTCCCCATCTCAGCCCCCACACTGAGCGGGTCTTCCCTCTTTCCTTGTCCGCCCTAGGGCAGCTGTGCGGAGCCAGTGATAATCCAGATGGGTGGGATGGGGGGATGCCCAGAGATCGCAACTCTGAGTGCTGAACTGCAACAGCGGGGGTGGGGGAAGGAAGGACTCAGGGAAGAGTCGTTGGGCTGTTGGCGCCTTTGATGAGTCTAAGGGGATGTGACTCCTCAGGATACACCCGATCCTGTGGGGCGATGCAGGGAAGCCAGAGAGGTCGTCCTGTTCCAGCAGAACAGAACCTGCGGGGTGTATTTGTGGTTCCCTTGGAGTTGGGTGCCAGTGGGGAGCAAGCAGATGGGCGTTCTCAGTCTCCCCAGTCGAGCTGCCCCCCCAGCTCAGGAGCTGCTTCAGCCCCCATCCAGAGCTGTGCCCACCTGGGCAGCATCCTGGACATTGTATCAGTGGTGGGGTCCTGGTGATGAGCCCCGAGTCCTTTGTCCTTCAGAAAATGTTTATCTAGGGGCTGGGGAGATATTACTGTGGTGGGGCACCCTCTTTGGTCCCCCATGCACTGCCAGAAGTCATCCCTGAGTGCAGAGCCAGGAGTCCAGCTCTGAGCACTGCCTGATGTGGTCTCCCCCCCTCCCCCAATAAAGTTTTTTTTTTTCTTTTTCGGTCACACCTGGCGATGCACAGGGGTTACTCCTGGCTCTGCATTCAGGAATTCTGGCGGTGCTTAGGGGTCCATATGGGATGCTGGGAATTGAACCTGGGTTGGCCGCAAGTAAGGCAAACGCCCTACCCACTGTACTATTGCTCCAGACCCAATAAAATGTTTTTTGAGCGCTGGTTTTGGGGGACACAGGAGCAACCGAGTCTGTGCTCTCGGCATACTCTTGGGGTGCTGGCTCCGAACAGTCACTGAGCTGGGGGAGCATGTGGGGACCTGAGAGGGTTGGCCTGCAGGCAGATGGCCAGGCACATCTGGACCTGGAGTCGGGGGGGAGATTGGGTGAGGCCGTCTGAAGGAGCTGGGCACCCCTTCATGGCAGGAGCCCGGGAAGGGAGCAGGAGGGCACGTGTTGTGCAGGCCCGTGGACTGACTGTGGGAAGATTGATTTTTTTTGTTGTTGTTGGGGGGCACACCTGGAGGTACCCAGGACTTACTCCTGGCTCTGTCTGTGCTCAGGGCTCACTCAGCAGTGCATGAGGGACCCTCTGGGATGATGGGGATTGACCTAGGTCGCTGTGTACAAGGCAAGCGCCCTCCCCACTGGCTATACTATCGTTCCAGCCATTGGTTGGTTTGGAAGCCACTCCTAGCTCGGTGCTGGGGTCACTCCTTGGGACCATTCCCCCAAGGGACGGACGCAGGGCCTCCTCCATATGTGTGCCCCAGGCCTCTGCACAGCCGGGGATGTCAGATGCCAGTCACAGGACCCAGGCTCTGAGCAAAGTGGAGATGGCTGGACCGATCTGATGGTGCAGCCCACCCAGTTGTAGGAGGAGAAATTGGGGTGCTGGCAGGACCTAATGTGGGGAGCCCCCTGAGGCCTGGCCAGTTTATCTACTGGTGCCTGTGCAGGGGTCGCCCTGCTCCAACAGGGGGCGCAGTCAGCCTCCGGGAGTACATTCATTCCCCAGCTGGAAGGTAGCGTTAGGGGAGAGATGTAACTTGGAGGTTTCCCAACTGCCTTGCCAGTGAGACCATAGTTTGACCCCCAGTGCTGCTAATCATGTTGATGGCAATGCTGGCTGGGCAGGGGTGGTGGGGGGGGGCGCCTGCCTCGGCTTTGCTGGCCACTGACCTGGTACCAAAGGCAGCTGAAGAAACAGGTTAGTGAATGGTGTTTAACTTCAAGCACTGGAGGGGCATGAAGGGTGCCCCAGGCAAGTTTGGGGCTTGGTCCTCAGGAAGCAGAGCTGCAGAAGGAGCAGCTCTGTGCAGAGGGCTGGCTGTCATCAGGGTTGCTGCTGGTAGTGGCTGAATTGGGAGAGCCGGGCTTTGGTGTCGGAAGCTTGGAGACAGCTCTGGGTCCACAGCTGCCGGGTCAGCCAGATGGGTCTGGACTGGAGAGACTAACAGGGAGTATCCTGGAGACACCCTGGCCAGACCCTGAGCCTCACACTTGGACTCTGTTCTCTGTGCCCCAAGCCTGATGGGGGACATGTGATGGGACATACGAACTTCCTTCTGAGGCCACCTGCCCCCAAGTGAACAGGACAGGGCCCCCAGCCAAGAAACATCAATTGTGTTCTGGGGCCTTCCCTGGCACCATGCGTCTGGGCTAGGGCCTGGCTGGACAGCCTTGTCCCATCGCCTAGCTCTGAGTCTGTGGGCCCTGCCCTGGGGGAGCAGACGAGAGTAGGTGCCTCACGACTTTTTTCTTCCTGTGGGGTAAGACCTGTGTGCACTCTGGTTCCCTGCCAAAGGACCGAAGAGGTGCTGGGCAGTGTGGTGCGTCCCTCTGGCCTCCCTCCCTATCTATACAGGGCCGCTGATACAAAGGCAGACACACGCCACCAGCGCAGGCAGGCATTCACACCCACCAGTGCAGGCAGATACCCAGAAGGATGTTCCCTCCTTGAGGACCCCTCAACTCTGCTGTGGAATTGGAGGCGGGGGGATGGGGGGGCTCATCTGGAAAACTGAGTGAAAGCCACCAGGCTCTGCCTGATCCTGTTCTGGGAAAATGTCCCAAGAAGGAAAGTGTTCCTAGAGGGGACAGACGGGAGGAAAGGACCCTGGAGGGGGTGGTGGCTAAGAGTGATGGGAGAAAGCGCTTAAGCTGCAATGGGGCTGGAGCAGCAGCATCGTGGGCGGGGCGCCGACCCCGGCTGATGGTCGCCCACTGAACCTGCCCGCTTGGCGCGTGTGTTGCGGGGCACATGTGGGGTGCCAGGGTGCTAGGGTTGGGGTCCTGCCCTGACCATGGTGCCACTCCTTGCCCGCCCCCCTTCCCAACACACATTAGCCTCTCCCCTGCTCCTCACTGGCTGCATTTCAACTCCCCTGCACGTGCTTTTCCTGTTAGCAGGCTGTGGTGATGGTGAGCCAGCCACGTCAGCAGGCCTTGTCCTGCCTGGCCAGCCCACTGTTGTCCTCAGAGCTGGCCACTGTCACCAGCAGGACAACCTGTCTCCCGGGCAGCCCCGCGCTGGCGGGCCCTATTGTGTGACTACTTGCAGGGGCCTTTATTGTGGTGTGGTGTGGTTTGGTTTGGTTTGGAACCACACTAGCCAGTGCTCAGAGGCTGACTCCTGCCTCTGTGCTCAGGGATCACTCCCGGTGGGTGCGGGGATCCTCTGGGGCGCCGGATCAAGCCTGGGTCTGCTGTATGCAGGGCCAGCATTCACCCTGCAATCCTAGTGCTCTAGCCCCTGTGTTTTGCTGGGCCACATACAGCAGCATTTGGGAGCTGCTCCCAGCTCAGTGCTCAGAGGGCCGTGTAGTACTGGGGATCAAGCTGCATGCAAGACATGTGCTCTTCCTCCCCTTGCACTGTCTCTCCAGCCCTGCCAGGGGTTTTATGCTGGGAGCCCAGGTGGATTTCTCTGGCTTCTCCTTTCACCCCAAGTACTTTTCTGCTGCACTCCCACCTTTTTTTTTTTTTTCTTTTTACAACATGGAGCTTTTGGAAGATTCCAGATGGGTAGTTTTACCTGACAGCCTTGATTGGTTCGTAAGGGCGGGGATCGGAGTAAATATTTCCTTAGACCTTTTTTCTTTCCCTGGTTAACAATGAGTCTTTGAGAACCTCCCCACACTCCCTGTAGCGCTTCCTCGTTCCTTTATATAGCTGCATACTATTCCCAGTGAACAGAGTCAGTGTGATTTATTTAAACAGTCCCCCATGGAGGACATTTAGGTGGTTTCCAGCCTTTTGGCATGGCAAACAGTGCTTCCGGAAGTAACCTGGCAAGCGCAGCTTTGCAGGGCGATAGCACTTCTGCCCAGAAGGCCTGGCATGTGGGGGGAAGGGGGCACACGGGTGGACCCACGGCACGTTCCCATCACTCCAGATCAGCCCCACTTGCCCCTTCCTCGTCAGCCTTTCCACCACTGACCTGCTCGTGCTGGAGCTTGTTATGAATACGCCAAACAGAAGCCTTGTTCATGGAAGAGGCAGGGGCAGCATCTTGGGGGCACAGCCCAGTGACTGGGGTACAGTGCAGAGCTGGGTGTGTGGTCTCCATCTCGTCTGTCTCTGCCTTGCCCATCTGGGGTCCCTGCCCAATGCTGTCTGCTCTGCCGGCCCTGGTCCCCACTTGGGAGACCCAGGAGGTGGGTTGTGTGTTGCCAGCCAGGCCAGTGCCCTCACCTTGCTCCCGTGTACCCCACAGGATGGAGGGCAAGCGGCGGCTGGCCTCGGAGCCTGGGGGCCCCCAAAAGCGAGCCCGCGGGGGATTGTGGGATGAGGATGAAGCGCCACGACCATCCCAGTTTGAGGAGGAGCTGGCACTAATGGAGGAACTGGAAGCCGAGCGCAGGCTGCAGGAGCAGGAAGAGGAGGCGGCACAGCCGACGCTGGAGGGCGCTGCCGACGGTTAGGCGGGTGGGCAGGTGGGGGCCGGCTCCCTGGGGGGTGTCACTGTGCTCCATGTCTCTGTGCCTCCCTGCCCCTCCCCAGGCCATTTCTCCCTGCCAGCCATGGATGCCCGCTGGCTACGGCCCACCCCACCCCCCCTGGACCCCCAGGTGGAGCCCCTCATCTTCCAGCAGTTGGAGATTGACCATTACGTGGGTAAGTCTGGAGCCCAGGCAGTGCCCACCCAGGGCTGGGGTGGCAGGAAGTCTGGGAAGGCTTCCTGGAGGAGAGGAACATCTTCCCACAGAGGGGCTGCTGGGTGGTGAGTGATGGGAGGCAGGGTCAGGGGTTGGAGGTCTGGGGGGTGCCTCTGGGAGGCAGCAGCAGGGGTGTGGGTGCAGGGGAGACTGCGGGAAGGCCTCTGAGGGGAGCAGGTGTGTAACAAGGTGAGGAACGTGGTAGAGACAGAAACCAGGTTGCAGCCCCCAGCTACAGCCTCCCTGGGCCCAGGCAGGGCGGAAGTGCATCCTTCCCAGGGCCCCATAGTAAAGAGCCGCCAGGCCTTGATGTCGCTGTCTTGGGGCCAGATACTGTCCGGGTTGAAGCGGGGCTCGCCCATGGGGCTTGTCTCCATGCCAGGGACCCATCTTTGATCCCAAGTACCCCGCAGCGCCACACAGCACTGCTGCTCCCATGGACCAAGACCCCCAGTACTGCTTGGTGGCCCCCCTCCACACTCCAGGAAAAAGAGTCACTTTCTGCTTTCTCCTTGTGAAGAAAGGGCAAGGGCTGTGTGGGAATAAGGTGGGGCACCCTAAGATACAGGAGTGCTAGTTCTCACCTGGAGGAGCAATGGGGGTGATCCCGGACAACCTGACTGCAGCGCCCCCCCCACCTCCAGGTGCTGCTCGGCCCCTGCCGGGGGTGCCCTCCCCCTCCCGAGACCCGGTACCTGTGCTCCGTGCCTTCGGGGTCACTGACGAGGGCGTCTCGGTGTGCTGCCACATCCATGGCTTTGCGCCCTACTTCTACACTCCTGCGCCCCCTGGTGAGTGCCCCTGCCCCGAGGCCACCCTTTGCCCTGGCCTCCAGGGGTCCCCTGGCACCTCTGAGCGACCCTCCACCTTAGGCTTCGGGCCCGAGCACCTGGCGGACCTGCAGCGGGAGCTAAACGCGGCCATCAGCCGGGACCAGCGTGGCGGGAAGGAGCTCAGTGGGCCGGCGGTGCAGGGCCTGGAGCTGTGCTCCCGAGAGAGTGAGTGTTCGCGGGCAGGGGGCATGGGGGGACGGGGGGGGGGGGGGAGCCCGCCCTGCTGGTGCTAGCTGCCTCTGCCCGCAGGCATGTTTGGGTACCACGGCCGCGGCCCCTCCCCATTCCTGCGCATCACACTGGCGCTGCCCCGCCTCGTGGCCCCCGCCCGCCGCCTCCTGGAGCAGGGCATCCGTGTGGCGGGCCTGGGCACCCCCAGCTTCCCACCGTACGAGGCCAACGTCGACTTTGAGATCCGGTATGGGCCGTGTCCCCAGCCCCTGCACAGCCCTGTCTCCACGTGGGCCTCTGCCCTCTGACCCTCCCCTGCACGGTCCCACCCCTACGCGGACCTCTGCCCTCTGACTCCCACTGTGAAGCCCTATTCCTACACAGGCCTCTGGTCCCTGTTGGCTTAGTGTCCCCAGGAGTCCCTTGGCCCTCTGCTCACAGGTTCATGGTGGACACGGACATCGTGGGCTGCAACTGGCTGGAGCTGCCAGCCGGGAAATATGTGCTGAGGCCCGAGGAGAAGGTGGGGGCGAGAGCACTTGGCGGGGCGGGGTGCTGGGTATCTGCGGGGCTGACCTGTGGGTGTCCCTGCAGGTCACATTGTGCCAGCTGGAAGTGGACGTGCTGTGGTCCCATGTGGTCAGTCATCCGCCTGAGGGCCAGTGGCAGCGCATTGCGCCCTTGCGTGTGCTCAGCTTCGACATTGAGTGCGCCGGCCGCAAAGGTCTGGCCTGCCCGGAGCTTGGTGGCCGGCTGGCCGGGGGTGACGGCAGCGGGGAGCCGTGTTGGGCATGTGCGGACGGTGGGGTTAGGGGTGGTGTGCGGCTGGGAGTCAGGTGCCTGGGCCCCCTGTCCCCATAGGTATCTTCCCCGAGCCTGAGCGGGATCCTGTGATCCAGATCTGCTCGCTGGGCCTGCGCTGGGGTGAGCCTGAGCCTTTCCTGCGCCTGGCGCTCACGCTGCAACCCTGCGCCCCCATCCTGGGCGCCAAAGTGCAGAGCTACGAGCGGGAGGAGGAGCTGCTCGAGGTGACGCCTGGCCCTTTCCCCCTTTATCCTCAGATTCCCCAGATCCTGGGCCAGACCTGTGTGTGGTTTCCGGTTGTGAGCCCCCACCTGGCTTCCCCACAGGCAGGAGGGTTCTAGGGCCTTCCAGAATCTTCCCAGCAGTGGGGGTGGGGGGCAGGGTGTCTGTGATGTGATGGTGCCAGGTGACGAGTAGGTGACCCTGTGGCTGTCCCCCCACCCAGGCCTGGTCGAACTTCATCCGCACCCTGGACCCTGATGTGATCACTGGCTATAACATCCAGAACTTCGACCTTCCCTACCTCATCTCTCGGGCCGAGACTCTCAAGGTGAGGCAGATTGGGGTCCTGCCCTCCTGCACCCCCTTTGCAGGACTCGTGTCTCCACCTGCTCTCTCCCTAGGGCTGTGCCCGACAGGAGCCTATGGCCACCCCAAAACCCCCACATAGCCCTGATGCTCCACCCCTGTCCCTGGGATACCCCCAATGTCCTCACCTTTACTCCATCACCTGCAAAGCCTTTTCCCAAAGAGGTCATGCCCTGGGCAGGGTCCTCAGTGTCAGGTGAGGCTCAGTCGAGCCCCCACGACCCGGGTGTCACTTATGGTTCTTCCTTCTCCCAGCACTTTGGGCTCAAGTGTCATGAAAGACAAACCAAGTTCACTGCAGGCTGCCTGCTGACTCCTCCCTACCTCCCCCCTCTGATATCCTCTCATGAGGACTGTCACTCCCTGACCTCCCTCTCACCCTCTGAACTCCCGCTGGGTTCCTGCCCCCAGCACCCCCCCTCCCACCCGAGCGCCACTGGGATGAAAGATGGACAGAAGCGAGTGCCCCCCTGCAGCCTGGCCTGCTCCCCACTGTCCCCAGGTGCCGAACTTCCCCTTCCTGGGCCGTGTGCGCGGCCTCCGCTCCACCATCCGAGACTCGTCGTTCCAGTCGAAGCAGACGGGCCGGCGGGACAGCAAGGTGGTCAGCATGGTGGGCCGCGTGCAGATGGACATGCTGCAGGTAAGTGCCTGCACCCCACCTGGGCCCACCCTGGGCTGGTCCCCGCGCCGTGCCTCACCCCAGCCTCCTGCCTGCCCCACCCCAGGTGCTGCTGCGGGAGCACAAGCTCCGCTCCTACACGCTCAACGCCGTGAGCTTTCACTTCCTGGGCGAGCAGAAGGAGGACGTGCAGCACAGCATCATCACCGACCTGCAGGTACCCCTCGCCCACATCCGCCCGCCGCTGCCCCACCTGGGCCCCCAGCCCTGCAGGCCACGGCTTCCTCTGCTCTCCCGGGCTCATGCCTCAGCCTCTCCCTGGCTTCCCCGCTCAGACCCTCCTCCCTCCGTGACCCCCTCGTCTCTCAACGCCTTCCTCAAATCCTTACTCCCTCACCTTCTCATTTCCTGACCTCCCAATTCAGACTCACTCCTGACCTCCCAGTGGTTCCCTACCCTGACCCCTCACTCCCTGCCCCCTCTCCATTTCCAACCCCTTCCCCCTGCCCCCCTGACCCGTCCCCGTGTGCCGCCCCCAGAACGGGAATGCGCAGACGCGCCGCCGCCTGGCCGTGTACTGCCTCAAGGACGCCTTCCTGCCGCTCCGGCTGCTTGAGCGGCTCATGGTGCTGGTGAATGCGGTGGAGATGGCCCGCGTCACCGGCGTGCCCCTCGGCTACCTGCTCAGCCGGGGCCAGCAGGTCAAGGTGGTGTCGCAGCTGCTACGGCAGGTCAGTGGGCAGCACTCGGGGGGTCTCCCCAGTGACCCTGGGCCCGCCTGAGCCTGACCCTCCCCACAGGCCATGCGCCAGGGGCTGCTGATGCCCGTGGTGAAGAGCGAAGGCGGTGAGGACTACACGGGGGCCACCGTCATCGAGCCCCTCAAAGGGTGAGCCTCGAGGCTGGGCCGGGACTCTGGGACCGGGGCACTGGGTGTGACACCTCCCCCCCCCACCTGCCAGGTACTACGACGTGCCGATTGCAACGTTGGACTTCTCATCCCTGTACCCCTCCATCATGATGGCCCACAATCTGTGCTACACCACCCTTCTGAGGCCTGGGGCCGCCCAGAAGCTGGGGTACAGCCCCTCCCAGGCCCGGGAGGGAGGCGGGGGTGTCCAGAGGGCGGCTTGGTGTGACCCATCTGCCCCGCAGCCTGACCGAGGAGCAGTTCATCCGGACGCCCACAGGGGACGAGTTTGTGAAGGCGTCTGTGCGGAAGGGGCTGCTCCCCCAGATCCTGGAGAACCTCCTTAGTGCTCGCAAGAGGTAGGCGGGGAGGGGGCTGCACCTCCCCGTGCTCCCCTTGCCAGAGACCTGGTCTTGAGTGGCTGTTCCCCGCCCCCCCCCCCCCAGGGCCAAGGCTGAGCTGGCACGGGAAACAGACCCCCTGCGGCGGCAGGTCCTGGACGGGCGGCAGCTGGCGCTGAAAGTGAGCGCCAACTCGGTGTACGGCTTCACCGGCGCCCAGGTGGGCAAGCTGCCCTGCCTGGAGATCTCGCAGGTGCGTGGGGTGCCAGCGTGGGGCGGAAGAGGCACAGGCAGCACTGCGTCACAGTCAGCACCCCACCCACTCCCTGGGCGCAGGGGAGTGACCCCTCCCCCCATGAGCAGACCAGGTCTCCCAGTGGCTGTCAGTGTGCATGCTGCCTCCTGACCCTGTCTAGACGGAGGCCCCCCCCCACCCCCCGCCTCCCTGCCCTGGGAAGCCCTGTCCCCAGTCACGGGGCCAGGCTGGCAGTACCTGCATCCCAGGCCCCCGTTCCCAAGATGGGCCAGAACTCCCGACAGGTCTGAATGCAGTCACAGTTTATTCCATCCACAAGACAAAGATGGTTCAGTGGGTGGGGCGGGGCTGCTGGGGGTCCCCTAGGAGACCAGGTGCCATGCCTAGCAGCTTTCAGGGGGATGTGGCGTGGGCAGCCCTGCAGATGCCCCCCCAGCCCTGGGCCTGTGTTCCTTTAAGGGTTCACCACATAGGAAAAGGGCTCCGAAGGAGCCAGGGGTCAGGCTGATAGCAGATACCACAGCACACAGGGTGGCCGAACCCCTCCCCCATTAATGGCTCTAGTGTGTAGGTGGGTGAACTGCCTGGTTCTGCTCCCAGCCCTGGTTTGGAAGTGGCAGCTGGTGGGGGGACACTGCCCTGAGCCCGGGTCTCCAGACAGCCGTATCCACCAGGGGTGGCCCCGGGCCTTCAGTCTGCCCTCCACACCCCTAGAGTGTCACCGGCTTTGGGCGCCAGATGATCGAGAAGACGAAGCAGCTCGTGGAGTCCAAGTACACTCGAGACAGTGGCTACAGCGCAGATGCCAAGGTCAGGCCACCGCTGCCTGTGGGGTGGGGTGGGGGCAGCCTGACCCCGCTCACGGCCCTTCCCCACAGGTGGTATACGGGGACACGGACTCCGTCATGTGCCGCTTTGGTGTCTCGTCTGTGGCTGAGGCCATGGCACTGGGACGGGAGGCCGCAGACTGGGTATCAGGACACTTCCCCCCGCCCATCCGGCTGGAGTTTGAAAAGGTAGGTGGGAGGAGGCCACACCTGGCAGCTCAGGAGGGATCAAATCCAGGGTCGCCCATTGAAAGGCACGTGCCATCCCCGCTGTCCTATCACTCAGCTCCGTGCTTGGGTCTTTCTTTTGGGTGCCCTGGGCATGGCTCTGGGGCTCAGGCACAGGCTGTGGTGGTCCGGGGCCCCCCACAGCACCCCGCCAGGACAGAGTGCATTTGTGCAGTTTCCTGGCATGGGAAACCGATCTCTGCCGGTTGGGTCAGCACCTCTCATTGGTAAGAGTTTCCCTGCTTGGGAGCCCCAGATTCCAGCTCAAGGTCAAGTGTGACCCACAGATGCCCTGGGGTCTCTTTCTACACCTGGATTTGGAGCTCTCCTGGGGTTGCCCCCTCTGGACCTTGGGGCATACTCAACACCATCTCACGCTCCTGTGGGTGCTTGTGTCAGATTGGGCTCCCTGGCAGGGGCTCCCCAAATTCTGAGCACTGTCCTCAGCATCAGGGTTCACCTCCAGGTGGCCGACATTTCTGGGTCCGGACTTTTCAGGGGAGGTTGGCCTAAAGCTACATACAGGCCAGACCCGGGCCTGAGGCTTCCTTGATCTCTGCCTTGCCCCCTAGGTCTACTTCCCCTACCTGCTCATCAGCAAGAAGCGCTACGCGGGGTTGCTCTTCTCCTCCCAGCCAGATGCCCACGACCGCATGGACTGCAAAGGCCTGGAGGCCGTGCGCAGGGACAACTGCCCCCTGGTGGCCAACCTCGTCACTGCCTCTCTGCGCCGCCTGCTCATTGACAGGTGTGGCCTGTAGCCAACCCTCCTCTCTCTGACCCGGGAGACCCCCCACACCCCCCTCCGTGGGGACACAGGTGCCGGCCTGCGCTTGGCCGCGGTTCGCGGGTGGAAAGTGTGGGCTTGGCCATCTGCGTGCGCCCTCCCCGCCCTGGCTGCGCTCCAGCGTCTAAGGCCTGGTGCTCCCCCCACCGTGCGTAGGGACCCCGCGGGCGCCGTGGCGCATGCCCAGGACGTCATCTCGGACCTGCTGTGCAACCGCATCGACATCTCGCAGCTGGTCATCACCAAGGAGCTGACGCGCGCGACTGCCGACTATGCGGGCAAGCAGGCCCACGTGGAGCTGGCCGAGAGGTCCGCCGGCGGGGGATGGGGTCGGCCAGAAATAGCCGCTTCCTGCGCGCCTCCCAGTCGCCCTGACCCGTGGTCTCCCCGCAGGATGAGGAAGCGGGACCCCGGGAGCGCGCCAAGCCTGGGTGACCGCGTCCCCTACGTGATCATCGGGGCCGCCAAGGGCGTGGCCGCCTACATGAAGTCCGAGGTCAGGCCAGCTGCGCCCCTGCCACCGCCCCCGCTCTCACTTCTGCTTTCCAGCCAGTGGGATGGGTGGTTCCCTCTGGGGGCCCCGGGGCTGGAGACCCGCCCCCCAACACGCCCCTGGGAGCCAGCCAGGTGAGGCGGCCCCAGCGCCTGCCACCCGGCCCCTACTGTTCCCCTGCCCCGCCCAGACCCCAGGAGCCCTCCACTGCAGCCCATCCGGGGGCACAGGGGTGCAGTGGGCGGCTCCCGCGCATGGTGACGGCCCTCCCTGCTGCAGGACCCCCTGTACGTGCTGGAGCACAGCCTGCCCATTGACACGCAGTACTACCTGGAGCAGCAGCTCGCCAAGCCACTGCTGCGCATCTTTGAGCCCATCCTGGGCGAGGGCCGCGCCGAGGCAGTGCTGCTGCGTATGAGGGGCCGGGGGAGGAGCAGGGCAGGAGGGCACCCCCCCCCAGCTCGAGGCGCCCTGCCCACCCACCGTCTTCACCCACAGGCGGGGATCACACGCGCTGCAAGACAGTGCTCACGGGCAAGGTGGGCGGCCTGCTGGCCTTCGCCAAGCGCCGCAGCTGCTGCATCGGCTGCCGTACGGTCCTCAACCACCAGGGTGAGCCGCCCGCCTGCAGGGGGCGCTGCCGCCGCCCCAGCCGGGAGTTCCCGGGAGTTTTCCCCCCACACACACTCGCTCCCTTGTTCTCTGGCTCCCGGGACTTTCAGCCGCAGGCAGGGAAGGGGCTGGGCCGGCGAGGCTGGGCCGTGGCCCTGCCCCAGCGTCCCCCTGTGCTCCCCCACCCCCAGGCGCCGTGTGCAGGTTCTGCCAGCCCCGGGAGTCCGAGCTGTATCAGAAGGAGGTGAGGGAGCACCACAGCAGGCTGGGGGGAGGGGGAGGGCGGCGGGCATCTGCTCAGCCCAGCCCCACTGTCTCCAGGTGTCACACTTGAATGCCCTGGAGGAGCGCTTCTCGCGCCTCTGGACGCAGTGCCAGCGCTGCCAGGGCAGCCTGCACGAGGACGTCATCTGCACCAGGTGGGACCCCGCCCCCAGCTCCCGCATGTCCCTTCCCGCCCAGCCAGGTCCCGCAGGGTGTGGGGGTCCCCGGGCAGAGCACAGACTACTCTGGCCCCCAGGGCGGGCCGGCCTTTCCCCAGGGAACATGCGGGCGGGGCGGGTTCCCACGCCAGGTGACAGGTGATATACGGCTGGTGGCCCCGCGCCGCACGGGCACCCGCTGTTATCGGCTCCCCCCGTGCCTGGTGAGCAAACAGCCAGCTCGGGAGAGGTTTGGGTGGACAGCAGGCAGGGACCAAAGTCCTGGGAACGGTCCCCTCCTGTCTCGAGGCTGGGCAGCGGGCGCGAGCTCTGGCGCCACCCTGACCCTGCGCTTACCCGCAGCCGGGACTGCCCCATCTTCTACATGCGCAAGAAGGTGCGCAAGGACCTGGAGGACCAGGAGCAGCTGCTGCGACGCTTCGGGCCGCCAGGCCCCGAGGCCTGGTGACCCCCAAGCTGGCCACAGCCCCTCTGCTGTGCGTGGGGTGGAGTGGTCACATTGCTGGTGAATAAAGTTTGGGCTGGTGTCAGCTGGACTCTGTCTGTTCTTGGGGGATGGGAACAAGGGCTTGGTGCAGGAGAGTGGGGGGCCATCTGCACTGAGACACCCTGCACCTGCTCACCCACCCCTGAGGCCCCTCAACTCTCCCCTCTGCCATCCGCCTGCCCCCTCTTACCTGTGTTGCCCATCCTGCCTCAGTTTCCCTCTTTGCTGGCTATCCTGCTTTAGTTTCCCTCTGCTGCCCATCCTGCCTCAGTTTCCCCTCTGCTGCCCGTCCTGACTCAGTTTCCCTTTTTGCTAGCTGTCCTGCTTTAGTTCCCCTCTGCTGCCCTTCCTGCCTCAGTTTTTCCTCTGCTGCCCATCCTGCCCCCGTTTCTCCTTGACTGCCTACCCTACCTCAGCCCTCTGCTGCCTGGCCTGCCTCAGTCTCCCCAGGCCCCCTGCCTTGCTTGAGGGCACACCCACCCCGCACCCGCCCCAGGTGCCTGTTTCCTGCAGCTGGGGCAGCCCCTGGCACGGAGTCTGCCACTCCCCACAGGACAAGGGGACCTCCCTCCCTGTCACACCCACGATATTTCCACTTCGGGGTCCTCAGTGGCTTCAAGACTGGGTTTCCCTCAGAGACCCTAGGGACCCCTTCTTTCCCTTGCACCTCCAGGTGCTGTCATGCCTGAATCCAGGCCCCCCTCCCCGCCCCCCCCCCCATGCCCTGTCAGCCCTTCTGCCTTGTCCAGGCCTCTGCCGGCTCCCTCAGGGTCAGCCCCCACCCCCCAACCATGGGGATCCCCAAATCCAGATGGCCCCTGGGTCTGCCCTGCCCACCATCACGTGACAAGGCTTGTGCAATCAATCTGGCCCCCTCCCCTGACCCCCTCCCTGAGGGGATTTTCGGGGAGGGCTGAGTGGCTGCCAGCACCCCTGCCCCCCCTTCCCCGCCCCCTGCCAGGGGCTGGGCCAAGGTATAAATAGGGCTGGAGGCTGCAGCGCCTGCCAGCCCAGCCCCGCGCCACCATGCTCGCCCTGGAGGCTGCACAGTAAGTGGGGTGCTCCCAGCCTTGCCCCAGGGAAGGACCTCTCCCTCTGCAGCCCCCTCCCAGCTCTGCCCCAGTGCCCCCACCCCACCCTCGGTCCATCCTGTCACATGGGGGCTCCACTCGTCCCTTTGCTCTGTGGGTCTCTCTCCTTGCCACAGTTCATCTGTCTGTCCTTCCGTCTGTCTGTCTTGCTGTCTGAGTCTTCCTAGCTCCTCCTGCCAGGCCCTTCCCTCTGCCCCCATCTCAGGGGGCTCAGAACTGGCCTGGCGTCCCCATCTTCCCGCGCCCAGGCTGCTTGTGCCCACATCTCCGCCCCTCGGGGACTTTCTCTCCTTCACTTTCCCTGCCCACCCCCCCCCCCAGCCTTGGTCTATGCAAATCCCCCCCAGGGAGGGGGACATTTGCCTGGCCCCTGCCCCCCACTTCCTGTGTGCTGGGGGCTGTGGGGAGTGTGGTGAGGTAGGGCTGCTCTCACAGACACCCCAGCAGATGGGCTGTGGGGGTCACAGCTGCAGCTACGCCCACTGGCCCCTGTTGTGGACACTCCGGTGAAGCCCGATGACAGCCATGCCCTTGTGTCTCTCCCCCTCCAGGCTCGACACTCCACACTTCAGCTGTCTGGTGAGTGGGGGTCCTGGCAGCCAGGGAGGGGAATGGGTCTCTGAGGCTCCCTTGCATTCTCTGCCTCAGTTTCCCCCTCCACCCCCTCCATCAGAGAAGTGTTTCCATGGGGGGATCTGGAGGAGAGCGGTCTTTGTGCCTTTGACCTTGTCTCTGCCGGGGTTCACCCCACAATTTGCAAAGCTTCCATCTGTATTTTCTTCTCAGCTTTGTGTGTTCAAAAAGGGTCCTCTTGGGGCCGGAGCAAGAGTACAGCTGGGAGGGTATTTGTCTTGGCAGACCTGGATTTAATCCCTGGCATCCCATAGGGTCCCCTGAGCACTGCCAGGAATAATGCCTGAGCACAGAGCCAGGAGTAACCCCTGAGCATCGACAGATGTGGCCCTAAAACAACCCCCCAAATGATCCTTGGTAATACCTCAGACACACGCAACGATCCCCAACCCCCACTGTGCTCCCAGAAACCCACAAACCAGCCCCGAGAAGTAAAGCAAGCCTCACTCATGAACTTGGAAGAGACCCAGCAGGCGGGATGGGGACATTTCTTCTTTAGTGGGGCCTCACTGACAGTGGGACCCAGTTCCCCGCTGCTCCCCACTGTGGACCCGCAGCCCACAGAGGTGGATGCCTCCTCCCCAGAGTCTGTGAGCCATTTTGAAAGTGGGTCCTACAGGAGCGACTAAGGCCCTGCCTACCCCCTTTGGGGTTTTTCTTCAACACACAGCAAGCCTGAGTTTCTCCTCCCTGCCCCCCCCCATCTCGTTTTCTGCCCCGGAGGCCACCCTGGGGGAAATCAGACCTTTCCTCCTGGGCTATAATCAAGCTGCTGACTTTTCTAGAATGAAGTTGTGGATGGACAGGACATTTTCAGTTCTGGGGACACACAGGAGAGACTGGTGGAGAGATGGGGGTGTTGTGGAGGATCAACTCGTTGCAAAGTAACACAAGATCTTGGGGTGAATGGAGGCAGTGTGGCGGCTGATGTGGGTCCCCCCTTCATAAGGACGTCCTCTCCCTACTGCAGGCAGGGATGGGTACTTCTCTAGGTCTATGAGGCTCCTCCTTGAGTTTCTGGGTCTGCCAGGAGCTTCAGAAGCCAGCTGACTCCTGCCTCTGTGCTCAAGAGATCACTCCCGGCAGGGCTCGGGGCACCCTGTGTGGTGCCAGGGACTGAGTCCAGGTCGGCTGCTGGCTGGGCAGCAGCCCCTCTGCTGTCCCATCCCTCCAGCCCTACATCTGTCTCAGGGCTTCTCTCCCTACTTCATGCCGCCTGTTTCCTCCTTTCCCCTCCTCTCAGAGTTTCTCTGCCGGTCCCAAGTTGGGGGAAACTCCCCACAACCCAAGATGACCCCTTGTCCTCCCTCAGTACCCAGATGGAGTCTTCTATGACCTGGACACAGGCAAACACCCCGGATATCCCGACTCCGAGGGCGCTCCAGGTGAGGGGCCCTTTCCCATGCCCCTCCCCAACTATGTCTGGGGGATCCTGTCTATGGCGGGGGTGCTGAGGCCCAGGATTTGGGGGCGCCTAGGCTTCTTGACCCTCTCCCTGCTCTGTGGCTCATTCATGCTTGCACATGCAAATCCTGAGGCCGGAGATTTGCACGGCCCACAATGGCCCCTCTGTGCCCAGTGTGGCCCAGGAGACCTGGCTGGCTGGTCCTGACCCTGTGTTCATCCCCAGACTCTCTGTGGGGATGGGCCGAGGCCCCACCTGTCCCCGCAGCCTCATACGAAGCCTTTGACCCAGCCATGGCCACCTTCAGCCACACCCAGGGTGTCCAACTGTGCTACGGACCCACGACATACAACCCAGCAGGAAGCCTGGACCTGGCGCCCAGTGTGGAGTCCCTGGGGCCCGGCTTCCCAGGGTACCCCGCAGAAGACTTCCCCATCCAGGTGAGCAGCAGAAGCAATGCACTGATGGAATAAAAGAAGCTTTGGAGGCTGGAGAGATAGGACAGCGGGTAGGACACTTGCCTTGCACACAGCTGACCTGGGTTCAATCCCCAGCCCCATATCCAGGTCCCCAAGCCTTCCAGGAGTGGCCCCTGAGTGCAGAGCCAGGAGTAAGCCCTGAACATTGCCTCCCAACTTGCTTTTTCTTGGGCGGGGAACACTCAAGGCCTACACCTGGCTCTGTGCTCTGGGATCTCTCTGGGGCAATGTTCAGGGTGATGTGTAGCTGGGGGACATCTGCACGCAGCGCATACCCAGGGCTCTGTGCCTGGCCCCGCTTGGTAGAAATTTACCTGGTGCCATCCTGGCACCCTGCACTGACCATCAAGAGCAGACGGGACAATTTGTCCACTCCATGGGGATTGGCACCAAAGGTGGAGGGCCTCAGCAGGACACCAGGAGAAGGAAGCCAAGGGAGGGGTGGGCTGGGCAGAGGGGACCCAGAGCCATCTCATCCTATAGACCCTGGGCCCCCCGGCATACATACCATACGAAGAGGCGGAGATTCTGTTGGACGGCCCCGCGCTGGAGGTCTCAGACAGCGAGTCAGACGAGGCCCTCGGCGCTGGCCCTGAAGGGAGGGCATCAGAGGCAGGTACGTGGAGCAACCAGGGCCAAGGCGGCTCCAGGGACCCCACCATCCCAAGGACCTTCCTGTGTCCTCCAGCGACCCCTGGTGGCTGTGTAATATGGAGCAAGTCTCTCCACTTACTGCCTCCTCCCTCCCACCTGGTGGATGGAGGGGTGAAAACAGTGCAGCGCTCAGCACTAACGGAAAGCAGGGCATTCATACTGGCAGGTGGAAATCAAACATTTTGTTCCCGAAATCAATTAATGCCAATAAGGCCTCCAGGCTTCCCGGCACCCTGTGAGGCTGGGCCGCTGCATTCAGTCAGCGGGAGAAGCCCGTGTGTGTATGTGTGTGTGTTTGTGTGTCTGTGTGTGTGTATGAGAAGGCGCCTCCGCATGGTGTTTACACACACACCCAGCTGATCCGCAATCATTCACTCCTGCTCCCACCTCCATGTCTGTCAGCCCTCCTGCTCAACCCCTAGGAACCTGGCATTGCTCATTACAGTCTCTCTCTATCCCTCAGTTTCCCCATCTGCAAAACAGATATTTTCTACACCACTCTGTCTCATGGGGTTCAGATGGAGGCCCCATAGTGAGCCCAGATGTAAGAGTGCCCGAGTTGTGCCAGGGACACACACACACACACACACACACACACACACACACACACACACACCAGCCTCCCTTACAGCTGAGCAGACCAGCTCAGGGAGGTTGAGTCACCACCCCAATGCCACACAGCTGAGGGTGGGGGCTTGGGTATCTGTCTAGTGTCCTGAGATGCATGTGAGTCACCCCCTAGCTCTATGGAAGGTGGGTACTTGCCTAAAATGAACATGCCAGAAGTCACCGCCCTCACACACAGACACCACTCCCAGGATCCCAGCCCTTGGTCGTGCTGAGAGAAACGGGAGTCAGCATGCCCCCAACCGCAGCTCCTTGGCCACTGGACCGCTGTCCTTCCAAGTCCCAAGGATTAGGGTGCATGTGACTGCTGGCTTGGGACAGAGCACCGCACAGAAGCGACTCCCGCAACTAGAGGGCAAAATTGGCTGGGGTTTTTGGATAAGCACTATGAGGACCCCTGTGTGACTTTGTTTGGGGGGGCACTCTCAGTGGCTACTCCGGGCAGTCCTGGGAGACCCCCACGCGGTCGGGCATGGGAGGGGGGGCTGCTGCCTGCCAAGCATACAGGGCAGTTCTGGGGACCATCCCCCGCCCCCATTCACGCGCCGCGCCCTCCCCTCGCAGGTGCCCGCAAGAAGCTGCGCCTGTACCAGTTCCTGCTGGGACTGCTGACGCGCGGGGACATGCGGGAGTGCGTGTGGTGGGTGGAGCCGGGAGCCGGCGTCTTCCAGTTCTCGTCCAAGCACAAGGAATTGCTGGCGCGCCGCTGGGGCCAGCAGAAGGGCAACCGCAAGCGCATGACCTACCAGAAGCTGGCCCGCGCGCTGCGCAACTACGCCAAGACCGGCGAGATCCGCAAGGTGAAGCGCAAACTCACCTACCAGTTCGATAGCGCGCTGCTGCCCGCCGCCCGCAGGGCCTGAGCGCCCGAGCCCCGACGCCGCAGTCTCGGCCGGGGCAGAGGACGGGGTGCAGCACACCATCAGACCACGGCTGTCCACAGCCCGAACCCAGGGCTAGGGTCTCTCGGGAATGCCCTTGCCTTGTCCCCCCGGCACCTCTTCTGCCAGATCTGAGATCTCCTTTTGTCTGGCATGGCAGGGGAGCCCCCGGTTACTCCGAAAGCCCCTCTGTAACCTTCCCCTTCCTATGCCTCCAAGTATTTTTGTCATCATATGGGGGGGTGGTTATTTGTTTTAAGTTCTGGGCTGTGCTCAGGGCTTGTTCTGGACTCTGTGCACAGGGATCACTCTGGAGTGTTTGGGGATCCTGTGGGGTAAGTGGTAGGACCCAGGGTGGTCACCAAGGCAAGCGCCCTCCCCGCTGTCCTATGGCTCTTGCCCCTCCTTTTGTCAACTTTGAGAGCCCTGAATTCTCCAGAGCATTCTGCTGCCACTGTGTGTCTGTCTGCCTGGAATTCTCCACTCACGTCTGGCCCCACTGTCCCTTGCCCTGTGAAGGTCCCTCTGGGCTCTGCTATTCTAGGGAATATCGTGGGGATCCCAGCAACAGTCTTGAGTTCTGGGGTCCTAGAGTCCTTCTTGGCCACACAACGCATTGGAGGATGTCTCTGCACCCTGCCCTTTCATTTCTAACTGGTGACCAACCCATTGGGGGCAAATTAGGTCACTGGGGCTTTTTTGGGGGAGGGGAGGGGGCTTCTTGAGCAACACCCAGTGGGGATGGGGGCTCCAACTGGTGCTCAGGAGCATCTGCAGTGATGGGCAGCCAAAGTGCTTTAGTCCTTGTACTATCTCTTTGGCCCTGAGGCTGTTTTTTTTTTTTTAATTCAGTTAAGTTTTCTGAGGGTTTTGTGTGCATGTGCGTGTGTGTGTGTGTGTGTGTGTGTTTGTGTGTAGGCAGAGGGAAGGTTATAGGGAGGGAGGAGGACTGTGAATAGTGACATTTCAAAACACAAGGGTTTTCAAAACAGGGAGTCTGGTTTGCACCAGGACCCTCCTAATTGGGACCGCGCCCCCCTTCCCACTCCCCCTACTAGCTGAGTTCATTGGGCCATTGGGCCCCAACCTTTTCCACTTCCCTGTCCCTGCACACTCATGATCCCAGTTGGAGCAGGGGCCTGGGTGGACATGGGGAGAGGGTGTGTCTGATGAGAGCCTGCGGGTAAAAATGTCAGCATCCGAAGACAAAGGTGGCTGGAATCTTGCGGTGCAATAACTGCTGCTGGGCCTGTTTGTCCCGTCTGTGAAAGGGGAGAGGAGCAGTAGAAAAATGGGAGATTCCCCTGGAGTCTTTCATGTCGCCTGAGATCAGCCTCACCGGGAGTCCTGGCCGGCGGGGAGGAGGAGGAAGGCCCGTCGTGCAACCGCGGAGGGGAGCATCTTTGTGGGGGACTCTAGAGACTTGGCTGAAAGGAGCTCGAGCTGCAGGGACGTTTGAGAGAAAAGCTCCTCCTAGACTTCCTCTTCCAAAGGAAGTACCTGTTGCAAAACAAAAGCAAACCTAAAAAAATCTTGCTTTTCCCCCTAAGTGCGGAATAAACAAAACAGAACAAATCAAGATAAAGAATTGGGGTCGTAATGCTCCGAGACGCTGCACTCCCCGCTCGGGGAAATACAGAGGTGGGGAGCGAGTCTCCAGGCTGTGGCCGCGGGGGGAGCGGCGGGGGGTTGGTGAGAAGGATCCACTGGTAGATTGGCAGATCGAGTCCCTTTTGGCCTCAGTCTTCCCACCCTTTGGAGTCCCTGCGGGGTCCTGCAGCCATACACCCCCGCCGGAGGGGCGGGGCGCCGGGTCCTAGGCGGCGCGGCAGTCTGCCTGGCAACCAGTGATGTCACAGGAAATTTGCAGCAGGGTTGGCTGGACGCTACCAGGAGGCGGGGACTTTTCCGGCTCTTAGGGGGTTTTGGAAAAGCTGGGTGGGGGGGTGAGCCGGGCGGGAGAGGGGCGTGAGGGCTGGTCTTCCCTCTCCTCGGTGCCTGGTTCTGCATACCCCCCAAGCTCCCCACGCCTTTCCCCTCCCTCTCACCTCCCCCGACTTCTTCCCAAAACACCTGGTCTCCCCGAGACCCCCCGCAGGTCCTCCCCCACAGGGAGGACCCGCCAGCGCCACCTCCACTCTGAAAGTCACAGGTCCCCCTGCCGAGAAGGGCGCCAAAGTCCGGGCAACCCTCCAGGGCCTTCCCAGTTCCCGCCCGGCCCCGCCCCCCGCGTCCGGTGCGCCTGGCCCCTGGGAACCGACCCGGACGGCAGCCGAGCCCCCTGGGAACCGACCCAGACAGCAGCCCGGCACGCCCCCGGGGGGAGCCGGGCCACCGGGAGCCCAAGAGGTCGGAGCTTCTAAGTGTGTCGATGGCATGTGGGGTCTTGGGGTTCTGGGGACCCCGACCTAAGTGCCCTCCCTGCGGGCACAGAAAGCGCCTCCCCAGCGCCTCTTCCTGCAGACGCGCGGAAATCGGACCCTCCCCCGGCTCGGGTTTCCCGCAAACCCCTGACTTGCAGATGCTAAGAACGGCAGCTGCCGCCCTGCCCTGCCCTGCCCTGCCCGGCCAGGCCCGTCACGGCCCGCTCGGTGCCCAGATTCACCCTCTGTGTAGGGGACTCAAGAATGCGACCCCAGGTCCCTGAACCTCCAGACGCACGAGACCAGTCCCCAGACCCTCCTCCTTCAGACCTAGGTGTCCTCAGTACCTCCTCCTTCAGAATCAGTGGTCCATTCCCCCCAGTCCCTCCTTCCTCAGACCCAGGGCTCCAGTTCCTCCTCCCTCAGATCCGGGACCCCCAGCCCCCGCCCCTCCTCCCTCAGCCCTAGGGAACTCCCCAGCCCCTCCTCCCTCAGACCCAGGGAACCCTCCCTCAGCCCCAGGGACCCCCCCAGCCCTCTTTCCTCAGCCCCAGGGACTCACCAGCCCTCCTCCCTCAGCCCCAGGGACCCCCCAGCCCACCTCCCTCAGCTCCAGGGACCCCCCCCCAGCCCCGCTCCATCAGCCCCAGGGACCCCTCTGCCCTCCTCCCTCAACGCCAGGCTCCCCCACCCCTCTCCCCAGGGACCTGTCATTCAGCTGTCCCTTAGTCCAGCTGTTATTTGTCACCCTCCAGAACTCGCTGGTGGAATGTGGAGCCGCAGGGAGGGGGGCCTCCCGGAGCCTCTTGGGAGTCTCCAGGGCTCCTTAAATGGCTCCTCCCTGGGGGTGCCCCGTCCTCCCCTGGCCAGCGGCAGTCAGAGGGAAGAGGCGGACATGCCCGCGGCAAAACCAGGTGGCTGGGGGTGCGGGTCTGCAGAGACTGGGGCTGCTTTCCTGGGGGGACCAGGTCTCCTCTGGGTGGTAGGAAGAGTGGGGAGCCTCTATGTGGGGGGACAGGTCCCCTTCCTCAAGTGGAACGGGGCCCCACGTCTGTTTGGGGTGGGGCCCCCCTTTGCCTGTGTGCTGTGAGGTTCCTTCACAGTATGGAGTTGGGGTGCAGGTGAACCTGGGCTTCTTTTTCAGCATGGGGCGGGGTTCCTGTGGATGGGGCCGGGGGAGTCTTTGCATGGCACATGGGCTTCTCTACATTTGTGCCTGGGGTGCTCTGAAGATGGATCTTTCTCTGGAAAGGATTCGGGCCCTTGTAGGCAGGGAGATTGGGACGCCCGGGGGCAAGCCCTGCTTTGTCCAGGGTTGAGGGATTACCTTCGTACAGGAATCAGGACTTGTACAAAAATCAGAAATCCCAGACTTCCCTGTCTGGGAATTAAGGGATCTTCTCCACACAGGGGCTAATGTACCTCTAATTTTTTTCTTCCTTTATGTGCCTTAAAAAAAATAGTTAAAATTCTATGGTTTACTATACTCTTAATATTGATTCTATGGTTTACAATTCTCTTACTAATGTTTCTATGGTTTACAATGATCTCGGTGACGATTTTATGCTTACAATACTCTTAACGATGAGTCTAGTGCGGGCCACCAGTGTGCCCATCCCAGAAATACGGATCCTGACAGTTTACCTGCCAGCCTTGTGGCTGTGCTGACCTCCGTGTCCCCCCACTTTAGCTTACCTGCTGCCTAGTGAGCAGGGTATGCCTTTGGGCACTTCTGAGAGTCTGGGGGCATTTTGTTCTATAGGGCAAGTCCCTTGGGCCAGCCTGTGGGATGGGGGTCCAGCTCCAGGTGCCGCTGGGCAGGGAGTGGGGGCAGGAGCCAGCAGCGGGGTGGTGGCAGTGCTGATTCAGCCTGAGTGTCCAGTTTCCAACCCGAGAAGAGCTAATTTTACCCCCTGGACCCAAAAGGTCAGGGCCGTGCAGGGTGCGTGCAGGCTGGGCCCTGGGGCCGGAGGAACCTGATCACAGGCCCCATCAGAGATCTGTTTACAGGGGGAAGAGGGCTCCTGATCTGAGGGAGGAGGGCAGGGGACACCTGGTCTGAGGGAGGAGGCCTGGGGACTCCTGGTCTGAGGGAGGGAGGAGGGATGCAGACTCCTGGTCTGAGGGAGGGAGGAATGGGGATTCCTGGTCTGAGGGAGGAGGGTGAGGATCCAGCCTCCTGTGCCCCGGAAGAAGAAGGAGCTGAGCTGTGAACATTCCCCTCAAAGCGGCCAAAAAGGCCCCCCTCAAAGGCAAAGATGCTGCCAAACCGGCTCCCAAGGAGGCGCCCCCCAAGGAAGAGCCCCCCAAAGAGGCTCCCGCAGAAGCCCCCAAAGGTGAGATGGTGCTTTGTGGTCTCAGTGGAACCAGCCCTTGGTCTCCTAGTCCCTCTCCAGCTGCTCCCCTGAGGCTCCCTGGCACCCCACAACTGACCTTGCCCGCCAGCCGACCTCCTACCCTGTGACTGGTTCTACACGCCTCCACGAGTCTCAACCCCTCTACCTTTTCAGAGACCCATTCAAGACCCTTGGGCCCACCCTCCCCCAGCTCAAAGACAGGGAAACTGAGGTGGGGGACCAGCTTTCTGGGGCTCCAGTTATTTCCAGTCACTAAAGGTCACCTCTTCTGGTCTTGGGCCCCTGAATTCCAAGTTCAGCCCCCCAGGGTGCTACCCCTAATGCCAGGGGGCCCTAAATCCTGTCTCCTGTGCAGAGGCCCCACCTGAGGACCAGTCTCCCATCACTGAAGAACCTTCTGGAATGTTTCTGAAGAAGCCAGACTCTGTGTCGGTGGAGACTGGTGAGGGGTCCTGAAGAAGAGACTGGGGTCTTGGGCTCTGGGTGTGAGGGCGGAGGAATGGGGGGGGGCTGCTGGTCTGAGGGAGCTGGGGTGGGGAGACCTGGGTCTAGTGGATATGCTGTGCTAGTCTGAGGGAGGCAGGGTGGAGGAGTGCTGGTCTGAGGGAGGAGTGGAGAGTGCTGGTCTGAGGGAGGTGGGGTGAAGGAATGTAGGTCTGTGAGAGAAGAGCAAGAAGATCTGGGTCTAATGGAGCAGGAATATGGTGTGCTGGTCTGAGAGAGGAGGAGTAGGAAGACCTGGGTCTAATGGAGGAGTGCTGGTCTGAGGGAGGAGGGTGCAGCGCCTCCTTTTGTAGCCTCTGCGGTCTCTTTTCCTTCCAGGGAAGGATGTGGCGATCTCAGCCAGAGTTAACGGGAAGGAGCTCCCGGGCAAACCCTCCATCAAGTGGTTCAAGGGAAAGTGGCAGGAACTGGGCAGCAAGACCGGAGCCCGGTTCTCCGTGAAGGAGTCGCACGACGCTGCCAGCAACGTGAGGAGCTCTGGGGGTAGGGGCACAGGAGGGCCGGGCTGGAGGCTGTGCAGGAACCTGGAGTGGGCTGGAGACCAGGACCCTCAGGCCTGGAAGTGGTGCAGATCTGGGTGGGAGGGGGAGGGTTTGAGTTTGCACATGGGACAGGGACGTTGCCCTCATGAGTCAAGGCAGTCCAGGCATGGAAGGAGACGAGTTGGCCCTGGGGCCGAGTGATCCTCCCCTCTCTTGGGGTCTTCTCTGTGGAGTGAGGTGAGGGCTTAGGAAGGTAGGAAATGGGCTCTGGGGTTTGAGGGGTGTGTGGGAGGCTGTCTCCCTGCACCCACACCCCTGGCCTGATGCTTAGGTCTACACCGTGGAACTGCACATTGGGAAGGTGGTGCTGGGGGACCGTGGGGATTACCGCCTCGAGGTCAAAGCCAAGGATGTCTGTGACAGCTGCAACTTCAGCATTGATGTGGAGGGTAGGTGGCAGGGGAGGGTGGGGGGTGGCAAGCCTAGGGTTGGGAGGAGGGAATACAGATTCAAGGGTCAAGGCATTTTAAAGTGGGGGTATGGAGGGTCAGAAAGATCTTATAGAGCGTAGGGGGCTGGAGCAATAGCACAGCGGGTAGGGCATTTGCCTTGCATGCGGCCAACCCGGGTTCAATTCCCAGCATCCCATATGGTCCCCTGAGCACCGCTCGGAGGAATTCCTGAGTGCATGAGCCAGGAGTAACACCTGTGCATTGCCGGGTGTGACTCAAAAAGAAAAAAATATAAAAGATCTTATAGAGGGTAAGACTCTTGCTTGACATACAATTGATCCCGGTTCGACCCCTGGCACTGCATAGGTCCTCCAAACCCAGTAAGGAGTGATCTCTGAGTGCAGTGTCAGGAGTTGATTCTGTGCACAGCCAGGTGTGAGCCCCCCCAAAAAACCCCAAAACAAGAAAACAGAAAAATTGGGGCAGTTGAGCTGGAGGATAGTTGAGGGGTGAAGGTGCTCACCTAGCTTGCTTCCTGCCCTGGTTTGCTCAAAGTAGGGCCCCCTGAGCACTACCAGGAGTGATCCCCAAGCACAGAGCCAAGAGTCAGCCTCAGGCATCTCCAGATGTGCCCCAGAATAAAAATAAAAACTAAGAACAGGGAACCAGAGTGACAGGGCTCTTGCCTTGCATACGGCCAACCCGAGTTTGATTCTCAGCACCCTTTCTGGTCCCCGAGCACCATCAGGAGTGAGCCCTAAGAGCAGAGGCATGAGTAACACTGAGCACTGCTGGGTGTGGCCCAACCACACCCCCAAAAAACACTCCACTTAAAACAGAGGTGAACAGGTTTAGGGGCACTTGGGCGCAGCCCAGTTTGTGTGAGGGCTTAGGTATGAGGGACACAAAAGAGGGCATGAGGTTGTGCGGACCCAGGGAGAAGGATGTGCTGGCCCAGACATGAGGCGCTTTAGGCTGCTGGGAGGAACTGCACAGCAGCCGGAGAGAGTATCAGGTAGAGGTGTGCTGCGAGGGCAGGCGTGCTGGCTGAGATGGTGGAATACAGGGGCCTGGGAGAGGTTGAGTGGGAGGGTCCTAGGCTTGGGTCAGGTGGTGCCTCCAGTTCCCCATCCCTCCCCTCTTCCTCCCCCAGCTCACCGTGAGGACTCGGGGCCGGACCTGGAGAACTTCAAGCGAACGTAATATCCTGAGGCCTGGGGCTTGGAGGGAGGGCATCTTTCATGGCAAGAGTCCCAGGAGGAGCCCCTGGGGAGGCTCTGGGAAGCTCTGGGGTGAGTCTAAGGGAACGGACTCAGTGGGGTTCACACTCCCTCTCCGTGGCCACAGGGGCGAAGGGAAGACAGAAGATGCGGGTGAGCTGGATTTCAGCAGCCTGTTGAAGAAGAGGTGAGCCCTCTCCACTGAGGTAGAGGAGAGAGATGGTTGTTCAAGGAGAAACGTGGCTGTGGAGGTCCCAATGCCATTCTCAAATTCTCTACTGACCTCTTCCCGCCTCCTCCATCTTCACATGCCCTGCTGATACGGTCACCTGCTCACAACTCCGCTCACATCCATCAGCCCAGCAGTCCACCTGCCCAACTCCCCGAGCCCATCATCTTCACATTCACTCTCCTGCCCACTCAGGTTCAATGTACATACTATGCACCATTCATCCATCCACCCACCCACCCATGCATCCATCCATCTACCTACCCACCCATCCATCCATATATCCACCCATCCATTCACCCTCAATCTATCCACCATCCATCCATCCATTCAGCAGCTGGAGGACGCCATACACGGGCACGTGGGGAGGCAGATGGGGGCATGAAAGAAGTGGAGACTGGCTGTTTCACTAGGTGTGGAAATGGGAGAGACACGTGAGCAGGAGAAGCATGAATGAATAGAGGGATGGAGAGTGGACTTAATGGCAGACGGGTGGATGGTGGGTATGTGCTAGATGGATGGACAAATGGGCAGGTCAGTGGATGAATTAGTAGATGAAGCGGGTTGGATGAGTGGATGGATGGATAGAGGGATGTATATATGAATGCATGGGTGGGGTGGATATTGGATGGTGGGTGGATGGATGGGGGATAATGGGTGGATGGATGAGTGGATGTTGGATGGTGGATGGGTGGATGGATGGAGGGTGAATGGATGGTGGGTGGATGGATGGGAGATAATGGATGGATGGATGGATGGATGGATGGATGGATGGATGGTTGGATGGATGGATGGATGGATGGATGGATGGGTGGATGGATGGGTGAATGGTGGATGGATGGATGGATGGATGGGTGGATGGATGGGTGAATGGTGGATGGATGGATGGATGGATGGATGGGTGAGTGAATAGGTGGACAGGTGGGTGCATGTTTGATACATGGGTGGGTGGATAGATGGAGGGTGAATGGGTGGGTAGGTGGATGGATGGATGGATTGGTGGATGGATGGATGGTCTCCTGAGTCAACCAGAAGTAGTTCCTGAGTGCAGAGCCAGGAGCAATATAAGAGCATTGTTGGGTGTGGCCAAAACCCCCCAAAGAAACCTATTGATCTGTAGTGAATCAAACCACTACCTGACAACTGACCATAAACACATTCACCCAGGGCTGAGGAGATAGTACAGTGTGGAGGGTGCATGAAGCTGACCAGGGTTCAATCCCTGGCACCTCATATAGTACCCTGAGCACCACTGGGAGTGATCCCTGAGTACTGCTGGTTGTGGCCCAGAACAAAAACAAAAATCAAATCCCCAAACAAAATATATTTACCCAATTGTCCACTCTACCAGTTCCCACCATAAACCATTCCCACAGCCTGTCATCCAGCCTTTGCACTCACCCACTGACCAGTGACTTTCAGCCAAGCCATCTGTGTGCCAACCCTCAGCCCAGCCCGCCATGGCCCCAAATGTCTCTGTGTTCCCAGATTCACCCACTCATCCCTTCTGCTTTGTTTCCATCTCTCTTTCTTCCCTGAGATCCTCACTCAGCAAACGTCATCTGTGGCTTCGTCCCTACTGGGCCCAGGACTAGGATAGGGGGACAGAGCAGTTTCACTGCATCCCTGAGGTTTAGTTATTCACTGGAGTCATGAGTTCAGTCCCAAAGACACGAACACAGGAGACCGGGAAAGAGTACAGTGGGGAGGGTGTTTGCCTGGCACAAGGCGGGCCTGGGTTTGATCCCCGCATTCCATAGGGTCCCCTGAGCACTACCAGGAGTAGTTCCTGAGTGCAGAGCCAGGAGTAAGCCCTGAGTATCTCCAGGTGTGTCAACCTCACAAAAATAAATAAATAGGGGCTGGAGTGATAGCACAGAGGGTAGGGCTTTTTCCTTACATGCGGCCAACCCGGGTTCAATTCCCAGCATCCCATATGGTCCCCTGAGCACCGCCAGGAGTAATTCCTGAGTGCAGAGCCAGGAGTAACCCCTGTGCATTACCGGGTGTGACCCAAAAAGCAAAAAAAAAATAATAATAATAAATAAATAAATAAAATTGAAAAAAAACCCTCAAATGTATGGAACAGACCAAGCCTAGTGTGGTTGATCAGATAGGGCCCCTCTGATGCTTTGGCGGAGCAGGTCGGCACCTGGGCACAGTGGGGGAACAGAGGTTGTATCTCGGGAGGGAGAACATTTGGTGCTAGATTTTTTTTTCTTTTTGGGCCACACCCTGAGTTGCTCAGGGCTTACTCCTAGCCCTGCACTCAGGAATTACTCCTGGCAGTGCTCGGGGGACTATATGGGATCCTGGGGATTGAACCTGGGTCGGTCATGTGCAAGGCAAACACCCTCCCTGCTGTGCTATCGCTCCAGCCTTTGGTGCTAGGTCTTGTGGGATGAAGAGAAATTCGTGGGAAAGAGATGACATGGAAGGTCCTCCCTGCCAGGTAGTGATGTGTGAGGGCTGGGACAGAGGCCAGAGGGTTCAGGGGATGAGAGACAGGCCTGACTAGGTGAGGGGTGTGAGCAGGTAGAAAGGATTTGGATGTGGGTTGGGAATGTTCTTTTCTGTTCTTTGTAGCTTTCGGGCCATCCCCAGCAGTGCTCAGGAGTTGTTCCTGAGCCAAGATGCCTTACTCCCATAGGATCTCTGCAGCCCCCCTGGGGGTGAGGATACCCCTCGGACCTCTATGGGACTGATGCTAGAAGGGAAGGATCTGGATGAAGCTGGGAGATTGGGCTGGGCAAGGTGGGGGGCAGGAAGGGGCTGGGGCAGAGGCAGGCATGCAGAGAGAGATGCTGTGGTGGGCATGACCTGCTGTCCCCATGCCAGGGAGGTGGTGGAGGAAGAGAAGAAGAAGAAGAAGGATGACGATGACCTGGGCATCCCGCCGGAGGTCCTGGAGCTCCTGAAAGGGGCCAAGAAGAGTGAGTATGAGAAGATCGCCTTTCAGTACGGCATCACCGACCTCCGGGGCATGCTCAAGAGACTCAAGAAGGCGAAGGTGGAGGTGAAGAAGAGTGCAGGTGAGCTACCAGCTGAGGGGAGAGGAGACCCCCCCAGAGAAAGGGGGCACCCAGAGAGAGGGGGTGTCCAGGGGGAGGAGGCCCGTAGGGAGAGGGGCATCTGGGGAGAGGGGCTCTCCAAGGGAAGGGGCCCAGTGAACTGGAACTCCAATCCCGGGGGTCTGATTGTCCAGCCCTCAAAACCTCTCTTTATTTATTCATTTCATATTTATTTATTTAGTTGGCTTTCTTGGGTCATACCCAGCGATGCTCAGGGGTTACTTCTGGCTCTGCAGTCAGGAATCACTCCTGGAGTTGCTCGGGGGATCCCATGGGATGATGGGGATGAAATGCAGTTCGGCCATGTGCAAGGCAAAAGCCCTTTGCCCGCTGTGCTATCGTTCCAACCCCCCAACCTCTCTTTTGGGAACCCTAACATGTGGGGCAGTCCAGACCTGATTGCCAGGACCTCCAAGTTCCTCCGCAGCTTCTTGACCTTGGAGAGCCCGTGGTCTGGAGAGGGACACCGGGCAGCTGCACTGGGACCTAGGGAACACCCCCACTCAGTTCCCTGACCCCCACCCCCACCCCTCACAGCCTTCACCAAGAAGCTGGAGCCGGCCTATCAAGTGGACAGGGGCAACAAAGTCAAGCTGGTGGTGGAGATCAGTGACCCGGACCTTCCCCTGAAGTGGTACAAGAACGGTCAGGAAATCAAGCCCAGCAGCAAGTATGTGGGAGATAGTCCAAGGTGGGGAAGATGTGAGGCTCAGAGAGAGGGTCAGAGGCAGGAAATTCGCCACTTATCAGCTGGAAGGACTCCCCGGAACCCTCAGGAAAGGGGCACATGACCCCCACAGCACTTAGCTGTGTTCTGGACTCCGAGGGATCACGTGTGTCATGGGACTTCACCAGGCTCTACCACAAAGCCTGGGCATTATGGGATGAACCATCCGGGTGGGTGGACTCACACTATGGCATTTGGACCCGGCCAGTTTGCCTCACCTGTTTACTGACAGGTGATTCTGCATTCTAGGAAAATAAACAGAAGGGGCCAGAGTCATAGGACAGTGGAGAGGACATTTACCTGGCACACAGCTGACCTGGTTGGGTCCCCAGAACCTATTAGCATCCCCCCAGCTCCACTGGGAATGAACCCTGAGTACAGAGCCAGGAGTAAAGTACAGAGCCAGGAGTACTGCTCCCCACCCAACAACAAAAATGCCAAAATATGTAATTTCCTACCAAACTAAGGTGTTAGAAAAAAACATTGCTGTAAGGTTTATACTGATGCAGGAAACTTCACGATGGTGCACAAAACCTGGCTCCCAACTCCGCTTGGCGAAATGTTAATCTACACACACAGATAAAACCAGGCGTGAAACACAAGCCAGATGTTTGGCGCAGTTATGCATCAGTTTTATTTTTATTGTTTTCCTTGCCCATGTTTCTTAAATTTCTCATCACGAGCATTTGAATATAAGATGAAAAGCAGTTCGTTGGGGGGCCGGAGCAATAGTACAGAGTGGAGGGCACTCGCCTTGTGCGAGGCTGATCTGGGTTTGTTCCCTGACACCTGACATGATGCCTTGAGCCCTTCCAGGAGTGATCCCTGAGCACAGAGCCAGGAGTAAGTGCTGAGAACCGCCAAGTATGGACCCCCAACAAGCTAAACCCCAAAATATCAGTTGTTGAAGCATAGGGTAAATCACAGTAAGAGACCATGGGATATGAGTTATTCGAGAGAAGTTGCATTTTTACCTGATGGATGCTGGTGGCTCTCAGAAACTTCTCGAGTACCCATGTTCCATATATTTGGACCACACAATTTTCTGGCATGACAGTAGCTGGAGCATGAGCATAAGAGGGGTAGGGTGGAGAGAAATCCAGAAAGAACATCTAGGACACACTTCCATTCACACCTCTGGCTTTAGCCACAGCAGCTGCAAGGGGTTCTGGGAAATGTAGTTCTACGCATGGGTAGCCAGTCCCTGCTCAGCCTGAGATACTAGAACTTGGCCCATCTTCTCTAAAATTTGGTTCCGAGAGACATGGGTTTTATTTTTATTCTGTTTTCCTTGTCTGTGTTTCATGAATTTCTCATCATGAGCATTTGGATATAAGATGAAAAGTGCTTTGTTGACGGCTGGAGCTATAGTACAGGGCGAGAGTGCGGGGCCCTGTACTGATGGGCAGACCCTGGCCCCTGGCTGAGGTGGGGATTTTGCCACAGATACGTGTTTGAGAATGTTGGGAAGAAACGGATCCTCACCATCAACAAGTGCACGCTGGCTGATGACTCTGCCTACGAGGTGGCCGTCAATGACGAGAAGTGTTTCACCGAGCTCTTCGTCAAAGGTGGGGCCGGCATCTGTCTCACCTGAGCCGGGGGAACAGGGCTCTGAAGGAACCCTCAACCTGTGGCTTCCGCCCCCTTGCCCCACAGAACCTCCCATCCTGATTGTGACACCTCTGGAGGACCAGCAGGTGTTTGTGGGTGATCGGGTAGAAATGGTGGTCGAGGTATCGGAAGAAGGGGCGCAGGTTATGTGGTGAGTGAGTTGGTTCCTGGACTGCTGTTTTTGCATGTTTGCTTTTGAAGTCACAACCAGTGATGCTCAGGGGCTGCTCCTGGCGGGCTCAGGGGCTGTGTGGGATGGGGGATAGAACCCGGGCTGCTTGCCTGCAGGGCCAGTGCTCTCCGCTGTGCACGTTCTCTCCGGCCCTCAATTCCTAAGCTGCTTCCTTCCATGCTGTCCTGTAGCCTCTTGTGGATTCTGGCCCTTTGCTCAGAAGTCACCAGCATACCCCAGCTTTCTCTCAAAATCCTGATCTTTTTTTTTTTTTTCTTTATGGGTCACACCCGGCAATGCTAAGGGGTTACTCCTGGTTCATGCACTCAGGAACTACTCCTGGTAGTGCTCAGGGGACCATATGGGATGCTAGGGATTGAACCCGGGTCAGGCCGCATGCAAGGCAAACGCCCTACCCACTGTGCTATCACTCCAGCCCCTCAAAATCCTGATCTTAACCCAACATCTCTTAGAACTTTTTTTGCTTTGTTTTGGGATCACACTCCAGCTGTGTGCTTGGGGGACCATGAGGTTCTGGGGATTGAGCCAGGGTCAGCAGAATTCCTATACTTCCCACTGAACCCCTAGAACTTCTTATCCAGAGGGTTAGAAATGTAACTCCCTGATTTTCTCCACACTCCTTTCCTGAACCCCTTATAATCATGAAGGTTATTTGTCATTTTTCATCTATTCATTCATCCAGGCTTGGGGTGTGGTTCAAGAGGCAGGGTACCAGCCATGTATGTGCAAGACCCTGAATCTAATCCCCACCACTGAGTGTGGCCCCCACAACTAAATGAAAAAATAATCCATCCTTTGGTCCATGCATTCATATCTGCTTGCCTGCCTTCCTTCCTTCCTTCCTTCCTTCCTTCCTTCCTTCCTTCCTTCCTTCCTTTCTTCCTTCCTTCCTTTCTTCCTCCTTCCCTCCCTCCTTCCCTCCCTTCCTCCCACCTATACTTATCCATCCAATCCATCTTTTTGGAGTTCCTCTTCACACAGCCTCGAGACACAATGAGAAGAATCTGGAGGCCTAGAAAAGTGGATGGACTGGTGGGAGATGAGAGTCTCTGGCCCTGAGGCTCCCTCTCCCTCATCCCCTTCCCTTCCTCCCCCTCCCCATCTCCTCCCCCACTTCCCCCTGTTCCTTCTCCACTCCTCCCCTTTTTCCTCCCCTTCTCCCCTTCTCTCCTTCCTTCCCTCTTCTCTCTCCTCCCTCTCCTCCCCCTCCTCCATCTCCTCCTCCCCTTCTACCCTTCCTCCCTCCCCTCTTACCCCCTCCTTCCTCCCCCAATCTCCCTCCTCCTCCCAATCTCCCTCCTCCTCCTTCCTCCCCTTCCTCTCCCTCCTCCTCCACTTCCTCCTTCCCCACTCTGAGCTCACCTGCTGGTGACCCCTCCACTTGGGACATCTTTTCGAGCCTCATGTGCCTGCAGATCAGAACTGAGTGTGGCCCGGGGTGGCTACCTCACAGCCCTTGCACCCTTGCCCAGGATGAAGGACGGTGTGGAGATGACCCGGGAGGACTCATATAAGGCACGCTACCGCTTCAAGAAGGACGGGAAACGCCACATTCTCATCTACTCCGATGTGTCCCTGGAAGACGGGGGCCGCTACCAGGTCATAACCAATGGTGGCCAGTGCGAGGCCGAACTCATTGTGGAAGGTAGGCGGATTCCCTGTGGCCTGGGCACACTGCACACACAGCATAGATACCATGCACACACATACACCAACACGCCATATACATTTCTCACTCAGCCCATTTAGGTATCTCTTTGGCCCCCCCATGCGAGCCCTATGTGTGCGAGTGTGTGTGTGCGTGAGTGTGAGTCTGCATTTGTGTGAGGGAGTGTTAGTCTGCATGTGTGTATATGTATGGGTGTATGTGTTTGTGAGTCTGCATGTGTGTGTATGAGTGTGTGTAAATCTGCATGTGTGTATGAGAGTGTCTGCGTGTGTGTGTGTGTGTGTGTGTGTGTGTTGCCTCAAACATGCCCTTTCACTGAGCTCCATCTCCCACCCAAGCATCATTTTGTTTAAAAATCAGGCCAGGGGGTAGAGCAGTAGTGCAGCAGGGAAGGCACTTGCCTTGCACACAGCCAGTCCTGGTTCCATCTTCAGCACCCCATATGGTGCCCCGAATTTACCAGGAATGATATCTGAGCCCAGAGCCAGGAATGAGACCTGAGCCCAAAAACAAACAAAACAAACAAGTATATTTGAAAAGGTTGGCCAGGTCCCTGCACCTCAACACCTTTCGGTAACCAGATGTAGGATGATGTAGGATAACATTGGTTTGTCCTTTCTTTTTTTTTTTTTTCAATAATTTAGGAGTACTGCTATTTGTTCAGCCACTGATCAAGCTGATTAAATTGGGCATGAACTCCACATTACTTTTTTTTTTAAATTGTATCACTGTGATATAGAGTTACAAAGGTTTGTTCTTTGTTCTCCTTCCTTTCTCCGTTGCCACAGGGAGCTTAGATTTATTGTTACACCCATCACAGTGCTCCTGAGGCATTCCCATTCTTCTTTAACTTCTCTGTGCTCTGCTTCCCCTATTAATCATCTATATCTCCAAATCAGACCCTGTGACTTGTAAGGTCATATCCCTCTAAGGACTCTGGATTTTGTATTTGTAAGATTCTCTTTCCCTTATGTCCTTTACATAGTTTACTTTAAAGCAATGTCTTTTTCGTATAGACACAGGAAGACAGTTAATGCTATGCTTGTGTAACTTGAGAGTTAATTTATTCTGAATAATATTTACTCCTGGGCATCTGTCATATTTACTTGACTTAAGCCTCAGTTGCCCTTAGTTCCTAGCACCCCCAAAGCAGGGTACTGACGAAGAGACTTGGATGGACCCAGGGCAAGCTGTGAATTACCCTGGCATTGAAAAGGGATTAGCCTAGTGCCATAAAAGTTATAAGTTAAGAGGACGGTCATGGACAAATTCTGTCATGACTCAAAGAGAAGTGACTGGACACAGACCCTGGTGGGGTTAGGAAGGACTAATCTGGCCTGAGGACTGTAGTCTAGGATCCATAGCGAGGTGTCCCCAGGAGAGCCACCCTTTAAGCTTAAAATATTTCTTACTGTGTCCATATAAAATGACTAGAAAGATTAGTAAGAAGTAAGTTTAAGATGACTGTTTTTTTTTTCTTTTTGGGTCACACCCGGCGATGCTCAGGGGTTACTCCTGGCTCATGCACTCAGGAATTACTCCTGGCGGTGCTCCGGGGACCATATGGGATGCTGGGAATCAAACCGGGGTCGGCCATGTTGGCTGCGTGCAAGGCAAACGCCCTACCCGCTGTGCTATCGCTCCAGCCCTTAAGATGACTGTTTAAATGGATATGAACTAAGGAAAGAAGAAGTATGCCCTTAGATGAAATTCAGCCCTTGAGTGGATCTCCTAATAGGATGAGATCTTTGTCTTAGAAGAGCTTCCCCCAAGGAAGGGCTTTATATATCTTGATTGTGCTATCTGACCTATGTGAAGTTGCTACTCCCAACCTTAGAGGTTGGGCTCTTTTTTTTTTTCCTCTTTGGGTCACACCTGGAGATCAGAGATTACTCCTGGTTTTGCATTCAGGAATTACTCCTGGTGGTGCTTGGGGACCATATGAGATGCTGGGAATCGAACCCGGGTTGGCCGCCTGCAAGGCAAACACCCTACCAGCTGTACTATGGCTCTAGCACTGGAGGTTGAGCTCTTAACTAGGCGGTGAGACTGGAGACAGGGGAAGACTAGGGAAGACTAGCATGAGGGACAGGAGGAGACGGGAATGAGGGCCAGTGTGAGACTGGAATAGGTGCATGGGGAGAATAGAATAGACAGTGGGACTGAGATTGGACTGAATGGCACTGATCACCAACCAGCTTGACCGCCTTGTTCCTTCCTTAGTGTGTCTGTTGGTGGTAGCAGCTGACCCGGGTGGGGAAGTGACTCCTGGCCACCAAACACACGAGGGAAGTGCCCACACACTTTCTGAACACACACCAGACACCCTTAGTGCTGGTGCAGGGCCCTCTCTGTGGTCTAGACACTCGTCACCTGACCCAGTCTGCACCCACTTTCGCCTACTTGCCCTTCCTAGGCGCAGAGCGCTGGCTGGTCTGTGTGGGGCCCATTTCGGGTCCATGATCTCAGCTCCCATCCTCCCGTCCTGGGGAGACAAAGCATGAGTTGTTTGAGCTCAGCCTGTGCGCCCAGGGCAAGGCACGGTGCAGGGATGTGGGCAGGCCCTGAGGCTCAGTCATGGTCATGGTCCCTGCAGAGAAGCAGCTGGAGGTGCTGCAGGACATCGCAGACCTGACCGTGAAGGCCTCGGACCAGGCCGTTTTCAAGTGTGAAGTGTCGGACGAGAAGGTGACGGGCAAGTGGTACAAGAATGGCATCGAGGTGCGGCCCAGCAAGAGGATCACCATGTCCCATACAGGGAGGTGGGTGCATGGTGCTCCCAGGAGCCCCTTCCCCAGAACCAGGATGCAATAGGTCTCGAGACTCAGTGGGGGGCTGGCTAACCTGGGGGGCTCTTGTCAGCAGGAACAACTGGGCTGCTTGTCTTTGTTCTGCTCCTTGCACTAGGCCCCAGTCGGCTTATTCATCCTGGCTTGTTCATGCTGGAGAAAGGGGCCCCTTAGAGAGAGAGAGCGAGAGAGAGAGAGAGAGAGACAGACAGACAGACAGACACAGAGGCATAGACAGTAGGCAAAAACAGCAGGAAGGGCTGGTGTGAGAATACAGTGGGGAGGGCGCTTGCCTTACACGTGGCCAACTCAGTTCACTCTCTGGCATCCTTTATGGTCCTCTGAGCACCACCAAGAATGATCCCTGAGTGCAGAGCCAGGAGGAACACCTGAACATCACCAGATGTGATTTCCAAACAAAAACAATAAACCAGCCAGGAACTGACCCAGCATCACTTTCTTTGTCGTAACCTTGTTGGGCACAGGAAGTACCAGCCCTGGGGCAGGTTGAGGCAAACCCTGGGGCCATGTTTGCAAACAGCCAACTGTAGTGGTGGGGTGGGGGGAGAGGGGCATAGGGGCTGGGATTCAATAGACAGTGTGTGGACACCCCAGATAAGTGCCCTGTTGTCTGTGGGGGCCCTGTGGCTCTCCCGAGGTTCTCTCCTGCAAGCTCTGCCAGTCCATAGGGAGCTAACATCCATAGGGTACTTACTAGATGCCAGAGAGTGCTCTGAACACCCAGAGCTGCGTGCACACCTGATTGGAGAAAGGAGCACAGAGAGGTTAGAGCAATTGCCTGAGGTCACACAGCTAGTGAGGGGCAGAGCTGAGCTCTGCCTGAAACCAGCCCACAGCTTTCCAGAGCCCAGAGTGGACACAATGGGAGTGGCCCGCAGAGTCATTAAGGAGGGCGTTTCTTCTCCATGTTATGTTGCTCCCCTGAGTCACTTGTCCTGACTGCTCCCTGTCACCCCTATTCGTTTAGGATCCACAAACTGGTGATCGATGACGTCCGGCCTGAAGATGAAGGCGACTACACCTTCGTGCCTGATGGCTACGCCCTGTCCCTCTCAGCCAAGCTCAACTTCCTGGGTGAAGATGTCCTTCAGCCCTGCCCCTTGACCCCGCCCCACAGTACCCGGGGGATCCCGCACCACATATCGGGGGGACAGCAGACATTTGCTTTCCCCTGTGGGGAGTCAGAGTGCTGTCTCCATGAGGGGGACAGCTGGGCTTCAGGGCACCCCAGAACTCCCCTCTCCCCTGGTGTATGTGTGTGGGGTGTGAGGGGCTCTCGGATTGGGGTCTAACCATCCAGTTTTCTCTGTCCTCCAGAAATCAAGGTGGAGTACGTGCCCAAACAAGGTAAGAGCCAGAATTGCTATGTAGATAAAATGTCTGAGAGAAGAGGCTAAGGTCTAGACCTCTGTGTCTGACAGAGGAGACTGGCGTTCTGAATCTCTGAGTCTAAGGGAGGAGGACAGGATTCCCTGACTGCAGGAAGGACTGGGGTCTGGACTCCTTTGTCTGAGGGGAAGGACTGGGGGCCTGACTCCTGGGTCTGAGGGAGGAAGCTGGTGATCCTAGTCTTGGGGAAGAGGATGAGACCCTGGGGTCTCTGAGGGCCTCAGAATCCTGTGTCTTAGAGACACTCTGGTGGAACTGGGAGACCTTCCCCACCCCCACATTCCTGTGTCCCTTCCTGCTCCAGAGCCACCGAAGATCCACCTGGACTGTTCAGGGAAGACCTCGGAAAATTCGATCGTGGTCGTGGCAGGCAACAAGTTGAGGCTGGATGTGGCCATCACAGGGGAGCCTCCTCCGGTCGCCACCTGGCTGAGGGGGGATGAGGTACAGTGGAGCTTTCCCAGGGCCCTGTCTTCTCTCATGCTGAGCCATTCGGGGCAAGTTACACTGCTTCTCTGAGCTTCCATATCATTCATTATCTATAGAATGAGGGCGATGATCCCTCAGAGGGTCATTTGAAGATGGCCTTTATATTTGTTCATCCCCTGGGCACCGGCCTGGCACATGCTGAGTTCTCCATCCATTCACCCTCACCAGTTTATCCACCTGTTTATCGGCCGAGTCACATAGCTAGTGGTTCATCCAGGCATCTCTCATCAGTTGTCTCCATTCACCTAGCAGTTAATTAATCAATCATCCAGCCAACCACTCATCCAGTAATCAATTAATTTGTCCACTTAGCCATCCTAGTCATCCATTCACCCATGTTTCCATTCATCCATTCATCCACCCATCCACCTATCCATCCATCCACCCATCCATCCATCAACCCATCCATTCATCCAATCCATCTATACACCCATCCATACACCCACCACCCATCCACCAACCCACCCATTCATACATCTGCCCACCCACCCATCCATTCACTCACCCATCCATTCACTCACCCATCCACCCGTCCATCCACCCATCCATCCACCCATCCATCCACTCATCCATCCATCCATCCATCCATCCATCCATCCATCCATCCATCCCACCAACAAATACTTCCACCTTCTCTGTTCCAGGCGCTGGAACAGCTCAATTTTGCTCTTCTCTGGGCTTGAGTTTCTTCTTCTGTAAAACTCGAGTCAGCCTTGGCGCCTCCTTTCCCTCTGCACCCCCCTGAGTGTCCCCTTGGCCAGGCTCTGTGCATAGGCACTGAGGATCCAGCCACGAATCAGACGCAGTCCTTGCCTTCCTGGAGCCTTCACACTTGGAGAGAGGCAGATCCGTGCCCAGGCAGTCCCAGTCCAGGGTGATTGGGGTCAAGATACAGGGAGGTACCTGAAGCTCTGAGCATCCAGGGGTGGGTGGACCATACCCTGTGGATAGAGGGCCTCAGAGTGCTCCTGGAGCAGGCAACATCACTTGGGCCCCAGAAGAAGAGGCACAGTTGCAGGGGGAGTTGTGTGGGTCGGGGAGTGGGGTGCAAAAGCTCAGGCACAAGGCAGGAAGTAGCTTTGGGTTCTGGGTGGTATCTGGAGGACAAGGCAGGCAGTTGGCGGGAAGGATGAGGCCAGGGCAGGGCTAGCTCCTTGGGCTGGTCCTGGGCTGGCTGTTGGTCGTTCTGGGGAGCAGTTGGAGGAGCAGATGAAGGTCTGGGTTAGGGCCTGTGCAGTGCCAGGCCAGCTGTTGGCTGTGTCCAGGTGTTCACAGCCACCGAGGGCAGGACCCGTGTGGAGCAGAGGGTGGACACCAGCAGCTTTGTGATTGAGAGCGCCGAGCGGAAGGATGAGGGCCGCTACACGATCAAGGTCGCCAACCCTGCTGGCGAGGATGTGGCCTCCATCTTCGTGCGTGTCGTGGGTGAGCAGAGCCCTGGGCAGCTTCACAGGGACCCTCAGCCAGGGGTGCAGTTCTCCTAAATCTCCTGTCTCCCCCAGACGTCCCAGACCCCCCAGAGGCCGTGCGTGTCACCTCTGTTGGCGAGGACTGGGCCATCCTTGTATGGGAGCCACCCAAGTATGATGGGGGACAGCCAGTGACAGGTGAGTGTTCTGTGGGGGGGTTCCCTATAACCTCTGACCTCCCCGAGTCCTGAGCATCCTTGGGGACCCCCGTGTTCCCCCTTCTGTCTCTCACTTTCCCTCTGGTCTTCCCCATTGTTCTCACCCCCTCAGCACTGGGGGCCCTCCTCTTGGCCAGTAGTCTGGGCTTTTCTCTGGCCCCTGACCCGAATTAATGACCTCTAACCCCTCTCAATCCTCAGTGGGTGGATGACCCGGTAGCTCAAACCAGCACCCAGGAGTGATCTTCTTGGGCCAGTCATGGCCCAGTGATATTTGGAGTGTGTCCCTCACTGCCCCCGGCAGGCATGTCCCCCAAGACTGCCCACTTGTCTTCACTTCGGGGGCCCTCTAGGGTACCTCCTGGAGCGGAAGAAGAAGGGTTCACAGCGCTGGATGAAGCTGAACTTTGAAGTGTTTACGGAGACGACCTACGAGTCCACCAAGATGATTGAGGGTGTCCTATACGAGATGCGGGTCTTCGCTGTCAATGCTATCGGGGTTTCCCAACCAAGCATCAACAGCAAACCCTTCATGCCCATTGGTGAGTTACCAGGCCCCGCCCCTCTGAGGCCACGCCCACCGATGATCAGTCCTCGCCCACCAATCCACACTACGCCCCGCCCCGTCTCTGACCAAGCCACACCCTGCTGGCCAGCTCTGCCCACTCACCCCTGACTTCGACTCTATCCACGGTGCAACTTCTCTCTGCTCTTACACAACAACCCCAAGCGTGGACCCCTGTCAGGCCTCCCCGATATCGGCTATCTCTGCCGTCCTGGACTCCCTGGTCTTCCACACACAGTCCTGACCAGGGTCCCTCTCTGTTAACCCCCTCTCATTGACCCCTCACCTTCTGTTCCCACGGATCACTGCAGCACCCACAAGCGAACCACAGCACCTGACGGTGGAGGATGTGACCGACACCACCACCACCCTCAAGTGGAGGCCCCCCGACAGGATTGGGGCAGGCGGCATCGATGGGTACCTGGTGGAGTACTGTCTGGAGGACTGTGAGTGCCCGTAGGGAACGGGACCGTCAGGCAAGAGGGTCTCTGGTGCAGGTGGCTCCCGGGCTGGGTCAAAGACCCCAAGACAAGCTGCCCTGCATGTGCGAGACAGCACTGCCTCTTCCCTGCATGCGTCCTCCCCCAGCACTTATAACCTGAGTTGCTCCTTCTCTCTTTTTGTCATTTGTCCATCCAGGGAAGGCGGTGTTTTTGTATTCTGTGGACCACATGTGGGAAGGGGACCATCAGTTTTATCCGCCCACGTTCCCCTTTGCCCCCCATCCACATCAGAGCCCCCATTTCTGAACTGACTAGTTGTGTGCTGCCAGCATCTCACATGGATTCATAAATCCCAGGCAGAAAAAGAGCCTGTCCACCCTTCCTCTCCCTGACACCCTGCCTTTCTGGCCCTCGCATGGGGCTCTCAAGGAGCAGACAGTGGGAGGGGGTGAGCGAACCAACACCCCAGGAATAGGGGAGTCAGAAGCGCTGAGCTTTAACTACTTCAAGTTCATTTTCAGGCTCAAGACTGTGGGGCTCCAGGGAGATCCTGAAGGAAGCCCCCCCACAGCACTGCTCCTCTCTCCTAGCTGAGGAGTGGATTCCTGCCAACACCCAGCCAGTGGAGCGCTGTGGCTTCACGGTCAAGAATCTCCCGACGGGAGCCAGAATCATCTTCCGGGTGGTGGGAGTCAACATCGCGGGGCGCAGCGAGCCCGCCACCCTGCCCCAGCCTGTCACCGTCCGGGAGATTGTGGGTGAGACCCCTGCGCCCCCCTGTGCCCCCTCTTCTCCTTAAGGCCTTGTTGGTGCCACCCAGGACCTGTCATGGCCACAGCTTTTGGGTCCCCTCAAGATATCCTTGCTGGGCCCTGAGACCTTCCCCTTGTGTGCGTTCCCTCAGAGCAGCCCAAGATTCGCCTCCCACGCCACCTCCGTCAGACCTACATCCGCAAGGTTGGGGAGCCCATCAACCTGGTTATCCCTTTCCAGGTACACCTTTGCGGGAACCTGGCACATGGTGTCTAGGGGCGTGGCATAATGGGGCGTGGCATAATGGGGCGTGGTTAAGTGAGAGCGTGGTGCAGAGGGGGCGTGGCGGTAGGGGCTTGGCTAAGTGGGGATTGATGTGATGGGGGCGTGGCGTGATGGGGCGTGGCTAAGTGGGGACTGGTGTGGGGCGTGGCATGAAGGGACGTGGCTAAGTGGGGACTGGCGTGGTGGCGTGGCGCAGAGGGGGTGTGGCGTGATGGGCCCTGTGGTGTTGGGGCCTGGAGCTGCGGGGCTTGTGGGGTCCTGACCTCCCTCTCTCCCTCCTGCGCCCCTCCCAAAGGGAAAGCCACGACCCCAAATAGTGTGGACCAAGGGCGGAGCGCCCCTGGACTCGAGCCGCGTGAACGTGCGCACCAGCGACTTCGACACCATCTTCTTCGTGCGCCAGGCGGCGCGCGGGGACTCGGGCGAGTACGAGCTGAGCGTGCAGATCGAGAACATGTGCGACACAGCCACCATCCGCATCCGCGTCGTGGGTGCGCGTCGGGCGGGGGCGCGGGTGCGCGGGGCGGAGAGGTGAGGAGCTAGGGGTACCGGGGCCTAGGTGAGGGCGCTCTGGACTGAAACACCTTGCACCGCCCCCGCTCCCGTGCAGAGAAGGCGGGACCTGCGGAGAATGTGATGGTGAAGGAGGTGTGGGGCACCAATGCACTACTGGAGTGGCAGCCCCCCAAGGATGATGGCAACAGCGAGGTCACGGGCTACTTCGTGCAGAAAGCCGACAAGAAGACCATGGTGAGAGACCAACATGTGCCCATAGGGGGAAACGGAGGATGTACAGCGAGAGAGGAAGAGTAGGCAGCAAGGGAGACTTGCACTATTTGTTATTATTGGAGTCCGAGAGTTAGTACAGGGAGTAAGGTACTTGCCTTGCACCTTGAGGACCCCTGTTTGAGGTTTTGGCACCACATCTGGTCCCCCAGGCATCTCCAAAAGTTATTTCTGAGCAGAGAGTCAGGAAGACCATCCAAGCATGGCCGGGTGTGGTCCCCCAAATCCCCGACCCCCAATTTTATTACTGACCTGAAAGAAAACAATGGTGTTTAACGCACATCCACCCAGCCACTGTCCGCCTGTCACACCCGAGACTCTGGCTGGGTGTGGGCGTGGCCTCGTCTAGCGCCGCCCCTGTGGGCGGGACTGGTGCCTTGCACCCTGCGCTTCTGAAGCAGGTTGAGTGGCTGGGCGAGGCTCCACCTCCAGCCTCCAGGTCGGTGCTTGAGGGCTTTGGGCTGTACCCCGCACCCCAAGTGCTTGGTTCACCCCAGCCCTTTCGGTGTCTGCACCCCTGACAGGAATGGTTTAACCTCTATGAGCACAACCGGCCCACGCGTTGCACTGTGTCGGACCTCATCGTGGGCAACGAATACTATTTCCGCGTCTTCAGTGAGAACATCTGCGGGCTTAGTGACACCCCAGGCGTCTCCAAGAACACGGCCCAGATTCTGAAGACAGGTACGACTGCCCCTTCCCCCTCTATACTAAGAACGCTGCAGCTGGGGGGAGTCCAAGTGGGCTGTGAGCTCAGATGACCTGACAGGAGCTTCTCCCCAACCCCCACCCTGCAGGTATCACCCTCAAACCGCTTGACTACCAGGAGCACGACTTCCGGATGCCCCCCAAATTCCTGACACCTCTGCCAGACCGGGTGGTAGTGGCTGGTTACTCTGCTGCTCTCAACTGTGCCGTCAGGGGCCACCCGAAGGTGGGGTGAGAGGTGTCGGGTTGGGTGCGCCCCTATGATTGCTCACAGACATGGTCATAGCTACACTGGGTGATGCTCATGGGGATGTGAGATATTGGATATCAAACGGGTCTTTGTGGGGGGAGGGCTGGAGCAATACCACAGTGGGTAGAGCTTGTGCCTTGCATGTGGCCGACCTGCGTTCGATTCCCAGCATCCCATATGGTTCCTTGAGCACCACCAGGAGTAATTCCTGAGTGCAGAGCCAGGAATAACCCCTGTGCATTGCTGGGTGTGACCCAAAACGCAAAAACATCAACCAAAAATGCACCTTTGGGGGCAGGTGTGTGCCCATCTCTGGTTCTGATTTCTTTTTTTCTGAGGGGAGGGCCACAGCTGGCTCTGCTTGGGGATATTTCTGGTGGTGTTTGGTGTTGGAATTTGAACAAACTGTGGACACAACTGCAGGCTGGCAAGTGTCAGCTTTTGCCCAGCTGTCATGTATTTTTTGCTTTTGAGTTGCTCTTGGCAGTGCTCAGAGTTTACTCCTGGCTTTGCACTCAGCGATCACTTCTGCCGGGGGTTGGGGAGAATCTTATGTGGTGCCAGGGATCAAACCAGGGTCAGCCATGTGCAATGCAAGAGCCTTAACTCTTGTACTTCAGCTCATCATTATTTGGTTTGGGGGCCACATCCAGCAGTTCTCAGGGTTTCCTCCTGGTTTTCTATTCAGGGATCACTTCTACCAGGCTCAGAGGATCATAGCGGGGTGTTGGAGATTGCACTCATGTTGGCTTTGTGCAAGGCTAGCGTCATACCCTTTGTACTAGTGATCCAGCCCCATCTTTTTTTTTTGATTGGTGATCAGTTACCGTTTATTCCATTCCCGTTCCAGTCTCACTAAATGCCCCATCCCAGCCTCACACTGCCCCTCGTTCGTCTCTTCCTGCCCCCCTTGCTAGTCTCTGCACTCTGTCTCGCAGCCTTGGTCTAACTCTCCCCCCCCACCCCATCCCATCTTTTATTAGTTTGTTTTTTGACTTTTGGGCCACATCTGGCAATGTTTAGGGGGTTCGTCTTGACAGTGCATTCAGGAATTATTCCTGGCAGTGCTCGGGGACCATATGGGGTGCCAGGGATTGAAGCAAGGTCATGCATGTGCAAGGCAAGTGCCCTGCCTACTCAGTCGCTCCAGCCCCAGGCCCCTTACTTGAATTTTGGTTTTGGGGTCTCACCTGGCTGTGCTTGGGATACTCCTGGATCAGTGCTCAGGGTCATTCCCTGGAAACGCTGGGGAAGTCTGTGGTGCCAGGGAGCAGAGATGGAGCTCCTGCATGCAAAGCCCACTAAGCTCTCTGTCTCTCTGACCTTACCACATTTTTAGTTTTTTTGTGTTTGGGTGAATGGGATTAGAAATTGCTATTGGGTTGTGTCCTTGTTAATTCACCAGTTACATAGTTGACTCTCCAGTGACAAAGCTTAGTGTGTTGCTTGGCAAGAGCTTCACAGGACCGTGGTTTGTGTGGCTGTGGAACCAAAGGGGGGGTCACAAAAAGTGTCCTAGTTGAGGGTTTGGAATGGCCAGCAACTGAAGGCGGACTGCACTGAGGGGCCTGTGGCTGCACCCACCGGCTCCATCCCTTGGGTGAGACAGGGCCTGGCCAGTGAGAGGGGGCGGGGCAGCTGGAGGGCTGGTGAGATGCGCAGGGCCTGGAGCACCTACTTCTGAGGGGCAGTGGCCAGGACCCAGTACTGCCAATGAGCACAGAGCCAGTAGTAACCCTGATCATCGCCCCGTGTGGGCCCCAAAACAAAATATCAGGGGTTTTGAGGCCCCAGCCAACAGTGCTCAGGGGTTCTTCTTGGCTCTGTGCTCAGGAGTGACCCCTGGCATGAACCGAGAATTTGAACTTGGGTTGTGGCCCCCACTGCCCCACATAACTAAGGCAAGTGCTTTACCTCCTGTGATCTCTGAATTTAAAATAAAAGCAGGGGCCGGGCAATAGTACAATGAGGAGGGCGTTTGCCTTGCACACCGCCATTGCGGGTTCAATCCCCGGCATCCCATTGGGTCCCCTAAGTGCTACCAGAAGTAATTCCTGAATGCAGAACCAGGAGTAACCCCTGAGCATTGCTGGATGTGGCCCAAAAAGTCAAGATAAATAATTTTTAAAAAATAACCAAAGCAGCGTCGCGCGAGAGAAATGCAGGCGCCACCCCCACCCCCAGCAGAAGGGCCTGAGGCTGCCCTTAGGAGGTGGAGGCCCCTGTGACGCTGCCCTGGGGACTCTGCTCCTCAGCTGGCGTCCCCTCCTGGCCCCCTCAACAGCCCAAGGTGGTCTGGATGAAGAACAAGATGGAGATCCGGGAAGACCCCAAGTTCCTGATAACCAACCACCAGGGAGTGCTGACGCTGAACATCCGGCGTCCCTGCCCATTCGACTCAGGGACCTACTCGTGCCGCGCAGTGAATGAGCTGGGCGAAGCGCTGGCCGAGTGCAGACTGGACGTCCGAGGTGAGCCCCAGCAGGGCCAAGAAATGGGGAGGGGCCGTCCTCCATTGGGCAGGACAGGAATGGGGGTGACTCTGCAGGGCCCTCTGCCTTTCAGGCCTCCTTTCTGTGCTCCTCCTAAGTCCTCCCCTCAGCCCTGGCACCCCCTCTCCCTTCATAGAACCCCACTTCTTCTGCCCGTGCTAGCCCACCAACCAGGCCAGGCCAAAGTTGAGGTTGCCTGGCCAAGCAGCACCTACAGTTGGTCTTGTAGCAGCATTTTGAGTCCCTGTCCCCCCGCCCTATTCCTGAGACCCCAACTACAACCTAGAAGAAGAGCCCTGGGGGCACCCCCGCCCATCACCATGCAGCACCCTATCTTCTAGGCCCTCCCAGCCCCCAAAGCTCTGACAGCCCCGGTACTTCCCAAGTACACCTACTTGGGGGTCCCGGGTCAGACATCCTAAGGAGAGGTGCCCAGGGAGGGAGTCAGCACTTGCTCAAAGTAATCAGCCTCCTGGGTGCACTGAAGGGATTAGGGGCCTTCAGGGCCACCCACTTAACAGACCTTTTCTCGCCCCCCAGTTCCACAGTGAAGAGCCCACCGAGCCTTAACGAAGCCTCAGGGCTGCCTGCCCGTCTGTCCCCGTCCCGCTGACCTCCAGTCCTAGCAGAGAACATGCTCAACGCACACTCCCTATCTGTCCGCCTGTCCTTTTCTTCTGCGGGCGCGGAGGGTGGCATAGCCAGGGGCAGCCTGGGTGGAAGACCCCCCCGGAGACCACCGTTCTTTGGGAGGTGCCCTTTGTCCTGGCAAACACGCAGTCGCCCAGGTGACCTCAGAACCACTCCCAGTGTGACAGGAGGTGCCCAAGGCCCCAACCCACGATGGCCTGGAGGGGCATGCTGAGAGACCCCAGGGGGTCCCTCAGGAAGGAACGGGGTAGCTGCTTCCGAAGTGGTGGATCTTTATTAACTTCGATAATCTGTCTGCCCGCTCCAAGGTGGCTGGCCCTTCTCCTGCTGCCTCTGGAGGCTGGGCTCAGAGCCCCCACAGATCCGACACCTGTGGGTCCAGTCTGGCTTCCATGGTGTCCAGCTGTGTGTGAGATGGGTGGTCAGACCCAGGGTGGGGAACACAGCTCGGGGGTGGGGGTCTGTGCACAGAGTGGGGAGGCAGGACATTGGGGACCCCGAGAAAAGGCCCCCCAGGTTCCAACGCATCCCATCCACACCCCCCCGGGGCCTGGCAGAACTGAACTGTGTTCAGCCGGGACCGCCCCCTCCTCCCTCTGACCCAGGAGCGCAGCCCCAGCTCCTGACACACCCCGACTCCTCCATCACACTCATCACACTCCAGGGCACCTTCCTGCCCGACTGGCTCACCTCCTGCCCCGTCAGACTCTCCTCATCCGACTCCTCCCAGAAGTCGGGCGCCGAGCAGGCCTGCGTGAAGGGCACGGCGCCCACAGCCGAGTGGAAGTGCAGCCGGTACAGCAGTCGTACCCACTGGCCGAACTCCCGGTCTCGGGTCTCCGGGGGGGCCCGCAGCTGCAGGTAGAAGGCGCGGCCTGTACGGAACTTGACTTTCAGCTGCCAGTGGCTTTCATCGTGGACAAAGAGCTGCACAAACTGCAGGGGGAACAGCCTGGCGGGCGGGAGGGGCAACCTCAGCTGCTGACCGGGTCAGGTGTGGGGCTGAGATGATGGGGTTGGGGACTGAATCAGGATTCCCACAGGCAGAGCTGACACTTCCCCTTTTTTTGGTGGTGGGTGCCACACCTTGTGATACTCCAGGCTTATTCTTGGCTCTGAGCTCAGGGATTGCTCCTGGTGGTGCTCGGGGACCATATGAAATGCCGGGGATTGAACCCGGGTCAGCCGCGTGCAAGGTAAACGCCCTACCTGCTGTCCTGTCCCTCTGCCCCAAGCACTCCCACCTGAGCCACTCTCAGCCCTCCTCCCCGGGCCCTTGAGCACCGTAAATCCCCAGCTCCCTCCCTGGTGCCTCCCGCTGGTCCTCACCCTTAAGCCTCCAACTGGACGCTGCATCCATGTCTGCCCGCTGTCCTATTCTAACCACACCCCGACTCCGTGAATGCTCTTGCTTTTGGGGGCCCCTGAGCCTGCAGTGAATAAGGTACTTACCTTGCACTGCCCCCAGCCTGGGTTTGAGCCCCGCTGGGAGTGATCCCTGAGCACTGAAACCAAAATTAATAAACTCTTGCAGTTGGGGCAGGAGAAACTTCACAGGGGCTAAGGCACGCGCCTTGCATGTGACTGACCCTGACTCAGTCTCTGGCATCGCTTGGTCTTCCCTCAGCATCACTGAGGGCAACTGTGGAAGTCATAGTGCACCAGGGGGGTGGACCAGCTGATTCGGGCACTGCAGGGCCCGAGCAGAAATGTCTCCTCTGTCTGGGGGATTGTTGGCCTTCTGATCTCCACTTGGGTGCCTTGCTAAAAGCTATGACTTATTCGCAGCTGCACATGGTCCTGACACCAACCCTGTAGCTCCATCATCCCTTCAAGCTCCCTGTCTAGTGGCTAAACTCTGACTTCTCTCCGGCCTACTTGCCCCACATGGCCACCAGAGGGCGCTACTTGAACCTCTTCGCTCCAGGAGGACCCACAGCCTCACCTGGACATCATCAGGCCCCTTGGGTCTCTCTCCCGCACCCTCTGGCACACACTGGGGTCCTGCGCACGAGCCTGGCAGGCTCAAGCTGACCCCAAGGCCTTCCCTTCAGATTCAACCCTTTCTCCAGCCTCTCCCCTAGAGGCCCCGCCCACACCTTGTCTGACCATCTCTCCTGTCTATACCCATGTCAATTCACTGCAGATGCCCCCCAGGTACTCCGCTCTGTGGCCCCGAAAGACCCTACGGTCCAGGCAGCTGTCCCTTCGTACTTCCCCATGAGAGAGTGGAATAGCGAGGTGCTGGGGTTCCAACCCGTATCTGCAGCTCAGAGAATCCAAGAGGAACCTTTCTAAAGTTTGGGGGGGCACCTCCACCCCCAGTCACCCCTCTGGGATATGGATGCCAAGTTCACTTTTTCATCCGCTTGACTTTTGTGTGGTGTCCAGAAGGTTTGGGGGGTGCAAAGTGCTCCCCAAAGGACATGGATGTTGAGTAAGGGCCCAGGGGCATGTGAGCAGGCAAGCTGGCTAGTGGCTTCGTGTTTTGGGGCTCTCCTGACAACGCCCAATGCAATACGGACTGCTCTTTTTCTTTTGGCTTTTTGGAATTACTCCTGGCGGGGCTTGGGGGAACCCTATGGGATATCAGAACCTAGGTCTGCCGCGTTCAAGGCAAATGCCCTCCTGGCTGGACTAACGGCCCCAGCCTATTGCTTTTATTTTTGTTTTGGGGGCTACACCCACTGGTGCTCATGGCTTCCTCGTGACTGTACTCAAGTCACTCCTGGTGGTACTTGGGGGGACACTATGCGGTGATGGGGATCACATGGGGTAACACCCTCCCTGCTGTACTCTCTCCGGCCCCACCCCTGGGCTGTTTTTAAAGAGAGGGAGAGGAGGTGAGTAGCAGCCACTCAAAGGAGCAACTGCCCCGTAACCGTGACTCTTGAGGTTAGGCCCCCAGATTTAACGGTTCCAGGCACTGAGCACTTGTGATAGCACAGCGGGTAGGGTGTTTGCCTTGCACGTGGCCGACCCAGATTCAGTCCCTCACATCCCACATGGTTCCCCAGTATCGCCAAGAGTAATTCCTGAGTGCATGAGCCAGGAGTAACCCCTGTGATCGCTGGGTGTGACCTAAATAAATAAAAATTCTGGGAAGGAGCAACAGTACAGCAGGGAGGGCACTTGCATTGCACACAGCCAACCCGGGTTGGATTTTCAGCACCCCATATAGTTTCCAAGCCTCCTGCCAGGAGTGATTCCTGAGCACAGAGCCAGGAGTGAATCCTAAGCACCACTTGATGCGGTCCAAAAACTAACCAAAAATTCCTGGGCAGAAATAGCATGAGGTGTGGGGGTGGTTATCTGCCTTACACACAGCTGACTCTGGATGGGTCCTCTGAGCACCATCAGGAGTGATACCTGAGCACAGCTGTGGCCCAAAACAAACAAACAAACAAAAGGGGGGCTATGGGGAGATGATCTAAAGCATTGGAGTGCAGGCTTTGCAAGTGGAAAGTCTGGGTTCCATTTCCAGCACTATATGCTCCCCTTAGCACAGGACATGACCTCCCTGCCCCCCCAAAATCAGACCCTAAAGGGCAGGTTGTAGTAGCCGGAGAAGCGCTCTGATTGTGAGGAGCTTGTGTTCAAGCCAAGTCCCTTCGTTCTCTGAAAGCCCTTTTACGGGGGCTTTCCCTGTTCCTCTCTGAAGGATGGGCTGAGGGGGGTCAGAAGCAAAGCGCGGGAATGGCCGCGCTGGACAACAATCGCCAGGGACCCCTGTAGGCTGAGAACTGCCCGTGTCCAGCACGACTTTGCTTCCCCATACCTCCCTCCCACACACACAGTCCTGTCTTGGACGACCAGCAGCCTTAGAGAGGCTGGCGGGGGACCCTAAGCTGAGACGGTGGAGGTCCAGGGTGCCGGCGGTCACCCGAGCAGCTGCAGGCGTCCATTGTCCTTGGCGGGTCCGGCCAGCAGCAGCAGATCCGGGAGTTCCAGGGCTGGGCTGGAAGCCGCCACCCCCATTGTCACCTTGTTGGCGACTTCTCCTAAGCGGGTCACCTGGGGCAAGGGTCACAAGTTAGAGGCGGCACGAATGGGGAGGGGATCAGAAATGAGAGGGATCAGTATAAGGGGGCGAGGGTCAGGTCCAGTGTCAGCTGGGGGTGAACTCAGGCACCAGTGGACTCAGGCCAGAATGCAGAGAAACTAAAGGATGATGGAAGTGTGCGGGAAAGGCCGCCCAGAAGAGGGCTGTGGACACGTGAGGGGGCGGCGAGAAGCAGGAGGGGGCGCGCAGGACCCCTCCCCGTCACACACACGGGGCTCTGGCGGGGCTCACACCTGCACGAAGTTGCTCTCGAAGATGGGGAAGTCTCGCAGCTGGTCGAACTCGCCGCTCAGGTGGCGCTGGAGCCGTCCGGGCCGGCCCGCGGCGAGCGCTGCAAGCAGGGGGCGCGCTGGAGGGGGTCCTCGCGTGCTCCCCGCCCCGGTAATCCCACGCCCAGGCTCGGTTTGGGGTGTCCCATCGGCCCTCCCGCGGGCCGTCCCTCCTGCGCCCCCTCACCTGCTCCATTGAGGGCCGGCTCAGAGTCATACCTCCCCTTCAGTGCCATGCCCCGATCTTAGGGGATCGGAGGGAGGAGCCGCGGGGAAAAAAAAAGAGGGGAGAAAGCCCAGTGTGGCGTCACAACAGGGCTTGACGTCACCGGAGAGGCCTCACTGTGACGTCACCGCAAGGGACGGGCCTAGTGCGCAGGCGCCGGGGCGGCGCGCGTCTCCCTCCCACCTCCCGCCGTGCTCCGCGGCCCGCGGGGGAGGCGCCAACATGGCGGTGGCCGGCGCCGAGGCCACTCGGCTGCTCCTGCTTCTGCTGGTGGCGGCAGCGGCACCCAGCCGAGCCCGGGGCAGCGGCTGCCGGTCCGGGGTCGCTGCGCGGGGGGTGAGTAGCTCCCGCCGAAGGGAATGGCGCGCCGGTGAAGGTGGGAGCCTGCTGCGCCGGGTTAAACGAGGGGACAACCGTGGCGAAAGGGGCCTCGGGCCTGCACGTACGGGAGCCGCGCGGGGGAGACAGCGATAGGGGAGTTGTCAGGCAGGCCCCGTGGTGACTGCGAGGGGACGCCTCCGGCTCCGAGCGACGCCTGGACCGGTAACCGTCGCCAGACGCCGGGCCACTGGAGACGCGGACCCGGAGGCGTCTCCTCATGAATATGCACGAGGGGGCGGGGCCCGGTGGGAATCGGACCAATCAGGTGCGGGTGAGGTGCCCGTGAGAGAGGCTGGACCGCTCAGCTCATGAATGTGCGTAAAGGCGGGGCTGGAATTGGGTTGCCGAGGTGCCAGTCTGGGCTGGAGGTGCCCGGGATGCTTGGAGAGATGAGGAAAAGGCAGGCGAGGAGCCTTGAATGTGTTTGCTAGTAGAATCATGCAGCGAGCATCATGGTCAAGGGGCTCTTAATAAGGTGAGGCAAGATAGTATTTTATTGAACAAGATTTACTGAGACATGAAGGCAGCCAGAGCGATAGTACTGTGCGGAGGGCATTTGTCTTGAACGCCCAGGTTCCATCCCGGGCACCCCATATTGCCCCGCGTGCCCCGCCAGGAGGGACCGTGGAACCTAGGCTTCCCAGCTCCGAGCCATCCCTGGAGCAGACCATTGTCTTGGAAATGGAGGTCACTCTCTCTTGCCAGTTTCATTTTCAAGGCAGTCTGGGGGATTTCAGAAAGAATTTGTTTCTTTGCTTTTTGACTCCCCCACCCCTCTTGCTTGGAGAGACACATCTGGCAGTTTTCAGGGACTGCTCCTAGCACAGTGCTGGGGGGTCACCTCAGCTGGTGTTTGGTGGACCTTGCAGGGCTGGGTCAGGCTGCCCATGCACAAATCGGCACTCTAGCCCTTGGTGCGTTCTCCCTGGCCCCAGATTCAGAGTAGGGAATGAGTGTGGCGCAGCCCAAGATAGCCAGTGGCTCAGTCCTGGTGTCTGCGCGCCCTGCCTGGGCTGTCTGGGGGTGCTTGTCAGTGGTCATTGGAGCTCTTCCTGTCTCCCCATCAGGTGGGTGCAGAGGCCCGCGAAGGTGAGGGCTGCGGCACGGTGGCGCTGTTGCTGGAGCACTCTTTTGAGATCGGTGAGTCATGCCAGTCTCGCCTGTACACCAAGGAGGGCAGGAGTCCGCGATGCCCACGTGCTAACAGCTTTGTTCTTGTTTGCACCATGAGGGGTCCCCCGCACCTGTCAGTCCAGCCTTGTGAGGCCCTGGGTGGAGGCGGTCACTTGGCTGCTGGAGCTCTGGTGTCCTGCCACAGATGGGCAGTGCAGCCAAAGAGGAAACTGAGGCACAGGGCCTTGTGAGAAAATGGCAAAACTGAGACTTGTCCCACCTGCTCACACCACCCTGGGATCCCACCTGTGTTGTGCTTTTGGAGAAACTGAGGCTCAGTGAGGTCCTTCCCGTCACTGACCCGGGAGCACTGGCAGAGGCAGCACCCAGGCGCTGCTCTGGGAGGCGGGGGCCCTTCGCTGAGCCCCAGCTCCCCACAGATGACGATGCCCACTTCCGGAAGCGGGGCTCGCTGCTCTGGAACCAGCAAGATGGTTCTCTGTCCCTGTCACAGCGGCAGCTCAGCGAGGAGGAGCGCAGCCGGCTGCGGGTGAGGCCACAGGGGATGGGGGGGCGGCAGGGAGGGGCTGGGGACTGGCGGGAATCCTGAACCCCACGCCTCCCCACCCCCAGGCCAGGCTTTGGCCCTCATTGAGGCGTCCTGGGGAAGAGCTCGGGGTGGGCAGAACCAGGCAATGCTGCTTTCCCAGAGCCCCCAGCCCCACACCTGCCCCCCATCTGCTGTGGGATGGGGAACAGAGGAAGCACGGGGGGAGCGGCGGCTGCAGCGGGTGCAGGCCTCAGCGGGTGGCCGCGTGCTCACCCAGGAGATACTGGAGACCCCCTGGCCCCTCCTGTGTGGCGCTCTGGGGAATCGCAGTCACAGCCTCCCTGTCCCCTCCAACTGCACCTGTAATGGGGCATGGGCAGGCACAGGCTCCCGAGTGGGGTGCAGGGGCCCCTGTGGCTCATGTTCCCGCTTCCGCCCCTGCAGGACGTGGCAGCTGTGAACGGCCTGTACCGTGTCCGGGTCCCCCGGCGGCCGGGCACCCCCGAGGACGCTGGAGCTGGCAGTTACGTGTCCTCCTTCGTCCCCGCGGTAAGGCCCTTCTCCCGCCTGTCCTGGCCTTGCCTGCGGAGACCGTCCAGGTTTGGGACCTCACTCACCTGCCTCTTCCCACCCCCGCAGTGCTCCCTGGTGGAGTCGCACCTGTCCGACCAGCTGACCCTGCACGTGGACGTGGCAGGCAATGTGGTGGGCGTGTCCGTGGTAACGCTTCCCGGGGGCTGCCAGGGCCGCGAGGTGGAGGACGTGGACTTGGAGCTGTTCAACACGTCCGTGCAGCTGCAGCTGCCTCTGCCGGCCCCGGGGTGAGCGGGGGGCCAGGGCCGGGGTGACGGGCCGGGGGTGGGGGTAAGGGCGGGACGGGGGTCAGGGTAAAGGCAGGATGGGGACCGGGGTGAGGTCGGGATGGGGTCTGAGGTGACGGGATGGGGGTGGGGTGACAGGACAGGGGTTGGGGTGCGGGTGGGACGGGTCCAGGGTGAGGGCAGGTCAGGGGGACTGTGGGGTGGTTGTGACATACAGTGGTGACAGCCCCGGGGGAGGGGGAGGTGGCGGGGACACGGAACTTCCCCCACTCTTCCTGCCGCCTCTGGGTGTCCGGGTGTCCAGCCCCTCGTCCTGTGTCCCCACAGCCCCGAGACAGCTGCCTTCATCGAGCGTCTGGAGTCGGAGCAGGCGCAGAAGGCCCGGAACCCACAGGAGCAGAAATCCTTCTTCGCCAAATACGTGAGCGAGTTGGCCAGCCTTGGGGGATGGCAGGGGGGGCCCCAGAGGAGACTGGTGTGGGGCCGGGCCGGCTCGGGGTGACCAGGGTCCAGGACAGAGGACATAGCCTGGGGTGAGCCTAGGGGCCTGGCTGGGATCTGGGGGCACAGGTGCTGGGGAAGGGGCCTCCAGCCCGGGGCAGGGTTAGGGCTGGCCGTGGGGAGTGGCATTGGGGGCCCCCAGGTCCAGGGCCTGTGGGCAGAGCAGCTCGGGCGAGACAGGCCAGGCTGCCCCCAGGATGTGGGGGTGCAGTAGAGGGAGGTTGGTGGGCCGCAGCCTCACGGGCGAGAACGCCTGACCTGACAGCCATGCAGGGGGACGTGGGGTCCCACGCGGCCCCTGACTGCGCCCCTCCCTCTTCAGTGGCACCTCATCCTGGGGGGGGCCGTGTTGCTCACAGCTCTGCGTCCCGCCGGCCCGGGGCCTGCGCCGCCGCCGCAGGAGGCCTGAGTGAGGACCCTCCCCGCCGCCTGTAGTAACCTAGGGGGCCCGGCCCTGCCCTGCCCACCCGCCACCCCGCCTTCCCCCGCCCCGGGGCGCCCCCACTCACCCCCCTCTCCCTCTCTCCCTCTCTCTCCTGCTCCGCCTGGCAGTGGATGTACATCATTCCCGTCGTCCTGTTCCTCATGATGTCTGGAGCACCCGATGCAGGGGGCCAGGGCGGGGGCCAGGGCGGGGGCCAGGGTGGAGCCAGCGGACGGTGACAGACTCGGCCTTGCAGCTTGCTGTGCTCCCCCTCCCCGAGGGGCCTCTGCCCATGGGAAGCCCTGTTTCCTGGGCTCTTCCTGGGGGCCTTCCTCGCCCTGCCCTGCCCTCTGTCAGCCCTGTTGGTACGTGTGTGCACCCAGCACCCATCTGCCCTCCCCCACCAGGCTCCTGCCCCCCAGGCCAGTTCTCAGCAGCCTCCGTGCCTTTGTTTACCAGCTTCTCACAGTGCCCCCGACTGCCCTGAGGGTCCCAGGCTGCATCTTGTTCCCCACCACCCCGACCCCACAGGGCTGTGGAATTCTTTGCCCACCAGGAGACGGAACTTCTAGGTTTGAAGAAAACTTTAAAAGTCAAAGCAAAACCGGGCCAGGAGCTAACTCAGACTCGAGCATGGCCCTACTGGGGCCCAGCGTTCATCCCTGCCCCTTCAGGCACCCCTGAGCACACCAGGTGTGACCCCCAAACCAAAATAAAGTCATGACCAAAACAGTGCCGGGTAGCTGGCTTGGTGGGCTGGGACAGAGGCCGCATGCGTGCTGGGAGGAACTAGCATCCAGAACTGGTGTCTCAGCTGGGGTTACCCCAAGAACCCGGGTAACTGATGTCACCCGTCTACTGTCCCAGCCTCCCTCCCTGCACTGACCCGGCCTCCCCAGTGGGTCCCTGCTGCCCCAGCCCACCTGGGGTGCCCACTCCCTACTACCCACCAGTGGAAGCCTCATCAGTGCTCCCTTGGCCCTGAACAGGCCTCTGCTCTGCCCTGAGGCCCTGAGTCCAACCCCCATCCCCTCCCTGCTGGCCAGGCGGGGTACTCTGCAGCTTTGGGCCATCGCAGTGGGGTGGTGCCTGTGGTTTCCCACTCCCCCTCGGGCACTGAGCACCCGCACCTCTGCCAAGAGTGGATTTAGACGCTCGTGCTTTTGAATTCCTGCCTCGAGTCAAGTGAGGGGCACTGCCCTCGGCGCCTGGTCACACCCCTTGCGACCCCCACCGAGCTCCGCCTCCACTCCTGCCAGTTCCCGGGTCTGCTCTCACAGACGGGGCGGGGATGGTGGAGGGTGCCGTTCCTCCAGGCCTTGGGGGCGGTGTGGAAGACCCCCACATTCCTGCTTGGGTGAGTCTGCGGGGCCCATTGTTCGAGGGGTACTCACTGGAACAGACCCACCTCGTGCTGCAGGGACACCTGCAGACCCACCCCAGACCCCAACTGCCTGTATCCCCCAAACTACGGCCACATCGTCCCAGCCTTCCCTGTATCCTGCTCCTCGGCCCAGCTCCATCTGCACCTGCCCACAGAACCACGGACAACCAGGAAGCTTGTGGATACGATGTTTATGTAGGAATGGGGCTCCCAAGCCCCCCGCCCCGCAGTGCTGGTCAGAGTGTGCAGTTCCAGATGCTGCCGCCAGGAAGTGGTAGCTGCCCCGGGCCCGGGTCTCCTGGCTTCCTGCGTGGTCGTGGATCCTGGTGGAGACCAGTGTCCTGCGCAGGCCGCGTCCTTGGAGAAGGCTTCCTCCGCGCTGCAGGGGACAAATGCATGAGGCTGAGGGTGGAGACCACACGGAAGGGGGCGGCGGCCTGCCCTGCTCTCACCTGTGTGCCTGTCCGCACTCGACTGTCCAGCCTGACTGCTCCTCCCGGGCTCTGGGGCGGCCTGATGCTCCACTCAGTGTCCGGAGTCGTGGAAATAGACCGAGGAGAGAGGAAAGGTCACAAAGGCCACTCAGCCACCCACGCCCATGGTCGGGAGCAGAGGAGAGACTGAAGGTGGGCGGAAGGAGGAGCCCCTCAGGAGGGACAGCAGGGAGGACTTGTGCACCGGCTCGATCCCCAGCACCCCACAGGGTCTCCCGAGCATCACCAGGAGTGATCCCTGAGCACAGAGCCAGGAGTAACCTGAGCATCACTGATTGACACAAAAACTAAGGGGAAAAGGGAGAGAGCAGTGGTGGGGAGAATGGTGGGGCTTGGAAAGAGCTATCTTGAAGGTTGGGGGGTGCTGGAGAGGGGAGGAGGCCTGGCCCCAAGGGGCAGATGTGGGGGGTGGGGCAGGAGACCCCAGGCCTGGGGGCAGGTGAGGAGGGACCAGATCAGGCAGGGCAGAGCCCGAAGGGACAGGTCAGCTGAGCATGGGTGAAGCTCTGAGGGAGAAGACAAGGAAGGTTCCAGACTCTGGGAGGGAGGGGGGACTGGTGGAGGGGGCCCAGCTCCGGCCCTCCCACACATTTGGTGTGGGCCACACAGGAGGAAGAGGATGGGACACCTGTCAGGGGCGAGGGGGACCAGGAAAAGAGTGAGCCTGTGTGGGGTCAGATAGGGGTGAAGGGATTCAGAGATAGAGACTGGAAAGATGGGAGAGACGAGAGATGGAGGGAGGCGGGAGAGACAGAGATGGAGGAAGATGGGAGAGATGAGAGATGGGAAGAGAGGAGAGAGATGGAGGGAGATGGGAGAGAGGAGAGATGGAGAAGGGAGAGATGAGAGATGGAGAGAGACAAGAGAGATGGGGAGAGATGAGGGAGATGAGAGATGGAGGGAGACGAGAGAGATGGAGATGAGAGATGGAGACAAGAAAGATGAGAGATGAGAGATGGAGGGAAATGGGAGAGATGGAGGAAAACAGGAGAGACAAGAGGGATGGAGGGAGGCAGGAGAGATGAGGGAGAGGGAAGAGATGAGAGATGGAGGGAGATGGGAGGGATGAGAGAGATGGAGACAGGAGAGACGAGAGATGGAGGAAGACGGGAGAGACAGGAGAGATGAAGGGAGATGGGAGAGATGGCGGGAAACAGGAGAGATGGAGGGAGATGGAAGAAACGAGAGAGATGGAGGAAGATGGGAGAGACAGGAGAGATGAAGGGAGATGGTAGAGATGAGAGATTGAGGGAGACGCGAGAGATGTAGGGAGATGGGAGAGATGAGAGAGAGAGAAGAGATGGGGAGAGACAAGAGAGACGGGAGATGAGAAAGAGGAGAGATGGAGAGAGACGGGAGAGATGAAATGGAGAGAGACAAGTTGGAGAGAGACGAGAGATGGAGAGATGCGTGATGGAGAAACAGTAGAGACAAGATGGAGAGAGATGGGAGAGAGATGGGAGGGGGAGGAGAGATGGAGGGAGATGGGAGAGAAAAGAGATGGAGGGTCACGGGAGAGATGAGAGAGATGGAGGGTGATGGGAAAGACGAGATGGAGAGAGATGGGAGAGACGGGAGAGATGGAGAGAGGCAGGAGAGGAGAGATGGAGAGATAAGAGGGAGAGAGATGGAAGAGATAAGAGATAAAGACAGATGGGAGAGATGAAGAGATAAAAAGATGAGACATGGGGAGAGGAGAGCTGGAGAGAGACAGGTGTGATGGGAGATGGGAATAGACAGATGGAGAGATGGAGAATTAAGGATAGACAAGGAGATGGAAAGACGGGAGAGATGGAGAGAGGAGGGATGGAGCAAGGAGATACAGGAAAGAGAGATGAGGGACAGAGAGGAAAGAGATGGAGAGGGATAGAAGAGATGGAGAGATGAGAGAGATGGGGAGGGACAGGGAGAGATGGAGAAATGGGGCAAGACGAGAGATGGGGAGACAAGAGATGGGAGAGACGAGATGTGTAGCGATGGGAGAGAGGTAGAAACGAGAGCTGGAGACAAGAGATGGAGAGATGGGGAGAGACAAGAGGGGGGAAAGATGGGAGAGACAGGAGAGATGGAGAGAGATGGGAGACAGGAGATATGGGGCGAGACAAGAGATGGAGAGAGATAGGGAGAGATAGGCACAGAGATGAAGAGGGGAGAGATGGGGGAGACAGAAAGAGATGGGAGACATGGAGAGAAATGAGAGGGAGATGACTGGAGAGATGGGAGACACGGAGAGAGACACAAGAGATAGGAGAGATGGGAGAGATAGATGGGAAGAGACAGGAGAGGAGAGATGCAGGAGAAATGAGAGATGGAGAAAGAGACATAAGAGAGATGAAAGGGGGAGACAGAAAGACAGAGATGAGAGAGATGGAGAGACGGGAGAGACAGGAGAAATGGAGAAGATGGGAGAGACAGGAGAGATGAAGGGAGATGGTAGAGATGAGAGACTGAGGGAGAGGCGAGAGATGGAGACGGGAGAGATGAGATGGAGGGAGATGAAAGAGATGGAGGGAGACGGGAGAGATGGAGGGAGACAGGAGAGACAGGAGAGATGGAGGGAGACGGGAGAGATGAGATGAAAGAGATGGAGGGAGATGGAGGGAGATGGGAGAGATGGAGGGAGACAGGAGAGACAGGAGAGATGGAGGGAGACGGGAGAGATGAGATGGAGATGAAAGAGATGGAGGGAGATGGGAGAGATGGAGGGAGACAGGAGAGATGGAGAAGGGAGAGATGAGAGATAGACAAGAGAGATGGGGAGAGATGAGAGAGATGGAGGGAGATGAGAGATGGAGGGAGATGAGAGATGGAGGGAGACGGGAGAGATGAGATGGAGGGAGATGAAAAAGATGGAGGGAGACGGGAGAGACAGGAGAGATGGAGGGAGATGAGAGAGATGGAGGGAGACAGGAGAGACAGGAGAGATGGAAGGAGACAGGAGAGATGGAGGGAGACGAGAGAGATGAGAGAAATGGAGGGAGACAAGAGAGATGGAGATGGGAGAGATGAGGGAGGGAGATGGGAGAGACAAGAGAAATGGAGGGAGACGGGAGAGATGAGAAAGATGGAGAGAGACGGGAGAGATGAGAGAGATGTAGGGAGATGGGAGAGACAGGAGAGATGTAGGGAGATGGGAGAGATGAGAGGATAGAGAGATACAGGAGAGACAGGAGAGATGAAGGGAGATGGTAGAGATGAGAGATGGAGGGAGATGGTAGGCACAGGAGAGATGAATAGAGACTGGAGAGACAAGAGAGATGGAGGGAGACAGGTGAGATGAGAGATGGAGGAAGATGGGAAAGACAGGAGAGATGAAGGGAGATGGGTGAGACAGGAGAGATGGAGGGAGATGGGAGAGATGAGAGAGATGGAAGAAGTCGGGAGAGACAGGAGAGATGGAAGAGATGGAAGGAGAAGGAAGAGATGAGAGAGATGGAGGGAGATGAGAGAGATGGGGGAGATGGGAGAGACAGAAGAGATGAGAAATGGAGGGAGACGGGAGAAATGAGAGAGATGGAGGGAGACGAGAGATGGAGGGAGACGGGAGAGATGAAGCGAGATGGTAGAGACAGGAGAGATGAAGGGAGACGGGAGAGACGAGAGAGATGGAGGGAGACGAGAGATGGAGGGAGATGGGAGAGATGAGAGACATGGAGGGAGATGGGAGAGACAAGAGAGATGGAGGGAGACAGGTTGAGACGAGAGAG